AAAAAAAAAAAAAAAAATATACTACCCAAAGCAACTCATTGTGTAACATTTATAGCTCATAGTTTTCTAGTTAGTACCTATCACTTAGATTCTAATAAAAACAATATAAATACTTATAAAGATTCAGTGTAATTTTTTTTTTAGGTAGTTTGAATAATAATAACAAATATTCATAGAAATTGTAAATTTAACATTTAAATATTAAAAAAACTAAGTACTTAAAGTAAAATGTTATTTATAATTGTTTTGTTGATAGGTATTTGCTAACCCTGAAGATACCATTGTCAATAAAAAGTACAAAGTTAAATATGATGATGAAGACGTGGAAAGAGTCAGAAGGTAAATTATATTATAATAAAGAACCTGTCAAGAAATAACATATTTAAATATAACTTTTTTTTTTAGAGCTCATCTCAACGATTTGGAAAATATTCCATTCTTCATAATCGCTTGTTTTGGATACTTATTAACCAATCCAACTGTATTTATCGCCACTAATTTAATAAGACTGTTTGTGTTAGGTAGAATAGTGCATACAATAGTTTATGCTGTGGTTGTTCTACCACAACCGTCTAGAGCTCTAGCTTGGTTTCTTGGATATGGAATAACCATTTATATGGCCGCTCAAGTTGTTTTAAATTTTGCTTAATATATAATTTATTAACATTCGTTATCGGAATATTAATTTTTCATTGTTTCTATATGTATTATTTATGAAATATAAACAAAAATCAAAACTTTCACTAAAATTGAATATCCTATAGGTAATTGCATAAAATATTATTTTTGGAAATTTAACACAGAACAAATTTATTATACCTCAGCAGTTTATACAAATATCAGTTTATACATAAATTATTGAGGTGAAATGTTCAAAAGCTATATTAATTGTAAAGTGGCATACTAAAAAAATAATGAATAACAAAAATTTATTTCTAATAAAGAGTTTACAATGTTGTTATCTAGGAATACGTAAATAGTGTCATAACATAAAATTCAATAACTTGTTTGATGTTTGTCAATGCATTTGAGAGTAAATTATATTATATTATTGTTTACTTAAATTGTATAATATTATACCATTATCTATTGTAGATATTGCTTTGTATAAAAGACCAAACGTTTCTGCAGCAACCTCAATCGATTTTTTTCGTAGACATTTTGAACAAATTGTGAAAAATATCAAACATATTATGAACTTATTGGTGGTGGTATTGGAATATGTAAAATCAAATAAGAGATGGACAGTGTAATGTGCGAAAAAACGCTACAAGAAAAGAAGAGTAGCTACCGGAGACTGTGGAAGTGAACACTAGTGAAAAGGTATTAGTTATTGGTTGAAAATATTTTGCCAGAAAATTAAATTGATAACTATATTTTTTTAAAAAAAAAAAACGTTCTAGACAATAAATTATCAGCGATAAGATAATAGAATTACAACAAAATGCAAAATATTATTTGGTAAAAAACCATAAGAGTTATAATTCTAGCAAATCGTCGGTATAAAACCGGTTTGAATTTCCTCTTAAAAATCAAACCGGAAAAATTTTTTTTTGCAGGAACCGGTATTAAAATTAACGACACCGGTTTAATTTTTCTGCATCATCACATGCATATGGTGCAAACCATTTACACCGGTTTCATCCTCTCTCATTTCCCTCTCGAAATAATAAACAAACTAAACGAATAAATGATAATAATAATTTAATTGATAACAATTAATACCTATTCGAATTAATTTGTATTAAGTAGGTACTTATTAGCGAGAAATTGAAAGTATTATTAATATTATTAGAAGTATCGTATAGGCACTGCCTTAGAAGACCGTGAATATAGATAATACACTAATAATTTAAATAATTGATAGTATTATCATTGTTACTTTTGGACAATGGTGTGGATACATCGATTTCCATCGTCGAATATCTATACGGATGTAAAATAACCGGTACAAAATGTATTGGTACACCGGTGTGTATCAACGAATTTCTAGTCTATGTATAAAACACGGATATGGATACTATCTTAATCTATAAGATGATAATAAACCGTGGTGGATACATAGAGTAATATTACTCAATGGGGTAATCAATAATAGGCTCTCTACTATATAGTATTTATATCCGTGGTACCAAATGGCATCCTCATCATAAATTTTGGTAAGTATGACCGTTATCAATTTAAAATAAGTTTTTCTTGTTTTGTTCGCCCCGTAGTAAAATTCCTATTCACCCCGTTTTATGGTACGTCCCTACCTATAGGTATTGTTGATTCGTTACTAAAAAAGATATGATTTTGTTTTAATTTACCGTGTTCATTTTACTATACATAATATTATACCGTTTGTTTTGACAACAAACGTATAAAGGTGGTTTAAATCAGTCATTTTCTAAGGAGTAAGAGTTAGGCAATTTATGTGGCGTTCTAAACGGGTCGTGTCAGTGTGTGAGAAGTAATTGAACATTAGTGTGAGTGCTGTTCAAAGCATGTACTTAACTACCTTTCACATCGTCATAGCACGTAATCCATGGTAATAAGTACCATTGATATTGCAGTTATGTTATTTTTGGGCTTATCTAATTTGATGACAATATTATTAATAATAATATTTTGTTTATTTCTACAATCTATAGTTATTATACTGTTCACAGTGTAATACAAATATTTTTACCTACCATTTTTATAGTATACAAATTTAATAATAATATTATAATTAATATAATATAATTTTAGATTCTGAACGTAGCGAAGAATGTATTAGTTTTACAAAGATGTTTATTATTATTATTTTGTTTATACTGTACAAAATTTCTACCAGAAATCTTGCTCTGATGTGTATGATATTGATCATTTTCTGAAAGGCAATTTTCTTAGGGAGGTCATTTTTTCATTTTTATGGCTTATGTTTTCAATCATAAGAAACTTATGATTTTACAAAGATGTCTATTTTATTTTTTTTATCTGTACGCAATTTTTCTACCTGAATACCTGCTCAGATTTTTAAGTGTAGCACCTTTTCTGAAAGGGAATCGGTGTGAGTAGGTACTTTAGGATGGTCATATTTCAATTGTCTCATCGAATTCGAAAAACTGAAAAAAAAAAAAGGGAAAAATATGAAAAATATAGGCATTTGTTATAATATATAACAGCTTTCTGTTTTTCTGTGAATACCTATTCTACAAGCAATTTGGCTCAGATTTATAATGATACCATTTTTTTTGAAAGGAAATTTGAATGGAAAAGTACTTAAGGGAGGCCATTTTTCGATTTTCTCACGAGTTTTTCAGCAAATGTGAAAAACCAACTGAACTTCGCTCAGAACCGTTTTTTCCTAAGCATTGGTTTATTGTTGCTTACAGGTATAGTACGATTGGTGAAAAATAAAATGGTTTTTTGATTTTCTTTGTAGTTTTTTTTAATAATTGAGCAAAACCGACAAAAATTCAGAAAGTACAGAACTATGTATGAAAATAATAATTCTTTTATTTTCAATTTTGTTTTTTTATAATGTAATTTAGTTTGGAGTATTCATAAAGACTTGATATTTTGACAGAAAACTTATATTTGTTTTTTCTAGACGTGGTAACATTTTCAANGTACGTACTCTATGGATACAATTGTTAGACTAAACAGAAATGATTGACAATTTAACATGAGGTTTATTAAAAGTCGTATTTTGTGTTTAAAAAAAAAAAATTTATACGAAATGTATTATTAAAATGGTATCGCGTGAATCAATCATTCATTCTTAAATATTGCAAAAAGGTAAACGAAATATATGTAATACTTACGATGACTGATTTGTCGTAATCACATTAAGGAATAAATAATCGTGGTCTGTGACGGATTAGATGCACAATACGCAGTTTGATATATTACAGAAAAACATTATCATCAATCATTATCAAACAAATCATTGGGGATTTGGGAATATTATTATTTACAACGTTATCGTATAATTTATTATTATATTACACAGGTCTTATTATCTTATTATCTAATCAATTTTTAGATAATCGGTAATACGCACGACGGCGGGAACGCCGACGGATGTTCGTCGCGTAATCGCGTTCTCACACTCGCAGGCATAAGTCGTCAATGCAAACTTAAGACAAAGTATTCAATTATTTTCGGAATAGAAACATGTCTCGGGTGTGACAAAATTGTGAGACTTGGGCTGGTGCGATTTTAATTCAAACAGACTTAATTTTACCCAATAACAAACTCGGTCAACAAACAATTTTTGTGTATAATGAGTTCCACATAACCAAGAGTTTTGTTGATATAAATTTGTATTTAAATGACCTGTAGAATACCTTACGAAGTTTTTTGTCAGGGGTCAAAACTGACAAAATCGGAATGGGCCTCTTGCCTACCTACTTTTAGTAAATCATTTTTACTATCGGAATTCCAACGTCAAAATGGCGTTTCCAACAACATGACAACCTCGTCTGTCACTGGATGCATAATACAAATGTTGAATGAATAACACGACAACACGCGTAAACAAATTTAAACGAACCTACACGAACGATGATTTGAACATGACAGAAATATAATCAGATATTGAAATCGGTTTCATTAGGCGCTGCGACAATTATAACTTATTTATGATTATGTGTTTTGTTGTTGAATGTGCCGCAGTCGTGGCCGCAAGCTTGCCATAATATCACAACTATTTTTAGTACACAGAGGCGATTAAAAACGAGCAGCACGATGATCAATGCGCATGCGCAATTCTGCTTATTTAACAGTCTCTGGTCACGTGCATACGCGTATGTGTAATTAATGTACATAAGTAAAAGTTCAGACGTCATGGGAACATTACCGCCAACTAAAATGTCAACGTTTGTCTACGTAATAATTATTTCGTGCGTTTCTTGTCAGTTTATCGTTATTTTTGGTAATAAACACGGACCAATATTATACAATAATAAAACAAATGTTAATTCATATTATTGAACTTCGCAAAGAATTTCGTCTCAAATAAAATCATAAACACTTACATTAAAAATTATCAGCGAAATGTTTGCTGTCGGTGAGCTAAGAAGTATTATTTACTACAACATTTTAGGTGAGGCGCCTCCTCACTTGTTTCATCCTCAAAGCCGCCACTGGGTCATCTTATGCGGCATATTGCATACATTTTGGTACAGCAAAGAATATTGTCTATATCTGAATAAGTAGGTATTTTATATAAAGGTCGAAAGTAAAAGGAACGGTATTAACTGGTTTTTCGACGTAACGTAAAAATTAATTAATTCACATTAACAGAATAACTGTTTTTGACGACAACAGCGGAAAAGTGGTACCTAGATATGTGTGCTGGTTTGCGTGAATCTAGGTTACCTTATACCTTATAGGTACCTATATATTTATATAGATTTAGGTTATAACATTGGACCAATGTTTTACTGGTCCTTACTACTATCACAGTCACACCAGTAATACCAATTATTTAATATTAATATTTTCTTAATAATATACAAATTATTTTACGTATTCCAGTAAGTTAAGTTAGGTAACTCAAGAAACTCCAGGAATTCAAGAATCTAGCTATAGTATAATATAATATCTCTTTGACTGACTAGTCAAGGAGATATTGTTTTTTTTTTTTAATATTACTACTAAAATAGTAATATTTGTAATGGTAAATAATAACTCGCGTGATAATAAGCTTGGTTTAAGGATGAGCTTATATCTATAACAAAAATAGGTAACGTTTATTTATTTTACAGTGGAACGCCGATTATTCGAACGTCCAATATTATCCGGACTAGAAAAAATATGGTCTTTTCAGTAACGTATCTAGGGGGGGGGGAGTTGTAACCCCTCCGAAATGTCTTTGAAATAAAAAATAGAAATACTAATAGTTTGAAAAAACTATTGTTTTATTAATTGTATTTTGTTAACTAAGTGTTATTACATAAAACAGTTTACATAAATAATAAAAATTAATAATATACAAGTCCAGTCCAGTGTAGTATGTATATTATGATAATAGGTAACTCTATGGTTATCAAGTATCGCTTTCGGTTGTACAAAAGGACAAAGTATTTTGCGATTGTCAATAGAAGAAGTATATCCACAGACTAATCGTTTTTAACTAAAAATACATGTGCAACTCGATGGGTCGATCGTCATGATGCAGTTATATTATTTTAAAAACTTTAACCAGCCATTTTACATGCACTAGATAAAATTATACTTTGGATAGATTCTGACACTTTTAGTTCTGCAAGTCCATCTGCTACGTAATCATCGATAAAACAGTTAAAATTTCAAACAGCTTTATCTATTTCTATTTTAGTGAAAATACTTTCCATAAGTTTTCCATTTAGCCGATATCTTCAAACAGTAAATCTTGATTTAAAAACTGCATTAGAAACTGCTAATGTTTAAAATAATATTCAAGATATTAGAGAAAATTGTGAAGTAGAGTTTATACAAATTTATTTTCATTTGTAATAACTATGTGTGAAAAATTTGATATTACCGTTAGATTGCTACTAACTAGGTTGTGTTTACATACCGATTTTTTTCGGTATACCGGTGTGTCGGTATTTTTCGGCAAATAGTTATCTATCGTCTTTACACTTTTCGATAATGAAGCTAAACCAAGTTGGTTGGCAATAGGTGTATAATCGTAATGTGCACAATTGTTATCCAAAAAGTAAAAAGGAAAAATAACTACAAACTTGGCAGACATATTTTCTAAATTAAATAAACTTCATTTTTATATTTACAAGGGATATAGATACACTTGCAGACTTGCAGTTCGTGCGGAAATTCAATCGACAATTATGCGATCAAAACACGGCCCCTAAACACGCGCGAAATGTATCACGTCTGCGGTATTTCGGCAGTCGATCAGTACTCCGGTTACCACGGTTACTATTTAGCACGAGAACGGAAGTCGTGCCGGACAATATTGAACGACCGTTTCGTGTATCTGCGTACCAATTATTTTTTATAACCATCTAGCGCCCTATCAGTTAATATTGCGTGCATGATCATTCCCCGAATTGCTGTAGGCAAGTCGGTATAATATTATAATAATATCGACCTCATGCACGGCGCCGCGGTTTTAGTAATGACTGCGATATTGTATAACACGTATAACATACCTATAATAATAGGCATAACTTCAATTCATTATTAAAGTTCATCGCAACCCGACGACTTGGCGTTATCATTTTTCGCACTTTGGACCCGAATGTGTGATAAGCACTGACCGTGAATCGTGATACGCAAAGAGACCGGATACCACCGGTGGTGATAAGACGTTTTAAAAAAGATTGAAAATATTTTTCAGTTTTCCGTCGATTTCACAACGACGGCGGCGAGCACTACGACAGTAAAATTGATCTGTCCGTCTGTGTCCGTTGACGCGATTCCGGTTACCACCGCCTAGGCCGCGACCGACTCGTATTCCAACGCGTATATTATTGCACGACACGTCAACACACGGTAGCAGTCGTGCACACGGTTCGCGGGACGGCGGTTCGTCGTTATTGGCATATTATTTTATGATCGCCAGCGAGCACGCCCGAATTGCGGCCCCTCCTACCCTTCCGAGATCGCAGAAATGAGCGAACGAGTCAATAAACCCATAAGGGTATGGTGCGACGGATGGTGAGTACTCTCGAGTAATTTATTTTTCTCGTCCCGAATGCTTGTCGTAGGCGTCGGATCATATTGGTTTTTTCTCTTGCATAGCTTTGACATGGTTCATTTCGGCCACGCCAATTCGTTGAGACAGGCCAAAGCTTTGGGTCATTATCTGGTCGTCGGCATACACACCGACGAGGAAATCACAAAGCACAAAGGTCCGCCCGTTTTCACCGAAAAAGAGAGGTTTGTACCCGTCTAATCATTTCAAATGTGTTTTCCAACTCAGTTATTAGTAACGTATTTCAACACATAATATTATCACACTGACTGAAATTTGCATTTGTTAGTTATTCGATGCCAAGTGGGTCGTCTCTTAGTTTATAACTACATTTCCTGCTTGAGGCCCATCGGGTAGCATAGAGTGATATATATTTTTATGACGCATTTTATTGTGTTATGATAATGAGAATGCTGTAAAACATAAAAAAATGGATATGATACTATCGTAGACACTTAATTTGATTGGTTTTCTTTTTTTTTTTTTAATGACCTGGAATTTCAATTATACATGTAGAAATATAGCTAAAGAAGTATTTCTGTTTTATATTTATAAGATTCAAAATATATTTAAATTTATGATTTTCCAAAGAAAATAAGAACATTAATCTTTTTGAATTAGGAACCTATACTTAATATTAATATGCATTATTTACCCTTTCCTTTAAATTGTCTACAAAACAAGTTCATATTTATAGTAAATTCAGATAATTGTATTTCAACATCCTTATTTTAACCATGGTTAGTTATTTAAGTTTATGACAAATATTAACTGAAATTATTATTATAATTATAATTATATTTTATTATATTTTACTAGTTGGGGATAAATGACTAGTTGTGTTTATCGATTTATTTTTTAACTGTTTGATGTGGATCTTTAAAATACAATTATCATTTTTTGACAAATAAACAATGACTATTATAGTAGAGTACTGTGTTTTGTGATAACATACTTCATTTACTTTTTTTTATTGAGAATTTAATTTTATATTAGCTTCTTTTTTTAAATTTGAATTGTCAATTATTTTATAGTTAAACAAATGAAAACGTCTATTAAATATATGAAATAAATTGAATACCATTTTATTTTTACTAAATCAAGTTTAATATTTATCTCAGTTATTTTTTAAAATAATTATAAATATTTTTTTTAAAAAAGAGTTAAAAAACTTATCTGTCAAACAAAATTATACTCTAGAAGGTGATTCTTTCAATGTCAAGCACTCATTATTCACAATGTATTGACTTTAAAAAAAAAAATGTTTTTAACGATTTTATAAACAAACAGCCCTAAAATGTTACATTTTCATTATTTTTGGTCACTCTTAATTTTGGGAGTGAAACGACTACCAAATTTTTAAATAGTAACTTACATTACCAGTTTCATGAATAAATAGATTATTAGTTTAAATACATTTTGGTGTTAAAATTGTTGATTTCCATCAACCCGTTCATGAGATATTTCAATTTTAAATTTGTAATAGGGGAAAATAGCAGAGTATCATTTGTGTGACTGCACAATGTGCAGCTTTGAATGTTGTTCCTTTACTCACCCCTACTTAAACTTAAAAATGGAATATCTTGTGAATCAGTTGATGAAAATCAAAAATGTATTTACACTAACACTCTATTTATTTATGGAACTTTTGATGTAGATTACTATTTGAAAATCAAAAGTTTGTTTCTGTTCACTCTGAAACAAAGGTAAAAATAATGGTATATGTAAGAGCAGTTTGTTACTTAAATTGTCAAAACACACAATTTTTTTTGAACAAATTCAATACTTTTTTAAATAATGGATGATCAACAATAAAAAAAATACCTTGTATATATTTTAATATTAAAATAACTACTTATTTATTGGTTTTTATACAAAAGATTCAATTTTTATATCTGCTTGAATATGTTAATATGTTGAAACAAATAATTAAAATAACATTACTTATTTGGATTGACCTATCATATTTTAATTAATTAGTATTTCCTAATTGATATTAATGAAATGGAAATAAAAAAGACTGACATATTTTACACATGGGTGGGCAATTGTTGGGTTAGGTTCAGTAGGTAGAGAAGAAATTTAATGTATATCTGTACGCAACAGTACAAAAAATATTCCAAGTCGGAATTGCTTTGTCAACAATATATAATATGTTATATTATGGTAAAATAATTGCATATGCATTATATATTTTATTTAATAGTTGTTTAATATTGTTTACCTATTTTCCCAGTTTTTCTTCGTTTTCCCCCGTTTTTTCCAATAAATTGGAAAAACTTCTGAGAAAATCAAAAAATTACCTCCCTAAGTACCTCCCCAGTCTGAATTTCTTTTTGAAAAAGTGCTATCATTGAAAATCTGAGCAAAATTGCTGGTAGAAAAGTTGTTCACAGAACAAAAAAAAAGAAATAAACATTGTAAAACCAATATATTCCTACCTCTACTCAGAATCTAAAATATATCCAAATATTGATTTGTTAGTTAGTATATTTGATAGTAGTTTATAATAATTACTTATTAAACTCATGAAAATAATTTTAATTTGTCATTAAATGTATTTTATGAACTAAAACAAATTAATTAATTTTAATAAAATTTCAAGGTACAAAATGGTGAAAGCAATTAAATGGGTTGATGAAGTAGTAGAAGGTGCTCCTTATGTTACAAATCTTGAAACTTTAGATCAACACAACTGCGATTTCTGTGTTCATGGAGGTAAATAATTATTTTTGTTATTATATTTTTAATAAATTTAAATTATTTGCCTATGTTTTTATTTTTGTAGATGATATAACAGTCACAGCTGATGGAGTTGACACATATCATCTTGTTAAAAACGCTAACAGATACAAGTATGATGGATAACTAATTTGTATACATTATTTAACCATAAATAGTATATTAATTTCTCATATTTTTATAGGGAAGTTAAACGGACCGAAGGAATTTCAACTACAGATGTAGTTAGTCGTATGTTGACAATGACAAGGCAACATTTCTATAAAGGGGATAAAGAATATACAGTAGAAAAAGAACATTCCTCAATAATGGGTCAAGACAAAGCTGCCAGAAGTCCGTGGACAGGATGTTCACAGTTTTTACCTACTACAAAAAAAATTATTCAGTTCAGTGAAGGTACAGAGCCTAAAGTAAGAAAATTGTTTTGCTTTGAATTCTATTATCTTGAAACACATTTTAACAAAAATATTTTGTTATAATTTCAGCCTACTGATAGGGTAGTGTATGTTGCTGGAGCTTTCGATATATTTCATGTTGGTCATTTAGACTTCCTAGAAAAAGCACATAGACACGGTGATTTTCTTATTGTTGGTCTACACACTGATCCGGTAGTTAATCAATATAAAGGCTTCAATTACCCCATTATGAATTTACATGAAAGAGTTTTGAGCGTTCTTGCATGCAAAGTAATATTTTTTTATAATTTATTAAAACCGGCAGAAGTATTTAGTGATTAATTTTTTAGTATGTATCCGAAGTTGTAATTGGAGCGCCATATAGTGTAACAGCCGATTTAATGAAACATTTTCATGTTGATGTTGTGTGCCATGGTAAAACGCCAGTGAAAATGGATGTAAATAATCAAGACCCATATGCAATTCCAAAGGCAATGAATAAATTTGTGACTGTTGATTCAGAAAATAATATGACAACAGAAAAAATTGTCGAGCGTATTATAATAAATAGGTAAAAGAAAATAATAATACCTAAATTCCTTGGTAACAGTTTAATTTAATTATTTGTATAAGAAATTTAATGTTTAACTGCTCAAAACAATTAATTATTGCTAACAAAAAACAATTCTGTGGGTATACAAGTTTATCCATCTAAGTGGGTACATTCAATATCTCAGAAAGTATTCTTTTTTCTATTTTTTTTTTTCCAGAAAATTTAAAGAAATTTAACATTTACATCTTTTTTTGTTAACCTCATTTTTGGGGGTGAAACGACTACCTACTTTTGATTTTCAAATGGCAATATATATTACAAATTCCATAAATAGATAGAGTATTAGTTAAAATTATTAGTTGACGTTTTAATATCTAGTTTTCATTAACCCTTTGATGAGATATTCCACTTTAAAGGGTAGGAAGAAAGTGGTAGCACGACGTGTGACATTCTTTTAATGCACCACTATTTTCCCCCGACCAAACCTTAAAACTGGAATTTCTCTTCAACTGATTGATGGAAGTGAAACATTTTAGCACCAAAATTAATAACTAATACTCCATCTAATTATAGAATTTTTAAAATAGGTTGCTATTTGAAAATCAAATGTAGGTAGTCGTTTTTCACCTCCAAAAATAGGGCAACAAAAAAAAAAATGTAAAAGTTACATTTTAGAGTAGCTTGTTTCTTAAATTTTCAAAAAAACAAATGGAAAAAGTAAATACTTTTTAAGATATTGAGTGTACTTCACTTAAATGGATCACCTTGTATACATGTTATGAAAGGCCGTAATATTTACGATTTGAAAATAATAAATTTCATACATTTACTAATTTTTCCTGCTTTTTCTTCTGGGTTTTTTTCATTTACTATGAATACCTCTGAGAAAATCAAAAAAAGACTTCTTAAATGTACCACCTCGGTCAAATTTTCTTTCAGCAATTTCTGCACTTGAAAATTAGAGCAAAATTTCTGTTAGGAAAGTTGTTCACAGAAAAAAAAAAATATAATATGTTGAAAACCATATTGTTTTATCCTTTTGATAAGCTATTTTTGAATGAGTTTATGGTTCAGAAATATTTAGAACAATATAAACTGTAAACATTTTTTATATCTTTTAAATAAAATAAATTTAGCTTTTATTTTTGTTTTACTATGTTTTCTTTCTTTCTGTGAACAACTTTTCTACCAGTAATTTTGCTCCGATTGACAATGCCACTTTTCTAATAGGTAATTTTACTGGAGAGGTACTTTAAGAAGATAATTTTTTGATTTTCCTAGGATTTTTCCAAATAAATTAGAAAAACAGAAAAAACTTTGGGAAACTCGGAAAATAGGTAAAAAATATTAAATAAATATTGTTAAGAAAAATGTATAATGCATATTATTTAATTATTTTACCATAATATTATAACATATTATATATTGTTGAAAAAGCAACCGAACTTCTGAAACATTTTTTCGTTAGCAATGGTTAATTTTTACATAGAGGATATACGTTAAATTCCCATCTAAATCCTACTTTCCTAACTTCCTACATACAATAGTGGCTGTAACTGTCCTTATTATCCTAGGACAGCTATTGTTATTTTTATTCGATTGCGAGTAGTTTAACTCATTTTTATTTTTTCTAGAATGTAATACTTGAGTGTGACATCATACTTGTTTTTGTTAAAAATACTTAAACATTAGATTACTACGTATTTGTAGTATGTTTCATTTTTATGTTAACACGTTACTTAAGATATTAATTTTATTTTTACAGACTCGAGTTTGAAGCTAGAAACTTAAAAAAGGAAGCCAAAGAGTTGGCAATTATCAAAGAAATGGATAAAATAAAATTGGAATCGTGCTAGTATCGTGTGAGTTATTTTTTTTATAGATAATAAAATGTGTTGATAATAAATTGTGTAGTTGGTTATTTGTTCAAATAATTTTAAAATTATGTTCATGTTACCAGTCAATACATTGATCAATTTCTTCTTAATGTTTACATTTTGTTGTTGTTTGATTTTTGTTTACTATTATTACTTATATTAGCTAATAACTGTATAATAACTTAAACAATTAATGTGTATTATAATATTTATTTTTATATAGTTATATTAGAGTGAATAACTCTTAAATTTTTATCCAAATCCATATTGTGTTTTTGTTATGTGTAAAAATAATCAAATTTTGTAATATAGCAATGGATATATTAGTTTAATTATATTATTTTATTGTATTTTTTTGAAAATGTATAGTGAAACTTAGTGCCAAAAATAATAACAATATGAACTTTAAATACGCCTTGTATTGACAAAAAATATAATACTTATAAAATGATTTGATTCTGTCTGTTATTTCAATTTTAACTAAGTTTAAAACTAACTAATATTTGTACATGTAACGGCACTGTTACTGTTAATTAGTAAGTATTAAAAACAACTAGTGGAAGTTTTTTAATCATATGAATGTTTTAATGAGTTGCTGCATTTTTATTTCTTGAGATTTTAAATGTATTTAGAGCAGAAATATGATCTTAATTAAATTTAATCTACCTTTTTATTGTTAACTCAATAATATTTGTAAGTGGTCACTAATGTTTTATAAATCTTTTTGTCTTCATTTCTCTCTATATTATATCAAATTTTGTATTAAGTTAAATTATTTTTAAACCATTGAAATTGTAACAATGGTTTGACTGCTTTAGAAGCTGTTTTTCCAAAAAAAAAAAAATAATCAGATTTTTATAGCAAAAACAATATTTTTATCTTCCAAAGAATTGGGTAATTTTGTTATATAGAGTATACACAATTTATTAATGTATAGTTTACTCAATATATTATTGTTCTCATTCTTATACTTTTCTTTTACTACATTTTTATTGTACAGATTATTAATTATACATAGGTACACATATCAATATTACCATATATTGTACTTAGCGTTCCATGATTTAATTTTTAAATTTAATAAAACTTAATGTTTTTGATATGTATTAATGTATTTATTTATTAAATTAATTGTATTGATAATATTTTAGGTGTAAAGATACAACAAATGAATATACATGTTATAGGTTAGAGTTTTGTCAATTACAGTAGATTGCAACATGCAGGTAATTAAATTATTAAAAAGAAAAAATATTTTATATGCTCATAATTTTTTTTATGGATCATGTTATTTCTCTTAGTATACAGCAGTATTTACACAAGTTGATATCATTTTTAAAAACAAAGAACAATACCGGTGTGTTAACTTCTATTTATTTTACAATATTGTAATTAAAATACTATAATAGTAGCCAACTACTACTGGTCTTTGATCGTATATTGTAACTAATCACAAACTGTGTGTGAAAATTATCGAATCAATTAATATTAATGTTAGCTAATAAAATATGTTTATTGTGTTACGATTCATGAAATATTTAAAAACTAATTGCAGTGCCAGTATGAATTTGTTTTTTTCTACCAGTTAGACAGTGGAAAATGATTGGTTGTTTTATGGTATACGTATGAAGCCGAGAAAAATAAACACACTTCTAGTTGTCTTTTAGCAGGTCTCTTGAACACACAATAAAGGAATAATTGTTTGCCCCCTTACACAAAACGTAAAAAATGCATCTTTTAACGTTTAATTTTTACATTGTAGTAATTACGTTATCTCTGAAAAGACTTAATACTTAAAGACAATAGGCTGCCATTTGGACTTAAAAAATCTACCTTCCAATCCTGGTAATTCTTGCCAGTCAGCAAACTATCCGCTATTCCCTGTCTGACCGTGATGCTAATAATTATTTCCTGTGCGTTCACATGCCGGTTAACCATCGTCAAATGAAACGGTACCTATATTATTTTCGATGATCGTTTGCACCTATACTGACGATTTGTATTCTCGCGGTCAGTCGCGAGCGTGCGTATCGTCGAAAATGTGTTTTCGGACACTGGTCACGCCGCTGCTATTGTCGTAAAAAACGGTCCTCACAAACAAAACGGGGACAATTTTTTTTGAAAAATTACTATGGTTTGTGCGTACTATTCCGGACGTACAACTGCAATAATGTAACTATAGATAGTCTATGTTATGTACATTATAATATTGTATACGTTAAAAATGCATTTTATAGGATTCACGTTAGCCGGCGCAATTTTTTTTTTCGTTTTTGTCCAGCATATATCCCGATTCGTCCCCTATATATTGCAGACGGCTGTCGAAACCCGACCGCCAACTCTGTCGTAGGGTCTTCCCTGCTGTGGACGGTTTCTTTCTTCCGGCGAACGATAAAAAATATTATAATACACCCATATGACCTATACCTATGTAGGTACCTAGCTGCGCGTAATGAAATTTCTCACTGAAAATAAAAAATTATATTAGGACAGTACTTATAAGCCCATAAACCCAAAATCTTACGTGTGTCTACGTCTTCGGCGGAAATAAGTTGAACGGTTAATAAATAATTACGATCCACCGTAAATGTTTAGGTACGATAGGAATTCGCGAATAATACGAATACTTACTGTACTTATTACACCTACTTTACATATCCCATTTATCCTGTATATTTAATAAAAATAAAAATAAATAATACAATATAGGTACCTACGGTAAGAAGATAAAATAAGGTTATAAACGCCGATGAGGTGTTTACGAACGGAACAAAGTTGACCCCCGGTCAATGTGGTAAGTCGTAAAATTCATGGTGAAAAAACGCTGTACAACCACGATGATCTCGTATTGTATTGGTTCGATCCGATAGAAACGCGGCGGTACGGTAAGCGCGTAATCAACGCGTACTTTATTATTCCTGTCGGACAACGCAGTGTTTTCGAGCGCGCGCGTGGGTATAATTACGTTCGAAGTTCGAAGTGTTTTCTGATGTTTATTGTTGTGTCAAAGTTCGTTTTTTTCTCTACACGGCGTGGCGGCGCGGTGCAGGTAAACGTCAATTTCGTCCATTGTCGAGATTCCGAGTGATGACGTCGATTGTGCACAAACACAAAGCCACGGTCGCTGCGGTGTCGTCGGTAAACATCTCAACAAAATGGCGACGGCACGTATTTATATTTATGCCCGAGTTTAATCTGATGTGAGTACACGATAACAACAGCTATTAATCTATACGGCTTTACGCTTACGTGCAAAATTACCGCGAATATTTTTTGTTCGGCGGTTTTCTGACACAACACACCGTTGTACATAGCTTGTTAGTTGTTCATAATCTAGGGTTTTTTTTTTTTTTGTGAGTTACGTGGTAGGTAGTAAAAATATTGTGTAGATCCTACGGTCGACACCCCGTTTGACTTTATCATCGGAAAGTTCCGCGTACCGTTTTTGTTTGTGTAGGCACCGGATGACTGTTGCGGTATTACCATTTTTTTTTTTTTTTTTTTTGTACATTGCGTATCTTTTGCACCATTTGTCGGGAGCGGTTTTCCGAATAAAATATTATCTCCAGCATAGGTGTAGACCAAAACATTTCGTAGGAAAAAACTATGGGCGGCAGGGGAGTGGTTAGAACGAGACGAATACGCGATCTTTGAGTAGCGGCTGCTTCGCGATTTTTTCAAGATTTTGGGTTGGGTGACGAATGTTCATTATCAAAATAAATAAAAAATTATAGTTTTTTGGAACTATTGACGATGATTGGTTACTATGTAGATTACGGGTTGTTTCCGAATTTTTTTTAGATTCATTTGCTACTGGAGGTTAGTATAGGCATATTTACCGTTAGATTTTTACTAGGCTCGTTTGCAGGAGGGTGTTTTGGGTGTTCAAAAACCTCGTGAAACATTTGGTTTTTTTGTATAGTTATTTACTAATTCAATTTTAATATTAGGTTATTGCACTAATTTTCAATAACCGATTTTCTAAAACACCCCTCACCCTTAACTTTTTTCCGTGTAGGTACGTCCCCGATTGTCAACATAATTATTATTAAGGTACCCAGTGGCGGCTCGAAGGAGATATATTTGAATCACGCGTAATTCACAAAAAAACGGGTGGATGGGTCGTGGGTGCCTGGGTGTTCAGAAATATAACAAAAATCATTGTGTTTTTACAAAATTAAACATCCAAATAATTTTAGACTTCGGAAATTTGATAAATTTGACAAATTTTAATTTCATTTGTGGTAGGGTGGGAGTGGATAGGTGGATCAAATCGGTGATTTAAGGTAAAAATAATTCGAGCCGCCACAAACTATAAGTACCTATGGGCTATCGGACATTCGTTCTGTTGACCGTGTTGAAATTTATCCGCCGATAAAAAAAAAAAAAAAAACAGCCGTTATTATTTTGTTAGACAACCTATTCGAGCGTCCTTAAATTTAAAACGGTTTATCTTAAGTTTTTTTCAAGTATTTTTTACATAGGTTGTTGATATTATGATCAAACCACTTTAATGTTTAAATCGTCTTGGAAATTGTTCATGTAAACGTGACTCCTCCTAAACGTAAACCTCGGTCGATATGACCTAACGATTAAATGACCTACCTGTAATGGCTTAAGAATTCGATATCACGGTTATAAAAACTTCTCTGATTTTAGAGCTTACTCAGTCCATCAATTTACTATGAAATTCCCCACAATACTATACCACTCGAATCGCTCGTATATTTATCCTATTTATCTTACTGTTCAAGAAGGCGAGCTATCATCATTTGCAATTCGATCGTAAAAACGATTTTATGCGGGATAAATAATGACTCGAGAGTGCAGACCTCATTAGGATATTCAATTTTCACCTAAATAAAATAGAGAATTTGCAACTGTGCAACGTTGTTTTTAGTTGTTCGATATTACAAATAAATAACATTCTTATTAGTGTTCTATAATTTTTTAAATCAATGTTTTTCAAACTCGAGAACCTAATTTTTTTGTAATAATAACATCAAAAAACTAAAATCAATGGCTTCTCTATTTTTTTTTTTTTTTTTGTAGTGAAAATTTAGTTTCTTAATTAATTCTATAGCTCGAGAGTAATAATTTTTGCCCGAGCGAAACGGATTCTTTTTAATTTCACGGTTACATAATAAATACTTGCGACAAATAACAATGCGACACGGGACTATTTTTAAATGTATTTGAAAGCGAATTTGAAATATTTTCGAGTTAATAAAGTTTTATTTTCCCAAAAATTCCGAGAAAATTGTCAATACTCCTAAGGTTGAAATAAGATTGACATTATTGTACTCTAACTAATTGTTACTGATTTTTAAATAAAATATTTAGTATATTTAAAATGGAATAAAAATTAATTCTTGTTGATATATTTTATCGAAAAATCTGTACACAACAATAAATCGTTGCTAACAAAAAACTACTTGTTGCTACCAACAAGTATACAACTTATGATGAACCTTGTGTTAAATTTTCGAGTATTTTCGCTAGGCTACGATAATCTTATACACATAAACCCGATTATGAATTTGAAGAGTATTTTGTTGAAAAGTGTTATATCAATTTCTGCATTAAATATATAAAAGTTTATAATTTTATTATAATTTTTTTGTTATATTCTACAATCTTATAACGACAGCTACCTATGACTCATAGGTGATTTTAAGTAGGTTTATTTTGAATTGTAATTTACGAACAAATACTATGTATACATTGATATTTTATAGATTTTGAGTAGATCAACTAAAAATTGTCTAGGATGCGTTTTTTCTCGAAATTAAATTTTCAGTTAGTAAAAATGCTCTTAAACTTTCACACTTTTGGGAGGTCACTTTTAGATTTTCTTAGGAGTTTTGCCAATAAATGGGAAAAACCGGAAAAAAACAGAAAAAAACATAAGAAAAACGGAAAAATAAGTACAATATTAAACAAATATTATTAAAGAAAATGTTTAATGCATATGCAATTGTTTCATTATAATATGACATACATATTGTTTAAAAAACAACACTATGAACCGAACTCTATTCAGAATAATTTTTTCGTTAGCAACAGTTAATCACTGTGTATAGATATACATTCAATTCCCTTCTATATCCTACCTTTCTAACTTTCCACCTAAATCAGTGGACTGTCCATGGTGTGATGTGATGTATTTATACTTATATTTTCGTTTTATAAACATTTAAAATTTAATTTATAATACTATTATGAATTGGCGGTCATCATTGGTAGATTCGAGGATTGTGTTATTCAGATACCTATTAAAACAAAAAAAAAAAAAATTAATAAATTTAATTATTAAATAACATACAATGTAAATATACTTATGATATATTCAACATTTTTGGTTTTCGAATTTTAACAGATTTTGTGTCCATATTGTGCACATTAAAACAGATAACTAACTTATATCTCTTAAGATAAATTGTAATATTACCTAGATATATCTATATATAATATCAGAGTTAGGAAAATTCCTTTTAAAAAGGAATGCATTCCTATTCACATTCCTGAGCTGAAAAAAGGTATTCATTCGTTTAAACAGGAATTTAATTTAATGAGTGTATGCTTTACAAACATTCTATAATATTAGGTTGTTAAAAATAACCTATGCACCACAGTTTTCAGTGTTGTCTAAAACAGTTTCAGAATGTATTCCCAATTATCCCTACCTATCCTATATCTACCTACTTAAGAAATAAGCAATTTCAACAATCTAAATTCACACGAACATAATATTTTGAAAAGTGCCTATCTAGACATACATGATTATGTACGTAGGTAGATACTTTTAACATTCCATTATTATCCTTTATACAGCAGTTCTTCATATTTTATCTTTTCGCATATTTTCAAATGACTAACATTGCACAAGTATTCGATCGTATTAAAATATTATAATAGCTCCTATCGTATAGCTGCTGCTATTGCTGTATACATACATGATATTATAAACTCGTGACTAATGTATATTTAGTAATGATTTTAATACCTATACAAACACTACAATAATACACATCAGAAAAATACCAATCAGCAATAATTATTAACGTTATCATTTAATATTTTCCCAGGGTTATCTGCAACATTTAATTTAAATATTATTTACTCGGACCTTTAGCTTTCTATTAAATCATACAGTAGATAGTCATCATTCCGGAATTATTCATCGCGGCAAATAATGGTTATTTCGATTTCTTTACATAAGAAATTAAGGCGTTGATGATAATAATTTATTAACTTATCATACAATTTATAATGGGCACAACTGAATTGTTATCGTCGAACTATTCGATAATTGATCGCATTCGAACTGTTCAATGGATTAAAAACTATAATATATATATAGTTTCTATAGAACTAATAGTTTTCAAAATTTTTCGGAATAAAAATTGTCAACCATGGAAAAAAAAAATCAAATAAATATTTCATAATTCATCCAAACTATTGACACGAGTTGTATAAATAATTCTGAGGTGTCTAATACTGGACAAAATTTTATATATACCTAATAAATAATCCAATTCTGCAGTAATATAGGTTGCAGCTAGGGCTCATAAGTTGATGCATTTTGGCTTTTGCTAGGTCGTATTGCATTTAATACAAATTTTTAATTTAATTCAATACCTTCTGGTAACATAGAAATTAGTATCAAGGCTACATGATTCATTACAGATGTATAGGTAATATGACATTTAAAGTTGCATATTTTGAGGTTTTTCGTAGAGGTTTTTTTATCTATCATCGGTGACTGATAAAAATATCTTCGCGAAAATATGTTCGACAAATATTTCTCTTAAAAATATATTCGTGGAAATCTTTTAGACAAAATATTAGAATTTTCCTATACAAATCCTATCCTATACGATCGTATAACTTATCATGATACTCCATATGACGCATTTATTAATTCATTTCATTTTTATATGTAAATTTTTTTATTTATATTTATTTACGTTTACTAACCATTTTAATAATTTTGTATTTACTTTATTATTTTATTAAATATTTTAAATATATAATTAAATAAAATATCAACAATTATTTATTTGTTTCATATATTTACTAGTGTGTATCATTGTATCAAAGTTGGACAAGTTAGTCATTTTTTTCAACTATTTAAATTAAGCTGCTTTAATATATATATAACTAATAAAGTTAGAATAGAAATTAGTTACTAAAATTTCCTAAAATTCTAACTTAGCTAGTGAAAATAAGTAACCTAAGTTAGAATAAATGTTACTGGTTAGTTTTTTTTTATAATTCAAAACCCCGGAACTAAATTATTATAATTATTAAACGCATATAACTTGACTATAATGATTGATAAATAGTAAAATACAACATTTTTGGTTATATTGCATATAATGTGGAACTGTGGATGGTGGAACATATTAGATACATAATTCATACAGTCACATGAGTTACACAATTATAAGAGTCGCACAAATAAACAGGTCACAGATGCACAGTTAAAAAGATACGAAAATACTTCGTACGATTGGTGGATCACTGTTGTAGGTGAGAAGTTGGGATATGATAGGATATAGAGGGTAATTTAATGTATATCCGTACCAAAAGATTAATTATCGCTAACGAAAAAACGATTTTGAATGGAGTTCGGTTATACATGTTATGAAAGGCCGTAATATTTATGATTTGAAAATAATACATTTCGTACATTTTCCCGTTTTTCCTATATTTTTCCTGGTTTTTCCTGTTTATTATGAAAATTTCTGAGAAAATAAAAATTCAAAATAAATAATAGTACCCAGCTTTCATTTTTATTGCTTGTTCACTATTAAAGAATATTTGAACACTTTGCTTATGCAGTTATATTTAAGCTATGTTTTTCAGTGCGTGAACTTACAACTAAGCCCGGGTGGTAAATGGTAATGGGTATAATTACACTGCGATACTGTTATATTATATTTGCTGGATTTTTTTTTATAACCATGTTATAGTATTAATATGTGTAGCCTACAGGTTATTAATTTTTAGGACAACACGTGCGATAAAAATATCTATGTATACAGTCTATACTTTGGTCCACACTAATCGTATAAAAATAAATAATGTGACAATTATCAACACAAATGTAAACAATGAATTGTAAAAAAAAGAGACGGACGAGTCAGGAAGTTTTTCACGTTTCAATCAACCTTATATAGCTGGTATAATCTGTGTGATCCGGCGAAAAAACGGATTGCCCTCGGATTTCCCGAACCAACCGAGAAAATCCGCTGTCGTCATCATGGTCGGGTACCTACCTATATGTACCTGTGGTTTCGCACACGTCAAGTGACGTGATTGCGTGAAATCACTCGATTTTCCATGGTGTATAAGTGACAAGTGTGTGTGTTCACTGTATACACACTGCGGCGCTATAACGTTTGAATAATTCCATGCGGGCGAGTACGACTCCACGAAAGATTATATTATTTATTGCGACACAATATACCTGCACTACTATCATTATAGAAGGTATATTTACCGTTTTTCCATTAGCAACGAGGAGAAACATACAAATAAAAAACAGTACATAGTGTACAGAGTGATTCGCGAAAGTGCAATAATTATATAAAAAGGAGAATTTTGAGTAAATTTGATTTCGTTTTTTTTTCCAATCATTATTAAATTGTATAGAATATCGTGTAAATCATCTTATTTTCAATATTTCAGAAAGTTATACTTATTTTACATGCCCGTCAATATATATATCTGTGTATATACATATATAACTACTAGGTAATGATTTCTCAGAGAACCCACATTTTTAAACTATGATTCGAAAAGTGGAATTTACTTAACTTGTATAATACATTTTGACACGCATGTTATGATATTTGTATTTATCGTTCAGTTTATGAGTTATAAAAAAGTTTTGAATCTTATATGTACACAATTTTAATTCAATCAAACCGCTATACACTTTTACAGTATTATTCCGACCTTGACGAAACTTTGCACATTTAACATTCAAAAGGTTATTATATTATTTAATTCGATTCTCATAATAGACAAGGAAATACCCTTTTTAAAAGATAAATTACTGTATAACAACGATTTACTGGGATAAAGATGGAAAGGTGGAAACACGTTAAATTTATTATTTTTTTATTAATTTCTATTTTTGAAATATTTGTGCCCAAAAAATATCGAGCAATTCAGTTGTTAACTATACATATGGATATGAACTTGACTATTACCTTTCCCTCCTTTATAATCGTCCAATCTAAATTTGAACTATTAAATGTTTAATCATTAACTTACAAACTGTTCATTTGATATTAAATATTTTGTGCACAATTGACATATATTGATAAATATTCGTATTTTGAATACAAGTTTCAAAATTAGCTGGGTTGTGTTGAACTGTATATACATATCCAGAAAAAGAAAAAGAATGTTGAAAATATTGAAAAACGATACAGTTGAATTTTAATATCATTATATTTTTCTGTAATGGAATTATAACAAAAAAAAAGAGCTAATACTGGGGATGGGAGCGGCCACTGTTGTAGGTGAAGTTGGGAAGGTAGGATATATAAGGTTATTTTATCTATATCTGTAAGTAACGATAAACCATTGCTTGTTTGACGAAAGACAATCCCGAGCGCAGTTCAGTAATATATAATTTGAAGTGCCATATTTTTTTTGCGATTTTCGTTTAAATTTGATTTCAAAACGCTTATTAAAAAAAGAAATTCGTCCGATTATTTAGGAAATGTTACCACGTCTAAGTAAATCTAATATATGTATTATTACCAATTTTCAAGTCTTTATATGTATTTATTATCAAATAACAACAAAAACATCCAAAATTAAAATTCCTTAAAAGCTCAAAAGTGGTTCAAAAATTATGATTATATTACTGTAAGATAGTAAATTTAAAAGGCAACAAAATAAGTAGCTTTTAATTTTTTGATTAAATAATTTTTTCTGGTAGAAAACGTCGTCTGTGTTTATAAAACACATAATGAAATCGTGAAATTGTACGTTATCCAATGTTTTTTTTCCCCACTTAAGTGCTTTTATTTAAAAAATGGAGTTGAAAATCAAAAAAACTTCTCTATAGTGTATCATCCAGAAAATTTGAGCTTTCAAAAAAGTTGCTTCATGTAGAAATTGGAGCAAGTTTACTAGGAAAAAACGCGTTCATAGATTAGAAAAAAAAGAAATAAACATCTTGGTAAAACCAATAGCTCCTTCATTACTCTCGGAATCTAAAAGGAAATTAAATTAAATGTATAGGTTTATTAAAAATCTTCATAAGTATAATTGATGAATATAAATATAATAATATTACAATTATAATAATATATCATAATTATTATATTACAATATAATATTGATGATAATTGATTATAATATATGATGAAATAATCACTCTGTATATTGGAGGTTTAATTAAGCCTCCTACTGTGTACATTAATTATAAATAAAAAAAAAAAAAATGACCGCTGGAAACTAAAATTATTTACGGGTTTTTAAAATTAAAAACGATTTATTCCAATTAGCTGTGTAGTAGACACGGCCGCGGTCCACGGAAAACTAGAAAGTCAATTTTTCCCCCGCGCGGCACAAATTTTACACTGGCGCGCGGTCCGTTGGGTAAGTAGTTCGACTATATTGCGTTAGGTACCTGTAAAGTACACGCGTTCACTCGTCTGTGTATAAAATAATATGTTTATATAGTGTTAATCATTTTATGTGCGGGCTACCAGCTCAACTCGTAATAGTTTTTTTTTACCTCTCCTAATAAAACAGGATATAATCTGGTCGAATGATTCTGTAGTTAGCTATGACGGCTGCAGCCTGGCGGTAGCGGTTTCCTAGTTTTTCGATAATAATTTCTATTTTTATAATTTAAAAATACGGATTATAATACATATATATTTTACATTAATCATCCCGTCACAATACATTGCGGGTACCAACGCGTTCTGTGTCGTTGCGTATCAAATTTTTTTAGCCTTCTGAACACGACGATCAAGGGCGGCGATGCCTAGTCTCTTCGTATCTGCGGTACCCACCAGTATACTATTATATTATATCGTTACGATTTAATTTCGTACATTTAACACAGTTTACGGAATTTCGATTTTACTATTTTTAAGTCAATGTCACCGTGTGATTTGCTGATGTCGCTCGACTGTAAAAGTATTATGTATACGTATAAAATATATACAGGCCGGGTAATCGCTGCAGTATCGTGCTGAACATTTTTCAGACCCGAGGCAAACTAAAATATATTACCAATTTGACTACAAAATTAATCAGAATCAATCTTTTATTATAATTTTTTTTTTTAGATTCTGAGCAGATCGGGAAAGTTATTAGTTTTAAATATTTTTTGTAGAAGATGTGTTCTTTTCTTCAAAAAATATGTTTTTGGTTATTAAATATGTTTCAAAACTTATGTGGATTTTTCGGTCTGGCGGTAATTTTTAAAAATATTTGTCTAAATTCCAAACAGTTATTATAAAAGAACTTTCGATTGCGAAGGATGTTTTTTAATTTTTTTACTTAAAATAGTAGATATTATTAGGCACATTTTACCTGTATATTTGTGGGGTACTTATACGTGACCATATTCCTTGCGTGCAGCGGCGTAACCATTAATTACCGCGGGAAAACCACGCAGAGTAATTTTTAAATATTATATTTAATACGAGTTGTACCTGCAGTGAAGTGGCGTGTCTCAGACTTTACGATGGGAGGGGTATAGTAAATAATAATCATACAAAATCGTAGAATCTTCTTCTTTATCTAACTTGATTATGGAATTTTGAAAGTCGAATTCAAAAAGGCAAATTTGTAACCAATAAATCAAATGTTTCGATGTAATTCGACCGAAAATCTGAAATATGTTCATTTTAAGATTAAATAACTAAATAAATGCCCATAGTAGTTGTATTTTCAAGCAAATCGGGGGATATAATCCTTTATCTACCCCCTGCACATCACGCAACTGTGTGCCTGTACGATGATGTGCAGGTGATACTGTGGTAGTCTTTCAAATAGACGAATTTCGGGGATCCCGTTAACAAAATGTGTGTATCTATCTATTATAAGTATATAAGTACCCAGTTTTTATAAAACTTTGTAGACTAGACATGCACAATCGAAATGGTGTTTGTTATGCGTCCGACATTTTTTCTAAATAGTCTGCAAGACGGTGGCGGCATATTGCGGCTCATCGTACGCCTATCATATCGAGTGTATAATAATGTTATATTATATGTTGGTGTACCTATATAATAATATAATTTTACACTTTTCTTTTATGCTGCAGTCGATGACGCACGTTTCACGTTTCAGTGAACAATGAAATCAAAACCCGAGGCGGTACGGTTATTATTTGTATTTTTTCTAAATCCGTTCACACGGTGTTCATCGGAACGGCCCCTCTGTTGCTGATTCAGAAGCAACCGTTGTATACACCAAAATCGTATCATCATTATTATTATTATTATTATTATTATTATTATTATATTGTTAGTGGTGAATAATAATATCCATTAAGGTGACCGACGACGCGACACTCGCGTTTATAAGTAGGTACGCGTCACGTCGTAATGTACAAAAATAATAACAGTCCGTGAGCAGCCGAGGTGACGTACTGCAAAAGATCAAGAGTAGAAAATACGGTTCTCTTCTGCCACAATATCCGGTCATTAAATAATAATGAAAACAAAAATAGTTGGTATTTCTGACGGGTGGCCTGCATCAGTGGTAAAACAAACGCGGTTTTTGAGAAGTGGTTTTTTCTAGATTTTTTTTACTGAAGGGTGCTCAATATAAAAATTTAGGTAGTAAAAATAGGCAAACATATTGGGATTGTTGTACAAAACGTAGGATTTATTAAGAAATACTGTCGAGTGGAAATTGGGTAGATTGAAGTATGTTGCTTCTGAGTTATTTTATATTCGTTTCGCCACTAGCCTGTACGGTATAGGTGAAAAGTCGGAAAAGTACAGTATATACATACTATTATATTGTGTAATTCGCATTTATATTATTTGTACGTAACGATAAAGCATTGCCAATGAAAAACGATTCTGAACGAAGTTTGGTTAAATGATTATATATGTTTTGAAAAAATTGGATTATTACGGTTTTCATAAAAATTCGAACTTTAAATTTTATACACAAATACTAGATTACATTCAATTTTTTTTTTCATTGACCCCCTAAGTATACAATAACTTATGATGGACCTTGTGACAAATTTTCAGGAATTTTTGCTTGGTAAAAACAATAACTATATCCACATAAAACCGTATAAAAGCTAAAAATAAATCATGAAAATGTCAAATAGCTAAAGATAGTTAATAAATCGCCAGAATGTTTTGAACCATGTCTAGACATGTAGAAATGTCAGATCTACGGTTATTTCTAACCAAATTATAAAAAAAAAAAAAATCGAAAATAACAGAAACCGTTAACGCGTAAATGTGCACGTTTTTCGTACATTTTGTTCCCAATCATATTGAGAAAACTATAGGTAAAATCGACGTTCGCAATATGCATCGAATAGACAAAAATTTGGTACGCCAGAAATCACACATCACATAGTCGATGATTCGAGCGAGATTTCTGTAGGTGGAAAAGTCGTTTGTGCAAACAGAAAAAAACGTACGTATCATAATATTATAACCATATAAATAAAATATGTATTGATACGGAAGCCATCGATATATTTATTTATCGGAATCAGATGGAAAAAAAAAAAAAATAAAGAACCGAAATTCTCGTCTTGCTCCGTCCGGGGGAAGATTATAGTAGACCGTAGATCTTCGCGGGGGTTATACCGGCCGACTGACTGCAGATCGATTGACCGCACACGCACACGTCGTCTTCGCCGTCGTTTCGACGAGTAACATTTTATTACAATACCGCCGCCGCCGTTTATTGTAATAATAATTTGTTTTACACGCACGAGCCCAACTGCGACAGCTTGCAGCAACAGCATCAGCAGCAGCAGCAGACGCCTGCATATAGGAAGCCATCAAGCGCGGCCGGGGGTTCCGCGCATATGCACTCTTCACTTCACCAAGAATACAATGTATACGTATATAGTTACATATATATAGTTATATTATTATATCTTTACCTTATGTACGTAGAAATTTATAAATAATGTACAGCATAATATGTTAAGCATAGTGTAGTGTTACCACCGCGTGGCGCGTGTACGCTCGCATAGAAGAGTTGGCACGCGGAGTGCGTGAGGCGGCGATGGTAGGGGAAACCGTCTAAGCGCCCGCCGCCGCTGCCGCCGAGTTGGCGTTACGCGGACGTCGGAGGGTTCATTCTTCGGTGCACTTCTCGTCCGGTCGGAAGTTCAAAGGAAACAAATACATCAACCGGCAACAGCCCGCGAACACAGCAAACACAGTCGGCAAATCGTACGCAGCCAGACGACCAGTTCAGCCACAGCTACAGTTTTGCAGTTTACTCGTTCAGCACATCAGTCATCATGAGGGAAATCGTACATTTGCAAGCCGGACAGTGCGGAAACCAGATCGGCGCCAAGGTACGTTCGTTACGACGTTATTAATATTGTCTTTGGTCTCAGATAAGAAAAGCCTAAGCCAATTTTTTTTTTTTAGTCTTTCGCTAATTTTTAGTTAAAATGGCATACATGTATGCGTAGTGTATACACTCTAACGCATGTCGTATTACAAGTTGAAATATTTGCATTCACTATGCGATGCACTTTTTGTTTGGTGGGAAAGGTCGTTTAACCTCGTTTATGTTAGGTAAATTATAATTATATGACTTGAGCCATTAAGGATAATTAGCAATTTAGCAATTTTCAAAATGTAATTTACTTGCATTGAAAACTATACAGAATTTACTTCAGTTCTTCTTCGCTGGGATCAGAGATATTATAAATCACATTTTTGTAAAGGTTGGCATTTTTTGAAGGAAACTTAAGACGGTATAAAATAAATAGTAATATTATACCCGGCCAATGACGACGAAACTTACTACATTTTTAAAGAGATCAAATCAATTTGTTGTCCTAGGATATTATTATATGGGGTTTTGTCAATAATTATGTGCATTTTTGCAGACACCTACCTATACATTGTTCGATTCACGTTAACAGCTAAACTTACTTCAAAAGTAATAATTTTATTTTTACATTTTGTATTTTTTTTTTTTAATGGAACACGGTGGGGTGATTTACCGGTTTATTCGAGTGCAGTCGAAATCGCATCGCACGGAAAACTACCGGTGCCGCGCGTGCGAAACGATAGGCAAATATGTTTCACTTCGGTATAATAATAATTAGTAATTATTACCCGCGTCATGATGATAGGTTTACGCCTCAACACGCTCCGAATAGAAATCCGTTTTTACCTAAGCATATATTTTTGTCCTGTATATATAATTATAATAATAATATGTAGCTCGAGGGATGCGTAGTTAGAACGTTAAACTCAATACGTCTCCCCCGCCTTAAACATACAGTTTTCAAACAATCGACACGAATATTGGATGGATTTTTTTTTTATCAAAATTCATATTTCACCGACAAAATCGATTGTATTCGTACGGAATAACGGCGTGATTTAATGATAAGTGTATATTTTTGGTCTTAGGCTTAAGTTAATTTTGTGTGGTTTTCAATACAAGCAAATTACCGCATAATATGCTAAATGGCTTATGGCGTTCTAATTTCTAAAATTCATATACGAGATATTGTAAAACCGATGTCCTATGTTTGAAATCGAAAACCAAAAGTTGATATTTCATATTCATTTCTTAATTCATATTCATAGACATTATAGATATATTTTTCCGGAAATATCGGGCCAAATATTGGTTAAAAAAAAAAAAAAAAAACCCCGATATCGATAAAACACATTGTAATCGGTCGATATTCAGCATCTGTGTACGTATCGGTCTGTTCCTAATTAGAATACTCACACGTATACTTATGCCCATTTAAACCGAAAAATAAAGCGGATCAAAATATTATAGTATAGATACAATTATACAATATTATAAATGAAAAAAATGTCAATTTGACTTAAGCCCTTCTTTCTCGGGACCAAAACTATAATAATGGTATATTATAACGTCGTGTAGTACTTATGACGGTTAAGATTTTTGTATACATTAAACGGGATGTTTTTTAATGGACTTTTCGACATTATTATATACATTTATATGTATTTTCACACGTATTATATTGTAGTTTTTCGAGGTATTTGGATTTTTACGAGGATTTTTATGAATGCGGACTTCAATCTATATAATAATAATGATATATCGCCGTCGGTCACTATATTATTATTTGACGCGCGATGAGACGACATTCCTGCACGTTTCCTGCACTCCGTGAGCACGCGCTCACTAGTCGTTACCCGTATCGCTTATTATTATAATATAATATTGTCGAATATATTCGCAGCAAAACAAAAAAAAAAAATATTTTTTTTTTTTTTTTTTACGTATTTGTCTCTAAAACGACAGTACGGCCCTTTGCGTGGCCAAACTACAAGAGTCGGGGAGCAGACGAAATTCTTCACGGGAAGGGGGATCAAGGGGATTTTACTCGACTAGTAAAAATATATAATTTGTACTTTTAATCAAAAATAGTACCCAGGTATGATATTTTAAACGGTCGTTTATTAACGATTATAATAGGCAATGTAAGAAAAACATTTTTTTTTTTTTTTAATAAGGGGAGATTTTCGGGAAGGGAAATGTGGTAGACGTTTGCGTACATTTTTCTTGATCAGTCCTCGTATAGTACTGCGGGATAATAGTAGAAATGTTATTCGTTCGATGGGTATAGATCACTGTAGTTTTAGATGGGGAATAAGTTTAAGATTTAACTAGAAGAAAAAAACACACGCATCATATTATTATATTATTATCATATTATTATAGTGAAACCGATAAATTCTTCGCTCCGCTCAGAATCTAATATAATTTATAATAATTGTTCGTGTTTTTAACGTATTTAGCATATATTACAACGTTATATTTGGATAATAATTGGAGAAAAATCGCAACGTGGCACTATTAGAACCATTATTTTTTCTTTATGCCCCTCTCCGGAATATTTTAATTTGGTTTTGCAATCTGAACGAGTACGGGTCATGTTTTCGCGGTCGTTTTTATGCGGGAAAATGCACTCAAATGCGACCGCCTAACGTGTACATGGTTCGCCGGATTTCGTCTAGAGGCCACCGGCACCTCCGGGTGGAGAGATTTTTCCGCCGTTGATCGTTGACGCGAATCGCGCTGTGAGCAGCAAATATAATGTTCATACATCCACAGTGTGTTCACACTAAGGGGCACCGTTTAAAATTTCTGGGGTTGAGCCGCACAATGGAAAAAACATTGTGAGTTAAAAAAAAAAAAAATCAAAAATGTTAATTTTTGTGGCACATTAAAATTAAAATATTCGTTGTTAAATGGTAACACCGCACACTTGCGCGTGTCGAGGTGCCAAGCCAATTCCGTTTGTCTGATAATAGACGATTTTTGATTTTTCTAACAACTATAATATTACATTGCCGAATAATTTTATTTAGAGGTTGTTTTTTCGGACTTGTTCCCTACGAGAACTGTACCGGACCTATTTGTAGGTATATGAAAATCTGACATCCTTATCTCGCCGAATCGTGTGAACCGCAACATAATCGTAACTCTCATTGAAATTCATAACTGTGAACGGAGTTATATCTCGGTGTATATTTTGTTTTCACTCACTAGTATAATAATATATTATAATAATTCGTTCGCATAAAGATCGGGAAGTCTTTGGGCAAAAAACGGTTTTCGGATACTAAGCGCGATTCCGATTTCCGGAATATTCGGAAACCGGTTCGACGGCTGTGGCAGCCCGTTATCGGCGAGCTCGCGCATAAATCTTCCAAGTTGCCTGGTGTATAAGAATTGTTCCAATTATACGCACGAGTACATTAATTATCAATTATACCGAACCTACTAAGTATATAAGTAAATAACCTTTCAAAGAGATTGAGTTTAATATATGTTGACACTCACTCTACGTCTAGAAAAATGTGAACATAAGTTTTCGGTAAAAATGTCAAGTCTCTGCGATTATTTTTCCTCACTGAGTTACAAAAAAACAAAGAAACAAAATCGACTTTGATAAAAAATTTCCGGCGGCGTTACGCGTGGTGAACGCTCCAGTTTATTTTCTCTCGGGTTTTTCCCCTTTATATCATTTCGTAAGCAGAGGAAAAGTACAAGGATATCAAAATAACGTCCACCCCGATTTGCATCGACTATAATATATTATAGATGAAATATAGACCTAGAAATGTTTGCCCGCAGAAGCCATATCCCTGAAGTGACGTCGACGATCGGTGCTGGTCTCGCGCGTGTTACTCGCATCACAGCGAAACCGCATCTTAATAATACATTCCTCGCTACGCTTAGAATTAGAAAAAAAAAACCATCAATACCTATACCATAATACGTTTTTGGCGTTTCGATATGCCGTTATAACTTGTAATACTCGAGACTTGACGCGATAATATTATATAATATATAATATAAAAAACGTGTAATGTTCCCGGCGGTGAGCCTCCTGGTCCGCGTCCAGGAGGACCCTGACAAATCGGTGTATAAATGACGAGGCGATCCTCATCCTCGAGATGTGCACACAATGGAGAGAGGTATCGTCGCCGTCGTCGTTGTCGTCGTCGTCTTCGACGTGAAGGCATCGTCGTCGCCGGCTACCGTCAAGTTCAACGTTCTGCACCTCGCAACGTGCGTATTATTATTATGACGCGTATACGCCGCACATTATTATTATAAAGTAATAATCACACGAGTGGCGCTGATGCATCGGTGCTCGCCGTATACCGTGGTATAATAGTGGTTTCGTTCTTATTACACGCACGCACGAACACGCGTTTTTACGGCGTGTTCACGCTAAGAGCTTACCACCGAGCAATACAATTATAATGTTTTCAACCGGATATACGAAGACCACAGAAACAGTTTGACCCTACACGAATATATAAAGTTACGAAAGTAGGTACGGAGATCTGAAACGAATCAATCGGATGATTGTAGAAGAGAATATGGATTTTGATCGAAATAGGGATTGTCGAGAACGTTTTAACATATCCCTATTAATTTCGATTCAAGTTTCATTCGACTATTTGGTTTAATTAGGACAAAAATTTTTAAGGTGTATATGGAAATCTGGAAATGTAATATAATGACGAAAATAATATCATATATATTATATATATAAATAGCTGACCCCCATTGGCGGAGGATAAAAGTTATGAGGTGACTGAACTGAGAGCTGGTAGAGTGCAGTGAATTTTTTCGTCGCTAAATTTGAAAAATCGCAGTGCACAAATATGTAGTTTTACATAAGGTACTATTATTTATTTTTTATAACTATTTACTCGTATTTCGGTCTACGGATAAATCGGTATACAATAATTTAAATCTATTCAGAGTGTGTGGATTTGTGTAATAAAAATATATAAGATATTATAGTTTTCAGGGTACCTATACAGATGTAAACAAGTTACAGTGTGTGTTTTATGTTTACACTCGTATGCACCGTGTGTCTTATTTGCTGAGTTATGTAATAATATATATATACATAAGTTGGTTTGCGGTTTGGCTAGGTGACAAGTAAATTTCAAAAATTAAAATAATACACTATATATAGTATCGCGTTTTAATAGGTACGTAAACTTCGTTGTATATTTACAATATGTATTTCGACTATAGGCTGGTGCAGCTATATCTTCTTTTCGCTCCCGATTAAATGTTAAGTAATAATTTGGTTCTAAGACGCGATCGTCTGCATCATTCGTAGTTGATGCCAACAAATGTGGTTTTTATTGGACATTTGCCTTTTGAAACGATAGAAATGGAAACAAAAAGACTTGTTACATTCACATCGAATCGGATTATTTTGAAATTAAAATATTATATTTAATATGCGATAAGCGTTATATTTTAAAACTTTTAAATATTCTGAATGCAGCAAGGAATATAATATGTTGGTTGTATAAATTATTATGGTGTATTTAAAAAAAAAATCTTTTGTCTGTTAACTCGATCTAATCAAAAAAACATCAAGAGGTACGTCTAGTAGCAATTTTGATACAATATATAGTTTGTGAATGCGAGTGGTCATTTTTTGTATGTTTTTGTTTAACAATAAGGTCAAAAATACTCGCTGAGATCTAAATCATTTTGAACATAAATTAAACAAATCTGGGTCCGATAATATATTTCCCTTAGCTAAAGATCTGAAATTTGTACAGAATACATATATTAGCTGTTTATAGGCATTTGACATTTTTGAATTTGTTTAGTTTTCATTAAGTGCTATGTGGATAAATAAAATGATTTTCACCGAATGGTGCTTTTTGCGAATTTAACACGACGTTCATAATAATTTATACTTGGTGAGGAAAAAAATCGAGCGCAATACAGTTTTTTTTCTATAACCATTCATATAATGTTGCCGAAAGACCACGGCGGATCATTTATCAATACATTGCGTTTACCCGAACTTCGCTCAGAATCGTGTTTTGTTAACAATGATTAATCGTTGGGTACAGACACATATTATTCAAATAACTCAGCGTATAGCTATATCTTTCCGACTTTTTCACCTACAGCAGTGGCGTGCAAATTTTTTTTTTCCATTTAATTTCTACGACAATGCATTAACAATATACTATTACTGTGTGGCAGCAGTGTAGTACTGCGTCGGAAAAAAAAACACAAATTGTATACGCACTCGAACCGGCTCCGGTCTCGGCTAAAACCTGTAGCAGGTCCCGCAGTGCTCGCGTCATATACCTATACGCGCGTACCATAAATATAAATGATTGTAATATACTGTAAATAGCTCGTCGCGGACACAAATCTGTCGTCGTCGGACGGCCGGTCGGTCGGTCTGGAGTGCGTCGAAGGACCGAAATAAACGCGGTCCTTATATAGGCGCGTCTCGGACGGATCGGATGGGTGCGGCGGTGGCGGCGGCGTTTCCTGACAGCGTTCCAGACGGGTCCCCTGGAATGTTTATTTTCGGCCTGGAGCGCGAGACGCCGTCGCACACGGTCATTATACCGTACTACGGCTGGTGCCAATATTCTTCCTTCGGAGTTTTTATTTCTAAAAAAAGGACCGACCGAAGGTACACCACCGCACATTGCCACTGCGGCCGCCGCCACCGCCGCAGACTCTTGCACAGCAGTGGCACTCACGCGCGTCCCCCTCGCTTTGCCGCTGTTCCGCCGATCCTCGACGATATTACGATTTATTATATATTCGTTTGACGCATATTGTTGTTTCGACAATATTATTTCTTTGATCTCTTTGGTTATTCTGTTTCAACTGCGACTCGATTGATATTAAATTCTCTTCGTTTTTAAATAATCGTATAGTTTAGCCTCCCGAACGACAATAATTCGATTAATTTTCGATTGGTCGGGCATTATTACGATTTTATCGTATATAGTTATACAATGTAGCTTATAAATGTGTTTTTTTTTCATCACTATTATTGTATGATAAATTTTCTGGCTCAATGGTTCATATTAATAGTTGTCACTATTTTACCACGACAGTTTTTTTTTTTTGTACAATAAACCGACCGAATTTAATATTATAGACTTTTGGCGCTCGTACGAGTTTTTTTTTTTTAATAATTAATTGCTGTCATTATTTTATCATTTTCATATATTCTTTATGTACCAGTATATTGCTCAATTAGAGGGATATGATAAACGGCTCTCTGTATTTCTTTCTTTCTATGTACAGGGTGCTCAACATAGCGTAAGACATTCATTATCTCGAAAGTATTAACTTTTAATTTGTTTTTTAGAAAATTTAAGAAACACAATGTTACATTTCCGTTATTTATTATCACTTTTATTTTCAGAGGTGAGACCACTATTCACTTTTGCATTTCAAATAGTAACATATGTCTATACATATTTCTAACATAATTCTATAAATATATGAAGTTTTAATTTATTTCGGTGTTGACATTTTTAATTTCCATTAACCCGTTGATAACCTATGTTTAAATTACTTGAAATAATTATTTTGTCATTAGGGTAGAGTAGTGAACCATCACTTATGTAGTGGTGAGTATAGGTGTGATTAGGCTTTACATTTTGACAAAGTGCTAAAATTATATAATAATATATATCACTTTATTCATGATATTTTCAATAATAATTATATTGAGTTTTTTTAATAAACTTTTAACAAATTATTTAAATTAAATAAATTAACAAAACTCAACCTTTGGATATTTTCAGTTTTTTATAAAATCTTTTTTAATATTTAACCGTGAAAAAAACGAATTCGGTAGTATAACTTCCTGTATATTTTTTAAGTACCTAATTAATCAAGTTATTTATGGGGGAGGGGTTCTCAAGAAATATTTGAGGGTTTAATAACCTCTTAGTCTATCGGTATTTAGCGTTATAGGATTAAGGAGGGAACATGTCCCTGGCTTTTCCGTGTCTGTTACACATTTATGCATAAAATATTATAATTTATATTAAATGCATTGAATAAATGAAAAATTGATAATCATATATATTATGTAGTAGAATTATTTTCACTAGTGGTTTCCCATTGGTTATTGATGATATAATTGAAAAATCAAAATAGCATAGACGATTAAGAAATATTATTGAAAATATACAATGTTTCCCCTCGAATTTTGAAAAATGAACGCCCTTGCCTTAGCCTCCTTTTAAATGCGCTTATGGCAGTGTGGCACACAGTTTTTGAACAGTGTTCCATGCTTTCTTCCTACACATAAAACAAGAAACTTAAAAGTGGCATATCTCATCAAGGAGTCAACGGAAATTAAAAATATCAACACCAAAATTTAATTTAACTATAAGATCAATTTATATAATTTTAATATAGTTTATTGTTTGAAAATCAAGTGTTTAGTGATGGTTTCACACCCCTCCTCTCACCAAAAAGGGGTGAAAAAAATGTCACATTTTAGAGAAGCTTGTTTTTTAAAATTTCTGAAAAACAAATTACAAGCAAAATTAATACTTTCCTAGATAATGCGTGTCTTATCTTATGTTGATCACCCTGTATATATACGTCCTGCATCTTACGACTTATGGCAATATACACTCTTATAACATTAATCGGGTTTCGGGTGATGTACTGGTACACATACGGGTCGTTTTTTTTTATTGCATTATATTATTATTATGGTAAGTACTCGCGTTCCTTGGTTTCCCGTCAATTTATAGACGCGACCCGAACGTTTGACCCCGTCCAATCATATAGACTGCAGCAATGCAGTGCGGTAGTCGAACAGTGGAATAATTGTTATTAGAAAATTATCGCACGTATACATAAAAAAAAATATGTATATATACGACTTTTTTAATAGGTTATTGTCGCGCAGTGGTTATTAAATTATTGCGATTTTTTTAAAAATTATATTATAAGCTATACTGCGTCCGGTTTATTATAAATTATCAAGACTTAAGGAGGTGAGTTAAACTAAAATAAAAAAAAAGAGCTGTTGTACTGCTGATAGGTGTACGACTGTTTTAAGAGGGAAGGAGAACATAGAGAAATTTAATGTATATTATTGTATGTAACGAAAAACAATTGAACAGTGTACTATAAATCGGTGTATAAGTCGTATATTTCCCTTGTTTCTAAAGTACTTTACCCAGGCCTCAACGAAAATTATAAAAATAATTGCCAGTTTTTTCATTTATTAAGACCAACTACTAAGAAAGTCTTCAAATAACTTCCTCAATACATTAACTTGTTCAACAATTCGACAAGAAAGTTCCTATAATATTTTTGATTGAGGCATGATTTCTGGTAGAAAAGTTATTTACGGACACAAAACAAATACATCATAAGTAAAACTAATACAATCCTTACTTCACTCAAAATTAAAAAAAAAAATGTAATGTGCAAGAATATAGTAATGCGGTATTATTATAGCAATGTACATTTATTATTTAAATTATTTAAATTATTTTTGTTATGCGATAGTACAATATATGTGTATACCTACAATAGATAACAATCGATGTACAGGTATAAGAAAAAAAAACCTGAAAATTACATTTAAACGTTTAAAAACCAAACAGTTTTGTTGTATTTTTTTATTTTTTTTAGCGATAATCAAATCCTTTAATTCGCTCGCATATCTCGCACAAAAACGGTCGTTGCGGTTATTTTTCCCGTTTTATTTAGGACGGAGCGAAAAAAAGAAAAATTGTTTAAAGAATTATCATAAATTTTAGGCACCAACGACGGTGTGAAACTGGTCGGTCGGTCGCTCGCGTATACGTTAAGTTGTAGTAGTCTTTTACGGTAAATTTATTTTAAATACCAACAATTTTTTTTTTAACTAATATATGCGTATATTCTTTAGTTTTTTTTTTTAATATTAATACTGCAGTAACCTATACTCCCGCCCGATTTTTATGCTCGCAAAAACTCGATTATAATATACTACACAAATATAACGTGTACAAAAAAAAAAAAAAAATAATAATATATTCATACGCGTGTATTTTTACCGCATCGCTAGTATTCCAATAATAGTATAACGAATAGGTACTTGGCTGTAGGTATATCCCGATTAGAATTCGTTCGCTAAATCAATTATTTTTTTTTTCAGAAGGAGGTTTGTGTTTTTTTTATCTATATAAAATATCTGTCGAGCGGTGTTCGTAGTGCATATTTGTTTTATCAGTGACCACTATACGAGTACATAATAACTACCTATAGGTACCTAGTTGATCATCATTATTCAAATAAAATTCTTTATCTAAATAATCATTTACTACTATACGAATACAATTTTATGATTCGAATAATTTTCATTTATTTAATACATTCTGTAATAGCATAATATTGTAATATAATTTTTTCATGAATTCATATCGAATATAAGACACGGACTTTTCGCCTGGTAGTTTTTTATTTGAAAAACCTACTACAGTAATCTACTCGTGAGCAGTATCAATAACTTTTTAGAAATTTTACTATGGCCATTTTAAAAAATATTTTATAATAATTTTTCATTCAAATTTTACGATTGGAAATACTATTATTCCAAAGCATTTGTTTTCATAAAAAACCACCCAACTTACTACAGACTAAACTCGTAAAAATAATTTTTTGATTTTCTCTATATTTAAACTGTACATTTTTTTGGTTGATTTTAGAGTTATCTTGGCAACAAGGGGAAAAATACGACTAATCATACTATGTTCAGATTCGTTTTTTTTAGCAGTGGTTTATGGTTGCGTATACAGATATAAATTAAATTGTTCTACATATTCTTTTATTATTATTTTTTAACTATTAAAAAGGTTTTAGTTATAGTTGGGCTCACGAAAATTGATCGCTGGCGGCCAATATCAGAGTTCAAATATTTGAGTTCTCAGTATTTTGTTATTGTTCTCTACTACCACATCAATCTCTTCGTGAGTCATGCGCATAATATTTTTATTTTAGAAGGGTTGAGGAGACATATGTTTGAAGCTGTTGGGTTAAATTTCCATTGTAAATACGGTTGTCAGTGCTAACTTTTCGTGAGCCCGACTATAGGTACTATATAATATTTGAGTTTTTTTTTGTATGGCGTACGTTATTTAAAATTATATCCGAGCGGTGTATGTGACTTATATACTCGAGTCGCGATTATTATATTTTAGATATTAAAAAAGTGTGAACATTGACATGCGCTGCTATTATAGCATTTATCATCGAGACGGCGTGGCGTTTTAATTATTTCGGCCAATCTATAGAATAATTAAAAAATATATAGGCGATGATAAAAGTTAATATCCGGGAACGCGAAGTCGTCGTCATCTTATGTAAACACATACGTGCGGCTGTTAATGGTATACCTCTATTTCTATACAACGATTGTTAGTTTTTTTTTCGTGTCAAACAATACGCTCAAAATATAATTATTATGTTTATTAGTCATGATTTTGATAATATATCATTACAATAATAATATACAGTACGAGTATATAGTCGTATTATACACGTGTTTACATTCGATCGTTTCAATAAGTACCTATTTAAGGTATTAGGTTAGGTACTCTAGTAAGAACTTAAACGATACTGATAACTCGACAAAAAATTAGAAAATTGTATGCGAATACAATTTCATTTAAAATAATTATCAACAATAATTAATATAATATACGATTTATTCGAAGAAATTTCCATAACTTTGTTAATTTTAACCAGTTTTAGTATCATTTTATTTCGAATACCTATAATCATGCACAATTTATGACCCGGGAAAAAATGTCTCCACTTGCCTTTCATTTATAGTTATTTCAGACTTATATATTTACTAAAAAAAACGAAAAATGCCTCTTTGAAATATAACCACATGGTAAGTATTTTCAAAAATATTTTATATCCATTTTTAATGTTTATTTTATATTTATAATATTTTGGTTTAAACAATTTGTTTTTGAAAACTATATTCAAACGGAATATAACATAATCAAATTTGCCAATTCTGATGATTACATTCTGGACGGTTCTATAAGAGTTTGAAATCCATAAAACTCCAAGGATAATTATTATGAAATTATATACTTTATAACTACCTATACGGTATATACATTTAAGGGAACGTGATATCTCAATTTACCGTTTTAGTCTATAACTAACTAGGCCTTATAGGGTATTATACCAAAATTTTGGTATGTAATTTTTATACATTATTATATTAGAACATAACTTGTGGCATTTAGATTTAAATTAGAGTTTAAATATAAATAACGATCTTTAAGAGGAGATAATTTTTGAGAACTGTACGTAGTTTTTATCTAAACAATAATTGTCATACAAAAAAAAAACTACCATGGATATACAACTTTTTTGTATGATAGTTTTTCAGAAAAAGCTACGTACGGTCATTATAAATATCCTCTTCTTTAAATGTTGTTATTTTTGTGTTTAGAATTTTATTTAAACCTAAACGGGCTAAACGTCATAATTTATGTTCTAGTAGAATGTAATTTTGCCATGTTGCTGCCTGTTAGTTAGACTGAGACCTTAAATATGCGGGTATCACGTGACTCTTGAAATATTACTTTTTAAATGCATATAATTTATAATAGTGTAAATACTTTATTCTATTTTCAAAAGTTATTTTTTGGACAAAAACAGTATAGTACCTAGATATTAATATTATTGGAGCGTAAGAGTTCAACTCTACCTACATAATAATATATTTAATTAAACAACGCGTTACGTACGGGTTTTCTTCCTCTATTTTTTTTTTAATTAATTAAAATATATTATTATTATGCATACCGCGGGCATCGAATAACGTGTCGGTTGTATTATATAGGTAGCTGCCACACGAGAACAGTTATTCTAAATACATTTCATGAATATGATATTATATTCGTGAAATTAACTCGTTGAATTGTTAATTTTTTTTTATCTTTTTAACACATAGTTTTTAATCCATATTAAACCGTGTTCGTTGATCAGACCGTATAGAAAAAGTTTTTACACTTCGGTAAAATATATGACTGAGAACACTAGATTGTTTTTTTTTCTGCGACGTTGCCATATTTTTAATCTTTTTTATCGAACGATCGAGCACGATACTTGGTATTGGTCTGTAGCTTATATATATATATATATATATATATATATATATGGATTATGGAACCTTTGTGGGCAAAAATCAAAATGATATTTATCTCGGCTTCATAGAATTATTTTAATTTATTTACCTAATCGTTATACACAATATTTATGTAAATATATTTTGTTCTCGTCGAATATGATGCAATTGATAAACAACTAAAAAAATAATTAAATAAATTAATATAATTGTTGAAATAATAATATGTCCGGTCGACAAATAGTTATGTAATAAAAATACGATAACTCGAGTTATTATATAGGGAATCAGTGACGTATCCAGGGGGGGACACGTCTTTCCTTCGTTGATCGTATTTTTAATTTTAATTTTTAGACTTATTTTCTCTGTTACCGTATTTATAGAAACACGGTACATAGTATGATAAATTAAATAGTTAATGCCTGATTTATTATATGAAATACAAATTAATTATACAAAATATACAATTATTACATGTTTTACTAAGATAGTTTTTTTTTTGATTGAAAAATGATTGGATTTTTAAATAATGATACCTGAAAAGATGCCGATTTTTCTCCTGATAGTACTTTGATTTAAACATTGTTTGAAAATCCTTACTGTTTTTCTAAACAAAAATGACTTCATTTTTCCTTGAAAAAAAAATGTTTTCAGTTAGGCAGTATAAGTACATACTTTGATTTACAATGCTATTACTTAGATATACATTCTTAATTATATATATATGTATATATAATTTATTTATTATCCTCCTCTCTACATTTTAACAATTCCGGATACGTCAATACGGAGAACCCATTCGCGACGGTAACAATAAATATTCGGTAGGGATATTTTTTATGTTTTATTATGGTGTTGTCTCTGTGAACAACTTTTCTACCAGAAATATCGCTCCAATTTTCAAGACTTGAAAATAATTGTTACACTTAGGTTTTTATATTTTTTGAAAGAAAATTTTTGCTAGGTGCATTAATGATATGTTTTTGATTTTCCTTGTAGTTTTTTAAATAATTTAAAAAACCGGAGTAAAAGATAGAAAATCGGGAAAATGTACGGTAATAACGGTTTCATTTGTTTGGTTTTTTTTTTTAAATTCAGTTAATAATATTTGTAGTGATCTGAAATTTTTACATAATACTTTATTTTTTTTTTTTTGAAATGACCTATTGTAAAATAATATCACGAACCACGGTTTGTCACCGTCGTCGGTGACGTTGACGGAATAGCTGGTTAAAAGGGGAATAGTTATTCAGTATTAATCCATAATAGTATATACACATTTCATGTAAATAATCATTTTTTTTCAATCTACAGTTGTCCATTGTATAATATTATACCTACATACGAATTATTATATTTTTATCATTTTTGTACATCGTGGTAATTGGTCTTCAAATAACATTATACCTACATATTATAATTTTAGTGACAGTATTATAACTAATATTATAACATACAAAATGTATACCGCTATCATCACGCGCAAGTTTCAGGGCCTTAGAAGGGACATTTTCAACGGGAAATCCATTAGCTGACTATAGACACTATTTTTTTTTTTTACTATTTTAATGTCATCAAGATCGTATGTTTAATGTACAATTTTGCTATGAAACATCACCTATTTTCATGAATTGATTTTCAATTATCGTAAACTTAGTATATCATAATGAGATTAAAAATGAAATACTGTTTACCCCCAGTGTTCACCAAAAATATCTTTGAACTATATAGATTATATCCGTTTTTCTCCAAGTATTACGAATCTATTTAAAACTGTATAACAGGTTATTCTGCACCTTTTCAATTTCTGCATTAAGTTATTTTTGAGATTTTTAAGGTATAATCAACTCTAATTGTTTAAAAAAATGTTTAGAAAAAAAAATTGGCTTACATTTTTTTTTATACAAATTATTAGGTGGATATCTTATATTGGAAAAAAATAGCCTATACTCGTATAGTAGATATAGATGTTTTTTTCTGTAAAAATATGAACAGTGGAAGAAAACGATGTATCACTTTTTCAGGAAGAAAATGGATAGCTATATATACTAATTTAATTTTTATATTATTTCTTTTGGAGATGATTTTTTCTTAAACGATAACGCGTAAACCCGTACAATTTAACATTTATGAAGTCGATTATTAGGATGAAGGATGGGAATGTCTCCTGAACTCTCCTGATTTTTAAACAAATGATATTGTGTTTTACAAAATAAATCTAAATAATCATTATCAAATAATATGAAATGGAATATCAATGTCCATAATTTTATTATAATATTAGAATTGGAAGGCAATATTTTTGAAGTTGAAGGGCAGAGAGCCGCAGACCGATGGAGAATTATATGATGCGTACGTTTATCATGTAAATTAATTTCAAGAGAATCGCCTATATAATGGACAGTAAATGATACCCTTTATAGTTAAACAGTAGAATACTTCACGTCGATTTAAAAGAGTAAATATCATATCACTTGACCTTTTTTATTTTTAAACCCTAACAGATAACTCTATACAGATTACAAATAATATATAATATCATGTTATCAACTATAGTACACAGGATGTACATCCGCCCATGTGTTAACACGACGTTGAAGTTGACATATTATTTATTTTTGTAGATTAGACTGCGTCGCACATGCGGTGACAGAGTCGAAGAAGACCATGACGACCGTATAATTATAAAAACATCCCTCGTAATTATTATATAGACTAAAAATATACATGCATTATAATAATAATATATACGGTCGTCGCGAATATCGAAAACAATAATAGATTGAAATTTGGAATTCCTCGGGTGAAAGTACATTATAAATATTTTTTCACGATCAAATAACAATTACTAAGTACCTAATATATACCTAGGTATATGTACCTATTGCGTTTTCATCGTGTTTGGGAACCGAGAAAGAATGTATAGTAGTCGTCAGGTATTCTTGACGGTGAATAATAAACGCACAAAAAAAGAAAAAAGACAACAGCTCTCGGCGAATCGGTACGAGTTTCGTAGTGTTCGCGAATGCGTATAGGACGTAGCTATTATGTTATGATCTTGTTGAATATCTACGTGATAACTGTCGAGTTTCGTGAACATTTTTTTTTCGAATGCAGTAGTTTTGTGAAAAACTGTAAATTGGCCATAGTGTTGTCAACGATTTTGCCTCGATAAATTGAAAATATATATTCTAATAAACAATAATACATCGCAGGTCAGCAGCAGTGTTTGTACGGGGCATTGGATATAAAAATAAATGAAATGAAAATGGTAGTAGTTTAAATAGGATTAGGAATAGATTTGTATTTACACACAAAAAGTATAGTCTAAGAGTATATATTAATGGCGTTTATAATATCATAGCGAGAAAAACGTGAAAAAATATCAATTGGTTATATAGTTGCGAGGATAAAATTGGCCGAAGAAAATGTGTGGTTTTCCAAATTATTAAAAAACTACCAGAAAAATAAAAGAAAAATTCGCTATCTCGTTGCACAAAAACTAAACGAAATTCGTTCCCAGAAATTACCCCTGAATTCGACAATCGATACAAGATTTTGATAGAAATGTTGTTGGCAATCAAATAAATTTTAAGTTTGGATAAGGGAGAGTAGCGGGACCACTATTCAAACGCCACGCACCATACAGCCCTATACATAATGCTCCACTACTTTCTCTTACCCCAACTCAAAAGTAGAATATATCATCAATATCAACACAAAAATGTATTTAAACTTATAAATCATCTATTTATGGAATGTTTACTATAGTCGTTTCACCCCTAAAAATAAAAATGACAAAAAAAAAAATTAAATATAATATTTTATAGCTATTTTTTTTGTTAAATTGTCAAAAAATATTAATACTTTACGAAATAATGAGCGTATTGCGTAAAATGAATCGCCTTATACATGTAAAATCGACCGTAGAAAATTGAAAAAAATAAAATAAAATACTGCAACTTTACTTAACATTACAAATTGCATTCTTCTAGCTTAGCGTGGTCGTAAAAAAATATAGTGTGCGATACGATTGATAACAATAATATGTATAATATATGCATCATAATATCGCGGTCGTGTGAATATTGGCGTTCTATGCGGCGAGCGTGAGAGTCGGCGTATAATAATATTATATCAATGATTAATACATAGACGTAGGTATACCGATATATTGGCCTGTGCACGAAATAATCGTAAAATCCTGCACTATATCGTACAAAATTATGATTGTAAAAACGAATAATTCACGCGGCGGTCAAAAAACGAAAATATCTATAGGTATAGGCACTATAGGTATCTACAGCATTTTCGATTTATATTATCGAGGTTAATGAAGTATTGAGGCGGTGCGTGATGCGAACCTCATGATTTCTGCAGAAGTGTTTCGTTTCGAATCAATATATACGGTCTCGAATCTCGTAGAAATAAAGCAATAAAGTTTTGGTGGAAAAAATCCAGTTCAAGATTTCAAGCTTAGGCTACATGGAATAATGTATACAACCTTGATATTGTTAATTTGTTTTCTCTGTTAACACGACCCAAAGACTTGCTCCAATCGAAAAAACACCGAGAGTAGTAATTTGTGTATTCGGTGATGCGTTGAAGAGATAATTTTTTTTTTTTTAAACACCTTGTGCAGTTACAAAAAACAAAATCGAAAATAATGAAACCGTTATCATCGTTAATATCGAAATCTGTTTTTACTGTACGTTTTTCCCCAATTGTTAAGAAAATTACAAGATAAATCGAAAAATTACCTTCCCAACGCACCAACTAGATCCAAACTGATACAAATAAAGCTCTCTTGTCATTTTTTGATCGGTACGGGATTGCCAGTGGAAAAGTTGTGTGCAGACAAAAAAAATACACACACAATAATAACAAATTATTTTGTAGTATAAATTGTATTGTAAAAGTTCAAGTTCGGCGCAGGTCATCGTCATGCAATAATATACTAGCTATAGGCGGTACATTTCTGTCAAATCTGCTGTGGTTTGTAAAAATCTGTCTGTCGTTCCCAAATTAACCCGTTCTATATATTTATTGTAATAGAGTTTTTGCATGCGGTCCCGTTTTTCATTATTTATTGTAATAGATTTTTCCAATTTCGACCTGCTGTGTTTAGCATTACTTTGTATACATGCATCCTTATTGCCAATGTAAAATTGGAGAAACTCGGTTTTTTTCCGTTGATTTCCGTTAGTTTCTGTTTTCTTTGGTTTAAAAAAAAAACCCGCTACAGAAAATCTCACTATCGTCGCATGTTTACTTCTTTTCTTTTTTGTAATTTCCCTTTCGAAATACACTACATAATATGTTGGTTTTGGGATGTTCGGATATCTGTAATATAATATAATAGTCTTGTGCCATGTTTTACTCTATCGTTAATTTGTTCGTAAACATTTTTTTTTTTTTTTGGTATACAATTACGGAATAACGGCGATACAATTCGACTGATTAACAAAATGGCAGATAACATCAGTATAATATCAGTATAATATAATGGTAAAAGGTACCAATCGGCAGCAATATACCTAAGAATCGCAAGACGTTACCAAAGACGTTTGCATTAGTTATCTCGCATCATAATCACGCCATCCACTTTATCACAATATCAAATTCTTGTCACAATCGAAATATTGATTTTGGCATGATTCCACTTTATTATGACAATGCATATGCACGTGATTAGTAATATAAAACCAACACCAAAAAGCGATAATAAAAGTGTTAAGATTTACTTAACCTTTTGGTTGCTTTATTAATTCGGTACCCAAGTAATTACTCATTAGGTACTTATACGAAAATTTAAAAAAATTGAATATATTTAAGTATAATTAAGTATATTTCTAAGTATTCTAGTTATTTTAAATAATTAATTGGTACCTAGCTAACATATAATATTCAAAAATGCAAATGTATGAATTATGGTAAAAAGTCCGACATATAATTGTTACCTATTATTTCTACAAAATGCAGTGAATTATTATTTTATGCACTCATAATTTTTGGATTCATTACACTGTAGTTACCCTTGTACAAATCAACTTTAATTTCGTTATTCAAAATACTGCGGATAATATAAGTCTTATTTTCATATAATGTTGGATATATATAATGCTTTAACTCACAAAACCACATTTGCATTATAGATATTTTAGGGATTGTAATAACATTTTGTGAACGAAGTAATCAAATTTCTATTATGATGGTGAGAATGTTATGTAATAATATGAGAAACGCGGTCATGTTGTGAAAATAATGATAGCCAATGTGTTGTTATTCGGCTGTAGCGGCTAGCAATTCCCTTATCGCCTACCGGCAGGCGCTCCAAAATGACGATAAATAAATATTTTAGGTATGTACGGTAAAAGGAAAAGAAAAAAAATCAAAACATCACCTTGTACCGGTGAACACGGGTGTAATATATTAATGTCTATACCTGCCTGCAATTTATTTCGAGTTGTCTTTGTGGCACGCAAACTACCGGCTTTACACGTACCGGCCGTAATGACCCGCCACACAAAATATTTTTTATGCGTCATTCATCGTGGTGCAAAATCATCGTGAATTACACATAAAGCGGGTATAATATAATAATACTATAATCCGATGAAATCGCTTTGTTATATCCATCGCGGTGACTAACGATGAACCGAAGAAAAACGAAAATAGTAGTATAGCAGTAGAAATGTGAACATTTTATAAGATATCGTGGAGATATGTGGTATATTAATTGTAACCAAGTTTGAATCATGGAATAAATTATATATATATCAGAGGTAACTTATTAGGAATAGGACAAATCTATAAAGGAACATTATTATTGAGAGAGAACGAATATTTGGCAGAGGTGAAAATTTCATACCAATTAAGTAATCCTGTAGTTTGGATAAGCGACGACGCTTAAAAGTTTTAAAGTATACCGAGGGTAAAAACTTCAGAGCTTGAAACCGATTAATACCGGTATAAACCGAAATCGAAATCGGAAAAAAACCTAAAAAGTTGACGCACTTATAGGTAAACTAGTATTATAAAAAAATAATAAATTCTTCTCCAAAACGTTAATCAAATCAGATAAAATTCGTTCGGAGAGCACCGAAGCCCGGGAACGATCCAATCAAGTCGTTAATAATTTTGTATACGTTTTGAAGTTTCGTGTTTGTATATTAAGGAAACTACGAGCGTAAAAAAGTCAATAATAAAAAGAATTCCGTTACCGGCTCGGTATACCCACCTAACCTAGAAATTTTGTTGTCCGAATGATAATGATTATGGTCGCCATCATTATATTTTGTATCGTATTATTATCATTATTATTGTCATTACGGTCATTACGACGTGTTAAGGACCGGGCGAACTCATTTTTTTTTCTGCCGATAAAGCCTATGTCAGAGAGGGGAAATATACCGGTGAAATGGGGGTCACACATACCACTCCCCCTCAGAAAGGTTTTTCTAAACATATTTCGGTATTTTTCAAAATTTCGCTCGGTCGGTGCGTCCGTCTACCATCATCGCGGAGACGACGGACTCACTTCGTCATCCGGATACGCATTATTTCAATATATTATAATCCCTACACGTGCAACGCACGTTTATAAAACAAACGTCTTGTTCCAAAAAAAAAAAATAATAATAATTACGCGTTCCGGTGAAAGAAACGCTATACTCGTTATGAAATAATAATGTTATTATTGGATACCGACCAACGGCGATTGTCGAAGCATCGTATAATATTAATTTATGTGTGTGTTACGACGACCCAGACGACGTATCGCGTGTCACGTGCTGGCGGTGTAAACATCGGAAAAAAAAAAAATCAAAAACCATAAAATACTTACGTTGAAATTGTTATTATTATGTTATCGTTATCGGGGCTATCGATACTCGCCTCGAACGACGCAATTGCCCGCGTGCAGTGTCGGGCCACTCGTGATCGGCGCCACCACCGCCACCTTGTAACAGACTTGGAGGAGTGCCGAAACGACCACGGCGACGTCTCCACAATATCGGAGACGTCGCACATAATATGGGTGCAACAATATAATGTAACACTCCACTACACCAGACACGTCAAAACGTTATCAAAATGTTTGGCTACGCGGGGATTTGAGAGTGTTTGAAAAAATGATTGCCCCATAATGTATACGAGTCTTTGATTTTTGTTTGCTATCGTTATATAGCGCGGTCTGTAGTAAACCGATACGGTTTGTGTTTTAAATAAAACAAACGAAACGGTTCTAGGTCACTTTGTACGGTCAAGCATGAAAAACACGGAACGCGGACATTTTGTACGGTCGGCTAAAAAGGAAGAACGCAGAACGTAGACACTTTGTACTGTTCTATACATATGTACAGTTAAATATATTATAAACATCAAATTTTATTTGCCTTGATTATATAAACCAATATCAAATAAAAGTATTAAAACGCGTACACTTTGTACTATTATTATGTATTATATATATGAAAACCATGTTGAATATCAAAATTAAAGTGAATTGTTCGAATAATAATGTCCAACATCAACATGTTACAAAAAAAAAAAACTAAAAACTAAAAATGTAAAAAGTAAAACTCTGAAGTCTTAAAATAATTTAATAGTAAACGCGTTTTCTAAATACATTTTAAACAATATACCTAAACCATAATAATTCTAACTATTAAAAATGTTTTCTGTTTATTTAGTTACTATTCCTAATAATACCTATGTACATATTATATTATTTTACAATGATCCTATTGTAAAGTAAATTTAAAAAAATTCAGACATATTCCGCACCATGGGTAATAAGTCCATACAATAAGTCATTGTTGTGAGCGATAGTAGTCCAGAAGGTATAGGATAATTTAATTTATAATTTGAGATTTATCGCAAACGAAAAATGATTATGAGTAAATTAGTATTGATCGTGTTATTTTCTTTGCTACTTAAAAATTTAACACAGAAATCAACAAAAATCAAAATAACTAAAAATAATAATAACTTTACAAATAATATATCTTTGTTAACCAAATCACAAACCGTAACTATACCAATAACTACACGAGTATACCGATGTACGTCGGACGGACATGGACGTAACTTGGATACCTATAAGGTATCCAAACACAGACATTTAAAAAATAGCCAAAATATGCAATAATTACGTAGTAGTCTGATCATAAACCTGCAACGTGTTCAAAATTTATTCTCACAGTGGTTAGGTTTGTTTATGTTTTTTTCGTCCTGCGGTAGGTAAATATAGGGTACCCGTTGCAGTCAACCAGTAACGATTTCCTCGGTTAAAAACTAATTATAATTTACGCTTTACATAATAAAACGGTCTGTGGCATGATAATCTATCATCGGAAATAACGTAATTTATTATTTATGTATAACTATCAAATATCTACTTACCGGAAACACGGGTGCGTTATTAAAAAGTCGTTTATTGTGTCACGTCGATTACCGTAGGAATTCGAACTGGTTTCCGCGGAGAACTTTTGTACTTTATATACGCGTTACCTATGTATACAATTATATATCAAGGTACTTTTTTTTAAGTCCCCGAACTCTGTCCTGTTCTGAACAAATATTAAATAATATGTTATTTGAGTGGTCCACCAAAATGTTTAAGTTCACTACCTCCATGTTATTGGTACAATAACATAATTAGAGACAATATCATATACATTCCGAAAACATTTTTTCCAAGCTCGTTAATCTAATCTCGGACCGCTGTAAAAAATTCGAAGATAGTAACGCAACTGAAATAATTTTTATCAATTATTAATCTCGACACTTACTATATAATATTATATTAGTATACACGATCCATATAGTCTTGAGTCCGTCCGTCCGTTTTCTGCAGACCCAACCCGATTTGTATTGTCGGTTTAACTCGTGACTCCCGATTATATTAAAATACTATTGTATATAATCATGTTCCAAACGTATATTATTTTATTTCAGCTATCCACTGCAAAGTTCATCTATAATATATAAATGCAATTTACAGGCACGACCGCTGTCCTCGTGTACAATTATTACTATCTATATCAGGACACGATTCATACAATAATACCTACTATAATATTTTACTTTAGTTTTTGATAGGAGATTACACGCGTTTCGGTTATGCCCCGTTTAAAATTATAATATAATATTATGTAGTTCAAAACAATAAATCTACTATTGGGTGGTAGGAGTGCAGTGCTGACAGTGCTGCGAACTGTGTCCTCACAAATACAACACCTACCTATAAACATATAACACGACTACAGTAGTAGATGCATATAATATATTAGATACGATCTACAGAAATCTCCTAATAATTTATACAGGTATACTCAGTGGTTCAAATGGAATAAACGCCGAGGGGTTACTATATTTACCAACAATTGAGGGGAATTCCTGAGAACTAACTTGACCCTGTCAAACATTCAGGAAACCCGTCGTATGACGGCAAGAATTTTTACGTGTATTTCTACTACAAATAATTGTTTATAACAATGTTTCACTTATAGGGTTTAAAAATAAAACTTTATTGGGGATAAATAACCTAATAATAATAATAAAATAAAAAAAAAATTTTTTTTAGTGATTGGGGTGAAAATAATAATTTAATTTTCTCTATACATGTGTTTTTTTGACATAAAATCCGATTGAAAAAAAAATATAAATAAAATTGAATATTAATAGAGATATGCAAATATATAGAACTCGGCGAGACACCTTGCATATGATATGCATTATAGGACATTTTAATTTCTAAACTGAAATCATCGATAAATCATTGCGATCATAAAAACGATTCTTAGTTGAGTAGTCGTGTATGCTTAGTCGTGTGTGTTTTACTTGTTACCAAGGTAATCTGAAAATTATTTGTATTTTTACATTACTATGGTATTATTGTAACACCTACGTATATTTATTATTCCTTTATTTAAATATTGATTTTGTTTACAAAAATATCAAAAGTAGAAGTATATGTTAGGTAAGTTTTTATTTTACCAACGAATTATAAGCATTAAAGAGCTATATATTTTGAAAACAAAACAAAATTGAAAATGATAAATTCTAATCATTTGTAGTTGAACAGAAAATGCGTATTATACGGAAATCATTACTTGTTGAAGTTTTCTTTCATAACTTCAGATTTTTTTTTGGAACACGATGCGAAAATTTAAATTTTGAAATTATTCATATTGAAAGGTCACTAAACTAGAATTATTTCTAAAAAAAAAAAAAAAAACACTTATACTATATGTTTACTACATTCTGCTGTGATAATAATATTATATTCGAGGAGGGATCGCGTTTAACGGATTTTTGGATTCAAAGCGTAGTGATAGGGATCACACATCGACAAACATTTACGGTGTGCCATGACGTTACCGTTTTCATTGTTTTTAATTTTTGTTCACGATGTTTTCCACCCGAAGTATTGCTACAATCAAAAAATGACAATAGATTGATTTTTTTGTATTTTTAATCTCATCTGTGAATAAGTAATTTGTTTTTTGATTTTCCTGGTGGTTTTTGTAATAATTGAGAAAACTTCGTGGATAAAATTCAACAGACTAAACAGAAATGTTTGACAATTTGACAGGAGGCTCATTATAAGTCGAATTTAGCGGTAAAAACCATAAATATTACGGCCTTTCAAAACATGTATAATCGAACTTCGATCCGTAGCTAGATTCTCGTTAGCAATAGTTTATTGTTGATTACAGCTATAAATTAAATAACTTTTTGTGTATCCTACCTTTTTAAAACCCATCTACAACAGTGGCCACACCGTCCTAATTATCAGCTTTATTTTTTTTTCTCGATTTACTGGCGTTCTTTTTTAATTTAATATACAAAATTGATTAGGCTAACCGAATAGGTAGGTTACTACCTATACATTGTTCATATAGAAATAAAATAATATTTTTATTTCGTCGCGGTCACCGGCTCGTCGGGTATCTCGTAGATACCGTTCGTTTGCATTGTGACGTCGCATCTACTCGTATATCGTTAACGGTCTTTTTTTCATTTTTTTTTTTGTTCCAGTTCTGGCAAGTCATATCCGAAGAGCACGGAATCGACTACACGGGATTCTACAAAGGCGATTCCGACTTACAATTAGAACGCATTAACGTCTACTACAACGAAGGGTCCGGTAAGCCATAATAACAATAATAATAATATACGAGGTATAGGTATAGGTATAGGTTTACTGAGGTTTACCTCTAAATTACTTGCAATCGTGGCATAATAAAGATGGTCGTTAAGACACGTATTTCTAAGATCTCCACGGTAGGTAATAATAACTATCATTGTCCATTATATGATAATCATAATCCACCGTATTGACCTTAAAAAGTTCAGCCCGTATAGGTTTTGCCCAAAGTCAGAAAAATAACTAGTGGGTTTTTGTGCGAAACATGATTCAATTTAAATTTAACAGGAGATAACCAAAAGGTTATTTTATTTATTTAAAAAAAAAAACAAATGATTTTAAGATTAATGGGGTTGGAAACAATTTTCTAAATGCTGTGAGATTATGGCGCCGTTGTACAGACGGATATGACGCTTTAGAAGTTTAGACCAATAAGATGGAGTAGCAAACCTCAGCCAAATTCGTCCGTTCAATTTTAATTTTAAAAACGTATTTGAATTCTTTGATTTTCTTTGAGTGTTTTGTAGTTAAAATTCGTTCGTTTTGTTCGTTTTAGATTCGGAGCGTAGCGAGGGATTTGTTGGTTTTACTTAGATGTGTGTTTTTTTTATTTTAATTTTTCTATCTGTACACAAGTTTTGAAAAGAAAATTTGATTTGATGTGTCGAGTGTAGCAGATTTCTTTCAGAAAGAAAATTTTTTTCTAATCGGTGCATTAAACAGGTCATTTTTTTATTATTAATTTGTTAGAGTAAACAGAAATGCTTGAACATTTGACAGGAGGTTTATAATAAGTCATACTTAGTGGTAAAAAAAAAATTGAGTGCAATGTAATATTTTTTTTTATTTAAAGAATTTTAAAATCAAATTTTGAGGAAAATCTTCATTCTGAATCGTTTTTTGTTAGCAATGGTTTATCGTTATTTATTGTTATTATACTTATAAATTAAATACATTTATGTATCAGGACTTCACACCTACAACATTAGCGTACCCGTTCCCAGTATTAGTTTTTTCGTTTAGTTTTCATGATGATTAGTACATGATAAATTTAGTTAAATTTTGACTAAATAGTTTGCCCAGACCAGTGTTGAGAAATATGAGTACACATATTACTTATTCATAAAAAAAATATCGGGGACGAGTGCAGGTACTGTTGTAGATGGGAAGTTAAGAAGGTAGGATAACTAAAATTAGAAACTATTCTTAATATTCTTAGAATCTACATGTTTAAAATCTTAGTAAATTAAATAAAATTAATTTCCTAGTTCCTACTCTAAAAATGAAAAAACATATTATTTGAAATGTTAATAAAAATTATTTGTAAATTTGACGTTTGTCATTATTAAATAAGTTGTATGTTGTTTGTTACCATTTTAAACCGTTATCACTGAGATACCGTTTATATCACGGTTATACATAACTAAATTAGTAACTTATGAAGTGATATCAATACTAAACAATTTCTAAGCAATATTATCACTAAAATAACGTAAGTTTCATTTTTTTCCTAATAGAAAGAACAGAAATCTGCGTTCATGTTCCACATAAATAGGAACTCCTTCTCGTTCCTCGTTCCTATATTTGAAAAGGAATGCGTTCCAAGCTTCGTTCCTTCCCAACACTGGCCCAGACACAAAAAAACATATTTACCTACATTTTAGTGGGTAAATACTTATAAATATATTAAATATTGATGTTCGAAAATCTAGTTGACAAAATATCACGAGTAGTTTTAATCGACCTGACTCGTTACCGGAACCGAAGGATTTGTTATTTTTTTTTACATCGTGGATTCGACTTGCACCTCTTTGTATTTCAGTCACTCATAAAACGCGTACACAGAACACGGTTTTATGTGGTCGTGTTATGTCGAAAAAAAAAACAACGAACATCATAAACGTTGTGAATAGTGTTTTTATTCTAAACCTTAAAAGTACCTCATAAATTAATTTTTATAAAATATATAGTTTATATTAATAATAAATATTGACGAAAACATAACTAAAAATGATAAGAAAAACAATAACAAACTAAAGTATTTAAATATTTATTTTTTATTTTTTTAAAACGTTACTATAATTTATTTAGCTCTCTATAATACACGACATATTATTATTTTAGAATAATAATATTATTATTCAAGTAGTTTTACGATTACATACAAATATTTTAAGGTAACACATTATATTCGAAAAATGTTTTGTCTGTATTCGTATCTACAGGTATATTGTTTTAATTTTGTTTATATATTAATATTCTAGTATACACATCAAATTATGACTGGTAATAACATAACTGTTATTGTTATTGCTACTTAGGTGAAATATTATATAGGCACGCATAATGAAAATACGCTGTTTGCGCTGCTATTGTTATTAATTGTTGTACGAACGACATACGAGCCTACGGCAGAGTCGAATAAATAAAATTACCTACTGGCCCAAGATTAACCCGTTTTTGGGGACACCAAATTTTACTAAAAATTAAAAACAATTTTCTTTAATATCTTATATGACATGTTTATTAAATATAGTCGTTTTTAAATATTTTAGGTATTAATATAAAATTTGGAATAGTTTTTAAAATTATATTTTTTAGATTAGAAATGTATTGATTTTACTATGATGTTTATTTGTTTTTCCTTTGTTTTTTTTATTGCTTTTTTCTGTGAACAACTTTTCAACCAGAAAACTTGCTCCGGTTTTTAAGTGTAGCATCTATTCAAAAAGAACATTTTGTCTAGTTTATTTAATAAGTAGTCGGTTTTTGACTTCTCTTGTTGTTTTCTTAATTATAGGGAAAAACAAAAGTAAAATGGGAAAAGATGGATAATAGATTTCAATATTTTTGATTTTGTTTTTGTTGTAGTTCGGTTAAATATAATCATAGAAACTTGCAATTTTCAAAAAATAATGAAAATCTCCTTTTCTAAACGTGGTACAAGGTAAGCATTAGATGTTTTTTTTAGCAAATTTGGAAAACCGTATTTAACCTCCTTTTAATTTTACTTTTTAGATTATGTGGAAAGCGAGAGATGTATTAGATTATGATTTGTTGTTCTTTGTGTCTGTAAACAACTTTTTATCAAAACTCTTGTTCCAATCAAAAACTTTATGATGACTTTCTTGTAAAATGATTGATTTTATTAGTGTATTGAAGAGGTATTTTTTTGATTTTCTTTATAGTTTTCTTAATAAATGGGAAAAACTGGAAATGCTTTGTTCATTTCCATGTTACCTTGGTAATAAGGGAATTAATACAACTAATAATACTCTGTACAAAGTCGTTTTTCATTAGCAATGGTTTATCGTGGCTTATTGATATAAATTAAAGTACTCTACCTATATATATATTATACTCCTTTACAACTTCTCTCTTAAATCAAAGACACACCTATCAGGAGTTTTTATTTTTGGGTTTTGTAAAATTGTTTATTTAGTTTTTTGATAATAAGGACAATTAATGTTAGACAAAAGTAAATTATTCCAGAAATATCAATTTACCTACAATACCTACTTTGTAGTTATTTTAAACTCTCAACTTCATACAGTTAACTTGATTTAATTCAAATTATTTAACTCATTATTTATTAATAGTTAATGTGAAAACAAAATATTAATATAACTATTAAATGTTCAACTCTTTAGTGAGAGTTATTTCAACGACGGTATAGGACCAATTTCGATGAATAATTTATAAGTATCGAAATCAATACAACGAGACGGTTCGGTTAAGTTATAGGTTATGCGTCGCATATAACGACACAATTTCGACGTTTTTTTGAAAGTATCATGATTTCTACATGCCTTATCAATTAGATAGGTATAGGCGTATAGTGTGTTCTCGGCTTCTCGCTAAATATTTCAACCCAATGATGGACTTATATCAAAGTAGTGATTTTTGAAGAAATTAAGGGGATGCCAAAATATATACTGCATATAGCTAATTTTCAAAAATGATGTTGATTTTCAAATTTGTTTAAATTAACTCTTATATTTAGCAATACAAGAAACGAACCTAGTCCTATTTTTACTTTTTCTATATTTAAGGTAAGGAAGTATTGTTTTGACACTTAAAAGTCGTCATATTGGCGTATTTCAGGGGCCTAAGCGTGGTTTAGTCCATTCCATTGGCCGTGTTAAATACAAAATAATAATATAAACTGATGAGCATTAAAAACTTATTTCTAATGAAATAATAATCAATAGGTATACATATTTTGCATTGTTTATTCAAATAAGTACAAATAATTGTACCTATTACAACATATTACTTAACTTTTTTTTTTTAGTATTTTTTTGTTTAGCTAGCCCCCCCCCCTCATTAGAAAATTCTAGGTAGACCACTGAAAATCGGTATCAAGTTTTCACAGGAAATACATCATCATATTTTGAGCTTATAAAATTGCTTAAATCCAAAAAGGCTGTTTTTAGAAAATAATCTGAATAGTGTGTTTTTAGTTAAACTAATGAATCAAAAACACCAAATTTTATATTTAAGTTAGTCATCTTTCGAGAATAACATAGCGAGCATGGGGATGAATTCCATTTATTATAACTGGTTTTTTATATTTAGTGACATTTTTGTTTTTCAGAATTTTCTCAACACGGCTCTAATGATTATTTATTTAGCTTAGTATTTTGTTTATACGCATTGAGATTCACAACTTTTTCTTGATTTTTTACAATAGAAATGTGTTGAACAGCACTAATTATTAAGTTGCAATATCTATTCATTTATTACTAATACCCTTTGTATTTAGAACCGGCGAGTATATTTACAGTAGAGGAAGTCATTTGGCTGTTACAGATCAGATTTCGTTCAATAGACAGAGTACCTAATACTGTTTAAACAGTAATTTATAAAGTTATTTTAACAAAAATATGATTTCCCCTCCTCTATTTTTTACAAAATGTAAATAGTAAACTGAATAACGATTAGTTCTTTTTGTTAAGCAAAACAAAATTTCTCGATTTTGTCGATATTTGTAGCCTCTTGGCAAGTAACACTTAGTAGTATACATCATACTGCAGTGGACAGGAGGTGTCAAAAGGGATTTTGTTTGCGTCTTGTAATAATGATGTATAATACAAATTTTGTTTCATGTTGGACTTATAAATGTTACAGCTGCCAATCGTTCGGAAGGAGGCAAGTATGTACCGCGTGCCGTGCTGCTCGACCTGGAACCAGGCACCATGGAGTCCATCCGGTCCGGACCTTACGGCGTGCTCTTCCGGCCCGACAATTTTGTGTTCGGTCAATCGGGTGCCGGCAACAACTGGGCCAAGGGCCATTACACGGAGGGCGCCGAACTCGTGGATGCCGTGCTTGATGTGGTGCGCAAAGAAAGCGAAAACTGCGACTGTCTGCAGGTAAAAATCATCGTAACGTCGCGTACCGGCTTAAATCGCAATGGTGTCGTAATTCCAAAATGAAATATTGTTCGAGGGAAAGAAAAAACGGTTTCTATTTTAATACGTACAGACGCGGTGTTGAGAATTTCGTAGATTTCATACGTTATTATCGTAGATGGAATTCTGAATATTTATTTCGTGAATTTCGCGGGGGAAATAATAATAATAATTACAAGATTAGAGATGTGGCTTTATTAAACGGTGTAGTTTATTTTCTTCTGTTTTTAATAACAAAAATAATGGAGTTTAAGTGGTTTAGGCTGACGATAAGTTCGTCATAACATTCTCGTGTGCTCATAAAGTTGCCGGAAAATCAATTATGGCGGAACGGTAAACGCGGTTTTTTTTTCTCGTACACAAGTCATAATATTTATACGCATCCTAAGGATTTATTGTGGAACCCGTCCAAAAAGCGTTTTCCGGCGGTACGTGTGGTCTGTCATAAACATTACCGCACGAGACCATACAAATAAAACAACGTAGGTAGGTACTTAACCATAAATATAATATACTTTTCGCTATGCGGACATCCCTAATTTCGTTTTATATTACAATTTGTATGGCATTATTAATTATTATCCAATCTACATATGTAAGCGGTTTTTTTTTTCTGATAAATCCAGTCCTGGTTTTAAGAAAGTTATACATCGAATTCCATATTATCTAATTGTAATTATATTTATATATAATGTAGGGATTCCAACTGGCGCACTCTTTGGGCGGCGGAACTGGGTCCGGATTGGGCACATTGCTCATCTCGAAAATCCGTGAAGAATACCCGGATCGGATTATGAACACGTATTCGGTTATGCCGTCACCGAAAGTGTCGGACACGGTGGTCGAGCCGTACAACGCCACCTTGTCTGTACATCAGCTGGTCGAGAACACGGACGAGTCGTATCTGATTGACAATGAGGCACTGTACGACATATGCTTCCGGACACTCAAGTTGACCAATCCGACGTACGGCGACCTCAACCACCTGGTGTCACTGACTATGTCTGGCGTGACCACGTGCCTCCGCTTCCCCGGGCAACTCAACGCCGACCTCCGCAAGCTGGCCGTTAACATGGTCCCATTCCCCAGACTCCATTTCTTCATGCCCGGATTTGCGCCACTCACGGCTCGCGGCAGCCAATCGTATCGGGCCATGAGCGTTCCCGAACTCACCCAGCAAATGTTTGACGCTAAGAACATGATGGTCGCCTGCGATCCCCGACACGGCCGCTACCTCACTGTGGCTGCTATATTCAGGTTGGTAAAACTTTACTATAACCTATATCTTAGGCAGAGGCATATGCAGGGTTAGGGGGTTAGGGATTACATGCCCTTTCATTGACTTAAAAATACAAACAAATATAATTAATTTAATATCGAAATATATTACCTAAACGGGGAAAACAAATGCATTTTGGATGTACCTAAGCCCAGATCCTAGACCAAAGCCATCGCTCGCCTAATTTAAACGAAAAATACCCCTCGGTTTGTTATGCAAACTTTTCTACCAGAAATCTTTCTCCCATTTATCAAGTGTAGCAACTTTTCTAAAAGTAAATTTTATCTTTACGATACTTTGGAGAGGTCAAATTTTTATTTTCCAAGCGGTTTTCATAATAATTTGGAAAAACGGGAAAATTTAAGAAATATAGGTATTAGTTAAAAATATTACGGCCTTTTTTTTCATGTGTACAACTTTTTTAATAGCAATGTCACTCAGATTTATAATTAAAGCACTTTTTCTGAAAGGAAATTTGACTGGAGTGGTACTTTAGGGAGGTCATTTTTTGATTTTCCCAGTAAGTAGAAAAACATGAAAACAACAGTGGACAGAAAATATATAATGTTAAACAAATATTATTAAAGAAAATAATATATAATGCATATGCAATTATTTTACTATGCGACATATATATTGTTGACAAAACAACACTATTGCATACAGCTGATATACATTAAATATCCCCTTTAACATCCTAACTTCTCACCTATAACAGTGGCCCACCCATGTTCGAAGTATGTCAATATTTTTGAGTACTAACCACCAAAATTATTTTTTTTTTATATATTTACAACAGAATTTAATTATTGATTTTTCTTACAGGGGCCGCATGTCCATGAAGGAAGTGGACGAGCAGATGTTAAACGTACAAAACAAAAACTCCAGCTATTTTGTTGACTGGATTCCAAATAATGTGAAGACTGCTGTGTGTGACATTCCACCATGCGGACTCAAGATGAGCTCGACGTTCATTGGCAACACAACGGCCATCCAGGAGCTGTTTAAACGCATATCCGAACAGTTTTCCGCTATGTTCCGGCGGAAGGCGTTTTTGCATTGGTACACTGGCGAAGGCATGGACGAGATGGAGTTCACTGAGGCTGAGTCTAATATGAATGATTTGATATCAGAATACCAACAGTATCAGGTATGAATAATAATAATTAGTCGTTTTTTTTGCTTCTTGTGTTTATGTTTATGTTTATAATGTATGACATATTACAGGAAGCATCAGTGGATGAGGAATACATAGAAGAAGAAGAATCTGAAGAGAGAGATGTGGATTAAGCAGATTGTAAGTTTCTTGGTTATAATAATATTATAATCTTAATATAATATGTACTTTTTTTTTTTTTATAGAAATATTATATTGTATTATTTAGGCTCAATTAAATTATTTGAACGTTATGTACTCAATTTAAATTTTTCGTTTTTTATTTTAAATTTTAACAGTTTGTAATTTATATCTTATATTATAAATTGTAACTAAAAATTATTATCAGTATTTAAATAAAGCAAATAATAATTAAAAAAAAAAAAAACATTGTATTAAACAATATTTACAAATATTTCATAAAATACAAGAAATATAATGTATATACATCTATATATCTATGTATATATATATCAATGAAGATAAAAATAATAATTTTTATTAACAAAATAGTTATAGTTTGGTTTCGTGTCGAGTGGCAAGCATATTGCGATCAGGTAATCGCAATGGACGAGGTGACAATTTTGGCTGTGAAGTATCCGACTCATCACCAGAGTCCACATCTCCATCGCTGGAGTTAGTGGACGTTATAAAGTGATCGGATCGTACAGTTTTTCTGGGTCTTATTTTTCTGTAGAATTTAAATTCTCTAGGCAATGTATATGAACGTGGTAGTGATATCTGAGAGTCTAAATCTGATGGTAATTTATATGATTTATACATCAGTGTGAGCACTTGATCATTGGGTTGAGCATTATTATCTTGAACACTAAAAAAAAAATATATATATATATATGAGATCAGTTTGTATCAGTTTATTTATTAATATATGAAAAGGCAAAACACTTACCTATAGGGTGGAGCAATCCAGTTTTGTTGTTGCAGGTACCCTCGCGGGGACAGGAGAACTTCCCCATTTTCTGTAGGTTCCCTTAACTTGCCCTGTCTAATCTCCTCTTCAATAGCTCTGAGTTCGGCCAACTGGTTTTGTCTCTTCTCCTGCAACTTTTGTCTGATGTCAACGTGAGAGTCGGCGCTCTCGTTTTCACTAGAACCCTGTTGGCTGTTGTTGGATGGTGGTGGTTTACACCAAAACGCAACACTGTCTCTTCCACTGGTACCAGAAGACGGCGGTGGTACGAATGTAGTAGGTTTTTTTTTTTTACGCTTTTGCATCGCAGCTACATATGGATTTGTAAAACGACAATTGAAAACGCCGGGTATGCCATTGTGAACACTTGCTGGTAATGCGCTATAATACCTCTGGTTTCTCTGCAAGGTTGGTGGCGGTTCACTGCCAATAGCTTGTTGGCTGTGATAACCACCAGGCGGTATATTCTCATACACACTGCTGAAGCTGTGCCTTCTTATGAGATCAGTCTATAGAAAATAATATTCAATTAGAGCATATTTTCTTGAACCTAGGCTAAACTAGACAATTTTCTTAAATTGTATAAAACTTAAGTTAGTTATTATAAAAAATATAAGAGGGAGGTTTTTTAAATTTACTACTTAATTTAGTTAGAAGTAACCCCCCAAAAAATATTAACATAAGTAAGAAAAAATGTTAAGTTACAATTTTGTTTTTAACCTTTAACTTTAAAACCTGATCATTTAAAAAATGAACTAATACAAAAAATGGAAATCAATGATTTAAAAGTAAATTTTAACATACTTTGCCGTTGGGTACGTTTAGGTTAAGCTGATCCTTGTACTTAGCTTCAAGTGCTAGTTTGGCAGTCGAATTATTACTATTTGTGGCGTTACTTAGTCGACCACCTGACTCATATTTCAATCTCCTTACGTGGAAAAACTGATAGTAAATAGCCATGAATACGAGACCGCAACAGTACATCCCAAGAACCACAAATGGTGTGATAGCATCGCTGTTGCCGATACTCCATACAAACATGAGAAGAGCGTTTTCCAACGCCATTACAATGTAAAACATTAGCTGGAAAATATATAGATAAATATAAAATTTAAAAATAGTCAAATTTGTTAATAAAAGTTAATTTAAAAAAAAAAATATCACCAGTATAAAAAACAAATATATGGACCAATGTAGGTGAGTTATAAACTAAATTGTATAGAAATCTACAATTATTTAAAATAATAGTATTCATTTATGTAACTTAAAATTGCATAGGTAGTTGTGAAGCTCAATTAATTTATGATATAAATAAAACAAAATTATCACAGACTTATTTGTTATAACAAATAAACTGTTTTAGTACCTATAAATAGTTCCAGGCATTATGGAATATTTAATGTAACAAGATAATAGAAGTATATTTAAAAAATGTACATACGGTTCACAAATAATTAAACTACAGCAGAATCTCATTAATCCGGATTGATTGGGGCTCCAAGTTGTCTGAATTAAATAAAATAACCAAAACTTATGGTTTTTTTTTTAATTTAAAAATTTTTATTTTAATTTACATAATTTATAAATAATCGCGACAACATGCATTTATGGAAAATTTGTGGAACTTATTTTCATGTGTACTACACTACAAACTGCATAGTTTACGTGTTATTAAACAGCTGTCCCGATTAAGAGAAGTCCAGTTTAATGAGGTTCTACAGTAATTATTGTAACATTTTTTAAAATGTAACATAGAATACTAAAACATCCAGAATAAAATAGGTACTCGATGTTTTTAATGACAAAATGTAGCACATACTTACCATTTTTTCTCTATGATTGTTCTCCAACAGGTTAACATATTCAAATGTGTACACAAATGCTAGGAGTGCGAACAAAAAGGCTTTTCGTTTGGGCGACATCTGTTCACCATGAAAGACATTCTTAGGCGAATGCAGCCATAAAAGCATTGATAACCAGTGTAAGCCGAGCACTAATAGTACCCAATATTTGTACATGGCAGCATACGTGGTCAATGATATTACCCTTGCTCCAACGGTGCCCAGACGCCACAAAAACTGTGCAGTACATTAAAATTGTTAATTTTTTTTTTTAGAGGCTGTATATTAATATAGAAAATAAATATTGAAACAGACATTTTGCAGAATAAAATTGTTCAATAATATATACTGATAAACAACTCTTGGTATTTAAATTTCTTGAATAATAATCATTCGAGATGGAGAATTATTATTTTGGAAAGTTTGTTCTCCAAATGAACAAAATGCATTATGATACATTATGATACATTATGATGGGAGTTATGAAACTTAATTTTATTTTCTAATTTATATGATTTCAGTTTGACCAAGTTTTAATTTATGAACGTTCAATAAATAATTTTTTTAAACCAATGTCTGTTTCAAAACATGACTGTTCAATGTATGTATGTATGTATGTATGTATACAGTGTGTTTCACTCAAATGGTAACATGGAATATTTCTGTCCAGTGACTTCAAATTAAAATGGGGTTTTCAAGAGAAAATAGGAAATACTGAAATACATATTTTGTATGGATTTTCAAATTTCTTACACTTTCAGTGTGCACATGTGCAATAAAACTTAAATTTTTTTAAAAAACTTATATAAATAAACTTTCCCTTATATCGAAAATTTGCCGAATTACAGCTAGACAAATTTTCAATTTGAATTATTGAATTTTTCAACAATAATCCTAGTATTTTTAAAAGTTTGTTTATAATAATTTACTTGCACGGTTCATATTTGTTGGTACATTTACTAGGAAATACAGAGTACCTATTGTATTATAAACATTTATTGGTTATTGTTAATTAAATGAGCTTTCAAATCAGTTGGATTAATGGATAAAACTTTTTATCATACACAGATATTATACGGATATTTTTAGTTATTCTTTTATTCCACTAAACTTTATAACATTTATAATAACAATTCCATCATTCAATACAAGAATTTTAATTGGATCGGAACATTAATTTTTGTGCTCATATTTTTCTATCATTGAGATTCATATTATACAAAAATGGCTAGCCATAGTGAAAAATTGTATTGGAGTATTTTTGGTAGTAAATTGTTTAAAATAAAATTAATTTAATAATAATAAAATAATTTTATTTCAACTTTAACTAGCTGTATTTCATCCAATTTTTGAGATAAGGGAAAAGTTTATTTATATAAGTTGTTTTAATAAAAAAATGCAAGTTTTATCGCGCATGCGCACATTGAAAGTGTAAGAAATTTGAAAATCAATACAAAATATGTATTTCAGTATTTTCTATCTTCTCTTGAAAACCCCATTTTAATCTGAGGTCGCTGGACAGAAATATTCAATGTTACCATTTGAGTGAAACACATATATGTCTAAAGTATCATTCATTAACAATACATAACTCCTGTTCATGTTAGATTCAACCAAGAAAAAATATTTCATTCAAATATATTTGTCTAACAAAAATTTCAAAAAATAAAATAAAACTATTATTTAAGATCCTTTTTAAATAACATATTATTTTGATAAGTTCAAATATAATTCATCTGTAAAGATTTTCTTTAAAATATCTGTTCATCCATATAAATTTCCAATAAAATAATAATCCTTTATTTTTCAATGTTTTGTTTACCTGAAATACGACTCCGAGCCAGGTAAGTACTAGTCTATGGACGTTTTGCATGCGGACATTTTTACCGAACGACGCCAAAGCCCAGCACACACTGACGGTGGACAGTCCAATGGCAACTTTGTTAAGGTCGCTTAACTGCTTCCAAACGCCCTCGTCCGTCCATAATAAATAGGACTGGAGCAGGAGCAGCGGCATGGACTCACAGAACGCGTGCAACAGGCGCAACATGCACAGGTCACGCACTTCAAACTTAACGTATCGCAGATCGACGGGCAAGAACAGTTTAAAATACCTGTTAGACAAATCTGTTAAGTACACATAATATATTTTAATATACCTCTATAGACATACCTCCAGAGAACGCCCAGCTGCACAAAATGCAGCCCTTGGACCGCGAACCGTTTCAGCCGGTCGGCTAGGGTGGACTTGTCGCCAACGGTCCGGGCCGCCAAATACCAACGCAACGACATTGTTTGTTCGACGGTAGCTGAGGCGCCTACGAACAGCATGGTAAGCCCAAACGGCACGTATCGGCCGTACGAGTAGAGCGCGTAACCCATGACCACGTCGAAGACAATGTCGCAAAAGTATGCGGCCAGAGAGATGATGTTGAATAGGACATCGCACAGCGGCAGGAACTCATACTGGGCCATGGGACGACGGGTCGAGTGATCATATTGTTTCGGCCCGTCTGCCACAGTTGGAGTTGGACGTTCGCGGCACTGGGAGACTTGAACGGCCCGCTACGAACGCGACGACTCAAGTCATGACTACCCCGGGCGATGAACGAGCCCGACACCGAAAACGTAATAGGTATTAGGTATTCAAATGAATAGACGACCGATTGAACAAATATTATTTTTATTATTATTGTTACGAAACCCCTGTGGCGTGGAGAGGATGACGAAAAAAATGCGCTAAAAAGAAAAAAAATATAACAAATCAACGTCGTTTTTATTATTATTATTATTATTATCGTTATCCGCGCACGGTGGACGGTCAGTGGTTGCGACTAGTGGTACGTCGCTGTCGTCGTCGGAAGGATGCTGTATTGCTGTGGCTTGTGGACGGCTGCTACGCGCACACGCACGATACAACGCATTCCCGACATGGCTCGCATATTTGCCAACAGATGGCGCCTACAACAACCGTTTCCATTCAGTATGGTTACAACCATAAAACAGCCATGGTTACCACTTACTGCGTTGCTCGCCCACCGAACGAGCTAGTTGCTCTCCCCTCCCCTCCCCTCTTTATAGCGTCGGTCGACTGTAGTTTGTTGTAGTGTTGTTATTAGGTGTTGAGCGCGTAACGACTAAATGAAAACGAAGAGTTGAAGACTGTCAACAGTCGGCACTCAACGACTATTATTACATTGTCGTTGTCATTTGTGTTTTTAAGCAATTATAACATGTTTTCGAGCAATCATAATATTGACGTGAGTACAATGATTATTTTACTATTTATTGTTTTGTTTTCTTAGTCATAATAAAAAGTAGCCTACCGAAATTGTATGATTATCATAATGTTTTATCACACGGCAGAATTCTGCCGTCCTTAAAGCGCTATACATATTCAGTTTTTATTTCAAACTTGACTTAAACGGTCTGGTTGTTTGCATGCCTGCGTAACGTGTGTATACAGAATCTGAAGACTAGTACAGTTCCAGGCGTGGCATGAACCGTACTGGTTGTTCTTAATTTTTCGAATTGGCGCGAACATGCATTTCGACCTACAATGTTGTTTTCGATAGAAGTCACCAAATTCAACTGACCGAAAAAGCTACTAGTGTGTAGTTAATCTCAAGTTCCGATTCATCTGAATTCATACACCTTCAGTTAAGTGTTAAGACTGAACCTTTATAGGTAGGTTTAAACACATTTGTTTTTCTACAAGTAAACAATGTTTTCAATACATTCTTATCTCTAGAGTAATATTGGTTTACCTGGTGTAGATGAAAAAAATGATCAACTATTTTTATAGGACATGGGTTATATGAGAATAATAATTTGACAGGACATCTGAAATATGTTTAATAATATATTTTCTAGAATATTTTCAATAGATGCCAATTTATTTTAACTGGTTTATATGTACAAATTCAAAAACCAATCCACCAGTTCCTTAATTAATCTTAAAGCAATTGAAGTGTTGTGTTAATCTTGAAATCATAATTGATAATTTGATTGGGTTGACTGATTGTCCTTTTATTCACAAAGCAAGTTTTTCGCTAGATTGGTGGTTGTTTTGAAATTACTCATCCAATTGTCCAGCTACATCTATCATTAATGATATCAGATTAATTTAAAAATAGAAAAAATATATAATTTAACTATTTATAGTTAATTCTCATTGATAAATTGTAGAGATAATTTACACAATATAGTTCAATGGTGTTTATTATAAAACTCCTCAAGAAATCAAATTACCAATTCATATTTTTTTTCGCTCAATTCGCTGTCTATGTTTAGTTCATTAGTTGACTTAAAAATAATGATAGTTCATTTATCCGACTAGTACCTAAGTTTAGAAAGGAAAGCTGCCTTCAGTTATATGATATATACTACATATTATTGGCTGCATATGAACTGAATCCCAACTAAACCTTTTAAAACGAGTTGAGTTCCGAGTTGTTTTTAAGTATAAACTAATTGAGTCTATGTTTCAATTCTAAGTCCCATTAAACTTTTTTAAAAAAAATATCAAAATTACATTTTTATATTGGTAGAAATGTATTATATTATAATAATTATTATAATATTTGTAATTATTCATATTATAATATGAATAATTTATATGTTACTTGTGTATAATATAATAATATCTGTAGACGGTCATTATTATACTAGCAACGGTATAAATAAAATCTAAAATTCCCAGCAATAATAATACCATACAATTATTATTTTATTGGCTGCATTTGAACTGAAATTATATTATCTGACGAAAGTCATAAAGATGATATGAACGATAACAATTAGTCGTCTCCATATTCGTAGATTATGGTGAATTTTATATTTTACTCAAAATAATCCTCACTCAAATAGTATATTTTTCATTTATACCCGGTATTCAATTAGTGTATTATTTTTTTTCCCGTTCAGGTAATAGGACTCGATTAGTGTACAGTGAAATTATTAATGCTAAACCTATTAAAAACATATCATATTAAATAAAATAGTTTGATATTTCTTTAATTTCATAACTTGATCTATGATAATAGTAAATAGTGATTAACAAGTAATGCTGTTTGTATTTAGTGTTTGAAATAGTTTATAGTCCACTGAAATTGGTTAGTTACATGTTAGCCACACCTGAAGTGTTTTAAAAATATAATACTTCTCATTATTTTATAAGATAATTAGATCTTGTTAATGAAAATTTGTTCAATAAACTACCGTAAGTTTGTTGATTCATTATATATTTTGAACCACAGTACCAAAGTTTGGTAATATTTTTAGGAATTCTATTTTCTAAGTTGGAGGATTTTTATCAGTATTTTGTCCTCCAGGGATTTTTATTTTGGAATTCGGGTAAGTAGAATAATTAATGTATTAAATGAAAGTACTTAATTAAAAAAAAAATTTACAGTTTCTCAAAAGTGACTTCTTCAGATTACTTCATAGCCAGACTTGAGAATAATGTGCCACCTATTATGTATTCATTGTATTATATATTTAACATTTTGTTCATTGTTTTATTTTTTTTTTTTTACAGTAAAAGCTGATGATATTGAATTTATAGGCCTTTTCGGTCAACCTGGGGTCACTGAAATTTTGGTAGTAAGTATTATTATTAATAAATAATAATTATTAATTTAGTATGCTTCTGCTATCATATCATTTTTGTTGTTTAGAAAAAAAAATTTTCACTTTTTTACATACGTAGAGTATAATATAGAAAAGTGCTAAACTATAACTACTCATTCTATTCAACTAAAAAAAGTACATTTCTTTCTTTTTTATTTTTTTTTTTTATTAAAAACAAATAAAGCTACCTATTTTGTAATATATTATAATTATATTTCAATTTTATTTACTAATTTCAATTAAAAGATTTTTTACGTGGAAAGTTGGATAGTTATATAGTAATATAGTATAGATTTATAATCATTTTATAGAGGTTAGCCGTCAAGTTATACTCTTTTTTAAATAAGAGTGCACTAGGCGGCAGTGTTCTAATTTAATCACAATATACTGTTTTGATTCATTGTATGTAATACCAGTATTAACAGAAATCTACCACTTTGAGAATAATATTAGCATTTGTCAGGGAGGTTAGGTTAGATGTACAAAAGCTTTGAGCTTTTATTTTAAAAATTGTATAAACTAACTACTATCCTACTTGTCAATTTTTTTTTTTTACTACATAGACTTAACAACTTTCCATAGCTATTAATTCATTACATATAATATGATAAAAAAAAATAATAATAATAATATAACATTAGCTAAATAAATGAAGAAATGTTCCTTTTGTGGTCCATCTATAAATTTGATTTTTATTTAGATTTCATTTATTATGGATATAAATTTAATACGATTTTGATATATTATGTAGATTATTTTGTGGCATTTGTCTGGTTAAAAACTGTCTTTATCACTTAATGGCCATCTTTAGAAAAAAGTTAGAAAAACTATAAATAATAATTATTAAAAAGAAGGTAATTTATTATAATTTGTTGTACCTATATAAACTATGTTTAAATTAATCCACTCATAGTGAGTTAAGGTTATTACAAGTTTTAATTAAAACAACATAAACATATGACTGTAAATATTATTAATCGACTGATTATTTATTTTATTGAGAAAACAATTACTTAATAGAAATTAATGTTGTTAAATTTAAATTGGAAGACAAATTTAACTCAAATATTATAAGATACACTGTACAATGTCATTTTAAAAAACCCTGATAAGTGTAATTAACTAAATTATATTTTTAGGAACCAGTCAAACAGTTATTACCCATTTGAAATGGACTCCAAAAAGAATAGCAGTAAGTACATTTTTGAAGTATTTTTATATCTTTAATATAATTAAATATATTTTTTTAATAACAAATTTGTATGTTCAATTATTCTATAAGTTTTAAATTTATTTATGGATGGTGGATGTCCATATTTTAAAAGTTTAAAATATAAGCTTAAAGGTTAAAGGCGCATAAAAAAAAAAGTTAAATTTAGTAGTATTTGCTATAAATAATATTACAAATTTAAATATAAGTGTTAAAAACTTAGAATAAAAAAACTAATTAAATTTCTGAACATATTATGTTCTTCACAATAAGATTTGTTTTAAATTCTGAATGAAGCGAAATACATTTCTATGTATTGGTTTCATAACTATATGTTTTGTTTTTTTTAATCTGAATAACTTTTCTATTATCAATTTTGCTCTAATTTTCAAGTATAGAACTCAGATATAATATTCTTATATTTAGAGTGCCCAATATGTTGAGGTATTAATATATTTTTCCGATAACATTTGACAAGACTAAAAAAATAATCATTAATGGAAGTTTCTTTGTGTTTTTCAAATTCCTATTGTTAATTTTAATTAATAATATTACCTAGTTGACAAAATGTACATTGCATATTGAAGCAAAAATGTATAATTAAAGAATCAAAATTTAAAATAATATTAATTGAGTAGAAAATTAAAATAATACATTGTTTAGCCTTTCAATAATTATTGAAAATAATGGTAGTGTAATCAATTATGAAATTATATTTTTTAACAAATTTATTTTATATCATTTTTTTTTACTGTCAATTACATCGTGTTAAGATAATTAAACATGTTGATTTACTTAATTATATAATAATTTATAGTAAATTCTAAAATAATCTTTAGTTTAGGATTCTGGTACTATGGTTTAGATTAAAGATTCTTAAATACAAAATAATTTAAAAAAAAACAAATTTAACACAATTGAAATTTGTTTTGAATTATGTTTTATTTTCTATAGAGTTAATACAAGACAATATTCTGATTATGATATTTTGAGTTACAGGTTAGATTGATAGTGTATATAACTTATATTAAATTTATAATTCACAAATAGTATTTTTATTTTTGTAGATCCTACATTACAATTAGCAGAAGAAGAATCTACTGAGTGTTCAGGTTCATCTGGAATAGGTTCATCAGATTCAACATCTTCTAATTCCTTAAAAGATGTCGAGACTTTTAAAAAATGCTGTCTAGATTCTCTTGGAAACCAAGAAGATTTCATGATTGTTGAATCCACTTCAACTTCGGCTGAAAATATTTCAACGATCAATGATGATGACACTAAATATATTTCAAAGCGAAAAGGTGCTGCATTTAAAAAAAAAATCAAAACAAATACTCCTAATGTTAGTCTTATGTTTGAGAATATAATAGATCATGATAGTAATCTTATAACTGATGTGACTGAGAGTAGTAAATGTTTGAGCCGTTTTCAAAAGCGTAAAAGACTCTCACGAAAAAACAATCACGATTTTGTTGATATTAATTTATCTGATAATAGTGAAATAGAAAGTGCTGAAAATAGTTTAGAACCTTCAAAGTTTCGTTTTTCGGAAAAAAATAAAGGTCAATCAAGTTTTGATATGCTTGATTGTAGTTTGTCTACTTTAGCCAGTACAAATAGTGTAAAAATTTCCTCCGATAATGATAATACTTCTGAAATACGGGAAAACAAATTCTTTAAAAAACCATTTGATTCATTTCTTCTCACTAACAATAGTGCCACTGATATATCTACAGCAAAAGTATCAACACATAAGTCTACTCAAAAAAACATAAACGTAAATGATTCTCCATTTGACAATATCATTCATGAATCAAGTATGGTGTCAGTATCAAATAATAATAAAACATTAGATAATACTCAAGTATCAAATGTTAATGAAATTTCACTGTGTAGTACAATAGAGATACCTAGTTTCAATCGTACTTATGATATACCACCAAATGGGAATTCTACTCAAAAGTGTGATTTAAATGATACTACTGTTGAACTACCAATTAATGAAACATATACTTTGAATGATCATGCAACGTCTCAATTAAACAATGATGTGTCCACAAAGTCAGTTGATATTAAAGATGTGTTATCAGATACGTATACTGTTGAGAGTAATCCAAATAAAACATTGACTAAACCACGATCAATCTTGAAAAAAACCAATTATACTATAAATACATCGGCCAATGTATCTAATCAATCTAAACCTTCTGTAAAAAAACAAAAATTTTTACGAAACCTCCATCTTAACAATGTCTCCCAAGATTATAGTTTTACAATTAATGATAGTAATACAATATTGAATGAAGATACCATAAATGATACCAAACGTGATGATTGTAAAAAATTTAAATTAAAAGAAATATCTCATAGTGAAGATTTTGAAATATTCGACAACATTATTTCTGGTACACAAGAAAATGAACTGTTGACTTCTAAAAATAATGATATAAACAATTCAATTTCTAATACATTAACTGCTGTAGCAGGAACTTCAAATAACAATGATTTGTATAATATTTCATCAAAATGCATGGAAAATACAGATGAATTGACTAAGCAGTCTAATGTGATTTTGGATGAAAAATTTGAAAACGATAAATCTATATGTCCAACTCTTATTTCATGTAAATCCAATAGCTTCAGTCATTCAGGCTTCAAATTTGATTTTAATAAGCAGTTTGGTCGGCATAGTTTAAGTTATCAAGATAAAAGTATGAACTCATCAATGATAGTAAAACCACATAATATTTCATTAAATAATAGTGTGTTTGACAAAACACTCGGAGAAAAATCTAGTACTTTTCATAAATCTGTGGATAATGTTAATCTTGATTCAAATTCACAAATTTGTGAAAATCCAAAAAAGCATTTGATTTCTCAAAAATTTCAACCAGCCAGCATTTCATCACTTCCTATATCTACTACTATTAATGAAGAAGTCGAAGAAAACAATCTTGAATTGTCACAGAACATATCATTAAAGGCATATCAATCATCAGAGCCTTGTTTTGCAGGCAAACCCAATATAAATGCTAATTCAGTTGTTTTTAGTAATTTAATTGATGATAGTTTAAATGATGACATATCTTTAGATGATTCTAAACGAATCAAATTTAAGAACCACAAAAATATATCTGTAAGCCATTCAGTTATGTTTGAAAATATAATAACTAATAGTCAAGAATCTCCTAATTGTTCTATAAATCAAAATAAAACTGGTCAGTCTATACCATATGATAACAGTAATATAAAAGGGGACGAAATCAGTGTGTTTGCCAATTCAGATGAATTATTGTCTAATAACGAATCAAATAGTTCTGATCACGATTCAAAAAACCGTAGTATGTCAAATGTTGATAAATCTAGATTAAACCATTCTAAATCTGAATCATTAGGTGGAAAAAGTTCTGAGGTTTCCATTGTGAATAACATTATGCAATATGAACAAAATAATTCTTCAGTTTCAGTAGAATCTGCAAATAATTATTCTTTATCAAATGTTGCTTCTGGTATAATGGAAAATGATAGTTTATCGAAAAGTAATAAAACGTCTCATGTTTTTCCCAAAACTTCTGTTAATAATTTACAGAAGAAAAATTCAATATTATTGAATGAAGTTACTACAATAAATGAACGAGTATCTGACTCTAGTACAAATCAAAATGAAACTTTGACCCAAAAAATAATGTACAATGGTAGTAAGAATCGAGGGGATGAAATTAGTATGTTTGCAATTGCAGATGAACTATTGTCTATTAGAAAATCTGTAAAAAGATCAAATAAAAAAATTGACAGTGGTAAAAAATTAAATTTGGAAAAATCCAATACTACAGCAGATGAATTCAATATTTTGGATAAGAAATATAAAGATTCTAGTTCAAAACTTTCAAAAGATGATTTTTTCCAAGGAAAAATATCATCAAATATTTCTTCTAGTCATAAATCACACAATACACATTCAATAAATTCAAATGTTTCGGTTGTTGGTAGCAACATTCAGAGTGAACAAAATAATTCATTAAGTCCAAAAAAACCGATAATTAAGCACCCAAAAACATCAATATTGCAATGTTTAACACGAACAAAGGCTTGTACATCGAATAATTCTTTGACACTAGAAGACGACAATACAACGAACATTAGTAGAACTTCTACTTCTTCGATAAAACCAAAAAATCCTTATATTGATGATATTGGTTCTGCACTACCAATTTTAACTGTTGGATTAGATGACACAGGATTGTCATTGTTAAACACTCCTGACGAATCTTTGGAACAAAGCGATTTGTCAAATAACCAATCAAAAATATTCAGTTCTAAACGTCGTTCACTAGATAATTCTAATGATGTGTCTGTTAAATCAAATAAATCAATAAAACTTGAAAATAATGAAAACAACAGTACCAGAAAAAGTGCTTGTTTTTCAGAACAAAATAATCAATCCTTCAGTAATGACGTTTCTAAATCATTAAATATTACAGATAGATTACAGGATACAGGGTTATCATTGTTTATTGCTACTGGTGAATCTTTGGAACAAAGTGATTTGTCTATAAACCAATTAAATAGATCTTCTAAACGTTGTCTACAATATAATTCCAGTGATGATGAGACTGTAAAATCAGATAAATTATTAAAACTAAAAGATAATACAAATAACGGCAGCAAAATATCTGTTCATTCGTCAAAATTAAAAAATCAGTCTTCAAATAACGAAGGTTCTACATCATTGATTATTTCTGATGAATTACAAAACACAGAAGGTTTAACACAGTTAAATAATACTGTTGGAACTTTGGAACACAGTAATTTGTCAATAAACCAATTAAATAGAACTTCTAAACGTCGCTTACGAAATAATTCCACAGGTGAGTCTGTTACATTAGATAAATCATTAAGACGAAAAGATAATACAAATAACAGCAGCAAAATATCTGTTCATTCGTCAAAACTAAAAAATCAGGCTTCAAATAACGAAGGTTCTACATCATTGATTATTTCTGATGAATTACAAAACACAGAAGGTTTAACTCAGTTAAATAATACTGTTGGAACTTTGAAACAAAAAGACAAGTCAATGTACCAAACAAGTGGGTCAACTTCTAAACATTCTTTACTTGTTAATACCAAAGATGAATCTGTTACATCAAATAAATCATTAAAACAAAATGATAAGCGTAGAATGTCTGACCGTTTGTCAGCACGTAAAAACCAGTCAGTTGGTAATGTAGAGCCGAGTGTATCAAACATTACTAATAGTGTACAGTCGAAAAAGCAATCTTTACTTAGTAAAACACTAAAAAAAAATCATATTAAAACTAATGACATGCCAATTGCATCTACAAGCTCTGTAAACAGTGTTGGTAATTCTAAAAATAAAGGAGTTAATTTAGAGGCTGAAGATTCAGTCTTTTGGTCAACAGTCTCTGAAAGTTCTACAAATACATCAAGAACTATCCCAAATGTGAATTCTAAAAGTAATCAATTGATCGTTATAGAACAGATTGAAAGTGCCATTGAAAACATGTCGATTAATCAAATAACGTCAAATCACCCGGGTGCTTTTGTAATTGATGATAGCACAAATAGACCGTTAACAAGGTCTTCTGTAAAACGCCCAACTAATAGTAGCCCTTCAATTTTAACTAGAGTTTTAGCGGGTAATGACAGTTTTGAATCAACCTTTTCTGAAATTTCACTTTCTAGTAATAATATTGATCACACAGTATTAGAAGAACACGTAAAAGAAAAGTATCGATCTCTGTACAGTAAGGAAACGTGGGTTACAAAACGGCTCTATTGTTTCCTTGTCTGTAATTTGCAACCGCGTTTTAATATATATTCTATGAAATGTGCAGAAAAATTTGTCATGTACTTAAAAACCATACTAAAACAAATATATAAAGATAAAAATGCAGATTTACAGTTATTTTCGGATATGTTAAGGTATCATATGGCAAGATATGGAATTATTAAAACTACGGCTGATTATCTTGGATTTTTGACAGATTACATACCTAGGCCTTATTACGATAAATTAGTGCCTGGATGGAACCACGAAACATCAGCAGTCAAATTTGATGATCAAAAATATTTCATACCGATCATGGAAGATGAAACTTTTTTAAATAAGATTTTAGAACATATAAGAACTGTTTAATTAATATTTTACTTCTTTCTCATTGTTATTTATTGAATATTTAAATTATATTTAACAAATGATGATAATAATTATAATCATTTTTTAATTGTATAGTTATAATAAATAATAATTAATTTATAAATTGTTTTTTATTATTATTTGTATTTATTACTACTACTATGATACAATCATGTAAAATGTTTAGATATAGGTACATATTATAACTATTAAAGAACATGTTTATATTTTATTTTTACTGATTTTTATTAATATGGTAAAAAGCAATATAAATGCTAGTATTGTAATTTGATATTATGTTGTATTATGAATCTACCCTGTCTATTATAAGTATGTTTTGTTTCAGTGAAACAACCTGTGAAATTCACAGTTCAAATTATCTAAACAAAAACTAAAATATCTGCATTGGTTTTATATTACACTAAATTTTCTTTTTGTTGGAAATCGGAAGATATTTAATTATAATAAAAATTAAACACTCATGGTACTAATGATATATTTTTACTTATTGTGTAATTCAAAATGAACTAATCAAATATAATGCACATTGAGGTAAATATTAGTGATAAGCCTAACCAAATATTTAACAGTTACTGTTGAACCATTTACCAAGTTGATTGGTTTTGATAAATTGAAAACTAGTATGGAAAAAACTTTAATTTTCTTAATAAAAGTACGTACTAGATGTGTTAAAATATTTGATAATTTACTATAACTACTCAGAAGTTTCCATTATTTAAAAATACTGTGTCCCATCATGTTTGACAGATTTTTTATTTATTTTTTTTTTAATGTGCTTCTTTGAGGACATCGACTTGGAAAAAAATGTAATTTTTATTTTCATCCCCTACACACACAAAAAAATAACTGTTTATTCAATTAAAAAATGTTCAAAGTAGCCATTTTGTTGGGGATATTATTTTAAAAAAATTAAATGTATCACACAATCATATCTGGTTAATAGTTCTTTTAAATACATTTTTTGTTTGATATTTATCATTTATGTTTGCTATAATGTAAATTAGAAAAAAAATACGTTTGTTTATATTTTATGTTGGAATATTACATTAAATGTAATAAGTAATGAACAAACGTAACAATAGCATTATAAATTTTCAAACCATTCAGAATCCGCTAAGTTTGTATTAATGTTTGCATAATATATATTGATTATAATGCAATAAAATATAAAACAGGAATTAAAAATCTGTATACTGCTTAGATATTTAAAAATTGATAATAGTTTATGGTATCATTGGTACTCAGTAAATATACTTCTAACTCTCCACTATTTTGTAATCATCCTCATCAAACAGTTTAACATGAACCCTAAATACAATACACAGAAGCCAAAGCTATCCCAAGTATTTTTGAAGTATTGTATATGTAACAATTGTATTGATCCCTCCTACACCATTATCAAAACAATAATATATATTTTTACTCTTACTAAAAAAATAATATTAATTATACTATTTAGTTACCAATTTTACAATGTGTATCAAATCATAGTAGAAGTAACCACCACTCTATGAAAAAAAAAACAATCAACAGCAGATTGCTGAACGACTTTAATCCGCTTTATTATAAACTGAAGTGATACATTCTCCAACCATAAATTTGAAAACGATATAATTTGGTACAAAGACAATGCGAATTATGGAAAAACGTGTTTTTTCGTATCGAAGATCGTTTATCACTGTTCACTTTGTTTTATAACTTAACTATTAACATAAGATTGTCGACATCGCAACGGAAATCCATCTGTTGCTTGTAAATTAGGACAAAATATTAAATTATGTTCCTGAACGCTGTACGTTAATGCATTTTCCGTAGCTATTGACTTCCATACCTGTGATTTTTGAATCGCAGCTCGTGAAACTTGGTCGCGTGTTTTTGTATTCAAATATTTCAAAAATGTCGATGAAATTAAGAGCAGACATCTTCTTTTAGAAATTTTGAAGAAACTACAACCTAACGTGACTGTAACAGGAACAGTTATGACAAATTTCTTTTTAGATTATTTTTCAATTGCCTTTAATATAACTATATTATATTATATATAGTTATATAACGATAATAACGACTTAAAGCATTAAGCCTTGAATTATTGTTTAAATTCAGATTAATTATAGACTAATCATAACAGACTGATAAGTTTACGCTGGTATTTAATACTTTTACAATAAATCGAATATCCGGAGTGAGCGCAGCGAAACTACGCGTTTGAACATTTGTAATTCTAAAACTAAAACAGATAGACTTATTCTGACTTCAATAAAACAACTTTGTTTACAAATTATAAATAAATACAAACAATTATAATAAACAAAAACGTCTATATTTGACATTTTTAATCAATTCTAAAAATGCTATTTTTCAAGGCTTATGTAGAAAGTTATAAAGTAAGTATGATAGTTAAGTTTTGATTTTATCAATGGATTAAGCGTTTAAAAATATACATCTGGAAAAAACAAGCTTCGACCATAAATTAGATTTAGAGGTACCAATTTAAAAAGTGAAATTACTATCAAAAAATCTTATGATGTAGACACTCTTTTCAAATATAAACAGTATTGGCAAACAATTTATATTAGATAGTGTTAAAGTTTAAACAATTTTATAATAACTAATAAAAACAAACATCAAATTGTCTATTGAACATCTGTAATAATATATGAGTAATTTAATTAATTTATAATTACAAACATTTGAAAAAAAAGTACCTGCAATATTTATTAGCATAGAAATAATAAACAGTGGTATATAATTGCATTGCAAAACAAGTTGTACAATAATTACCAATTCATTTTGACAACAATAATATATTAAATAAAAAAAAATATAACATCACGTTTTTAAATAAAATATTTATATTTATTTAGAATTATTAAAAAAAAAAAAAAAAAATGATTATCATAATAAGTATAGTAGTTGAAGTATCATTAACAAACACAATACCTACTGTAATATTAGATTATAATTTATAACTCTTTATATTTCTGTAAAACTGTACACACTAACAAATATAAGTATGTATATCATAATACCGTTGATTATCAATTTTATTTTATAATGGAGAAATCCTCACAGATACCCTGCAGCTGATCAGTAGGTAATATATAATAAATATTTATTTATATTAGTTATTCAATTCTATAATTTTGCACGTTATCCATAAACCAAGAAATATGAAAAGTCTTTAAATGTTCCAAATTGTATTTAACTAATCTGTCTGAATCAGTAGTGTATAATACAATGGTGGATACACGATACATATCTTTATTATTTCGACAATGGAACGGTATAATGTTAGTGGGACAGGTATGCGGTTTTGGCATGCGTGTCAACAATTGTGCTCCAAAATTAACAACCAATTGTTTTAATTGTTGTAAAGAAAATTGTTCCCAACCTTTATCTCCACTTATGTGTATACTTATGCCATCAAATAGTTTTGGAAACTGTAACAAAAATTAATTACGTTAATATGAAATCTAGTCTTTCTACATACAAAACATATAAATTCAAGTTTGATTTTGTTAGCTTTATATACAAATTAACAAGGTATACATTATTCTCCTTAAATATGTACAATATACTGTGTCTTAAAAGTCCTTGTGTCACCTAATCATAATTAAGACCATAATTTGTTATGATTTTCGTTAAAATTTGACATTAAAATTCTTACAAAAAAAATTCTACATTACATTCTTCACATTTTAGATTCTAAGTGCAATGTATTGATTTTACAATGATGTTTATTTTTTTTTTTTTTTTATGTGAACACTTTCTACCAGAAAGCATACACAGATTACAAATATAGAACCTTTTGTGAAAGGAAATGTTCTCTGGGTAGTCTTTAGAAAGGTCATTTTTTGAAATACTCATTAATATTCGAGATAATGAGGAAAACCTCTTAAGGTTAAAAAAAATCATGTAAGATTAAAATAAGGTTGTCATTGGCAACCATTTTTATTTATTTTTTTTATTATTACCTACCAGATAAAAATTATGTAAAAAATCTCAAAATTGAAATGTCTATAAATAGCTTAAAAATAGCACAAATTTCAAGTCTTTACAAATATTTTTAACTGAACTAAAACATAAAAATAATTAAAGCATTATTTTCGTAAGTTTTCCTATTAATTCTATGTTTTTTTTTTTTTACATTCTTGCTAAATTATTAAAAAAAATTACACGAAAAATCAAAATCCTACTTTCTTACTCATCAACTAAATTAAAAGTTCAACAACACAATTTATTTGTCATTTTTTTTTATTATTGTAATATTTCTTGTAGAAAACCATCAAAAACAGAATCTTAGAGACCAACTGAATACAAAATTCAATAAAAAAGGTTTCCTGTCATTTTTCGTTTGATACAAGATTAATAAAAAGCATAAGTTAATAAAAATGTAAAATCATGAAATCATTAAGTAGTAAATATTTGTCAGTTTATCCTTACGTTTTTCCCAATTATTATTAAAAACACATGGAAAATCAAAATATGACCCCCCTAAATTACCAAGTAGATAAAATTTAATTTTATAAAAGATATTTGATACATAGGAGCAAATTTTTAGTAGACAAGTTGTTCACAGATTCAAAAAAAATTTTAATTTAATAAACAACATTGTAAAACCAATACATTCCTACACTTTGTACCTAAAATAATTGCAGATTTATACAAAAATCCAACCTAAATCGAACATGATTTTACATATACAAATCTAGATATATATATAATTATGATAATTTATATTAGGTATTTATTTATAACAGTTATGCTATTTTAACAAATACATTTATAAATACAGCAACATATATAACCAATAACAAACTAACAAATAATAAAGAATTTAACATTTATGAAAAGTGTACACTAAAAACCAAAAGAAAGGTCCACATTACTAATAGTTAATTAATGTCTAATATGTGATCTGCATTTTCTTATTATGTTTATATTTTAAATAAATAAATAAATAATAATAATAATGTATTAATATTATAACTTTTACCCCAAGACTTATGCTTATTCTTGAATTTCTTAATCCAGCACAAATGGGAAAACGTGTAGTTCCTTTTACTAAATAAGTTTTATCATCCATACAGAGTTTATCTTTTTGTAATGAATCAGTAACACCTAATTAAAATGTTTAAAAAACAATTTTACTCTTTGATCATAATATAAAATATTAAATAAGAAATATTCTTACACTTTACAGTATTTATAAATAATCCGTTTGCTATGCCTGATAAACAATCAAAATTGACATCACATGTTTGATTTTCAGTTTCTGGTACAATTATGTGGGTCACTTTACTAAAATCTCCATTCCTTTTAAAAATGGTTATTTGTATTAAAAAAAAAAATAACAATTTTTAATTTTGACTTACACAATATGTTCAACTAATTTAAAGCGGAACCGTGAAATAAATTGCTTCACAACTGTCTTATCTATAGAAACATTACTAAAATACAAATAATTAGTATCTCTAGAACAAAAACCATGTTCTGAATTTATTAACATTGGTAATGTAGACTCCCCAGAAGGAATTTTTGATAATTCTGACCATTTTTCAGGATTTAATGATCTGAAACCAAAATATTAAAACTAATTTAATGCTTGAATAAAAAAACAATCAATTATATAATAAAATCGTTAGAGTATAACAATTGTATAAATAAATGTTAAGAAACATTATAATATAATATAAGTAAATCTATAAATCAATTTATGGGCTTCACAATAAATTTATATTTTTCAGTACCTAGGTATGTCTATTATAACTTTATGAATAGAGAAACTTAAAAAAGTTCATTTAGTAATTTTATAAATTGGTTATGATAAATGGATAACACTTTTTTAAGTTTTTCAATTTAATCTTTAAAAGAATTTAAGAATTGAATAATAATTGGTGAGAAGAAATTTTAATACATTATTTAATATATTCTATTAAATTAATAATTTGTGTAGTACTAAATACATCAAATAGATAAATGTTATTAATAAATATAATTGTCATATATTAGTTTGTCACTTAGTGTTAATAAAACACAAAAGTAAGTAATATTTCTTACTCTAAATTTTCTCCGTATTTGTTTATACAGTTCTTATCAGCTCCATAATAAATAAGTTCTTCTGCTACATCAAAATGTCCACACTTTACGGCTAAATATAATGGTGTTTCATATTCATATCCTGGAACATCTATATTCGCATGATAATCAACAAACATTTCCACCCAATCTACACGTCCAAGTCTCACTGCTTCATGCTAAATATTACATATTTTAATACCATTTAAAGTTGTTTTAAGATAACAATGATAATTATTGATTACCAAAGGTGTCCATCCAGCATTGTCTTTAATATTTGGGTTCATAACATATTCAAGAAGGAGAACCCCAGCATACAGTTCTAAACCCTAAAATATTATTAATAGTTAAGAATACTAAAACATCTAAATATTTATTAAACAATAATTATTTTATATTTGTATAATAGAAATCAATTATTTATTTATAAAATGTATATATTATTAATTTACTTTAGTACAAGTAATGTGCAACTGTGTTTCTCCTCTACAATTTCGACGAAAAGCATCTACTTCACAACCATCCTATACAAATTCATTAGTTAATAAGAATAATTAAACAATATTGTACCTAATGAACTAAATAAAATCAATTTTTAAGACTCCATTAGTTATAGAATAAAAATAAAATCAGCATTATTGATATTACCAATCTATACTATATAATAAAAGAAAGTATCAATTTGTTTATATGTGTGTGATACACAGCTGAATCTATAGTACTCAATGGTTTAAACATTTACGAATAGAAGCAGATGAATAAGTTGTTCTACACCTTGAAACCCAAAAGGGTAATTAACACAACACAGGGTTAGTATTTTCATAAAAAAAATTGTATTTTTGATGACACGAGAAAAACTTTATTATAAGTTAACTTTTTTGCATGTGACAAAAAAGTTAACTTAAAAAAAATTAATATTTGTCAATCACAATTAACTTTGAATGGTCAAAGGTTTCGAAATTAGATATCACAGATAATAACATTTATATACTTTCTTATAACTGTGTACAAAGCTGAATGGGACAGAAAGTTTATAATATTATCTAACTTTAAATAAGGACATTTATTTTTGTTTTTAATTTCTATTGGTCTGCAAGAACTAATTTTTATTAATATTTAATATAGATTGTAAATTAACATAATATTGAATCAATTTTTTATGTAATTAGTATTTACTATAGATAAGTATACAATAAGAGAGTAAACCATTATAACACAGAAATAAAAAACTTCCCTTCTAAAAATCAGTTTTACCATTAATTGAAATTTATCACATAAACTATAATAAGAGTAAGTAGCACTATTAGCATAAAATAGTTAAGAGTTAATAGTGTTAATAGAATAATAAATTCAATTTAGTTTTTTTAAGTTTAGTCTTTATACTTGATAATATTTAGGAACTGATATATTTGGCTGATATGAATATGATTCCTTTTTCTTTTTTTTGACCGACTCGTGCTTTTCCTCATCATTTTCCTGAAAAAATTACACATTACTAAAGTATTACCAACTAAATAATAATTATGATTTAATGAATATTTATTTTATTCAAAATATGTTCATAAATTACTTACCTAATAATTGATAACTTATTTTTAAATATTAAATTAGATATGATAAACAAATTGTACAATACAAATAAAATTGAATTAAATACCATTCAAAAACCAATTTAAAAATTACATACATTTAATTCTTTAACCCAATCCATTACAGAATCAATTGCATCATCAATGGTAGAACGGTGTTTTGATGTGGTCGCATTCATTGATGTCGCAGATAGTTCACTTTCAATAAGATTCTAATTATAAAATAATATGCTACCAATAATAATCAGCTAGGCAATATATTTATTTTATTCTCTAATTTTACATTTTCTTTGCTAACTCTTGTCTTTGCTTGTTCCACGTCTTTATTTTCATAACTTTTTGTTGACATGGTTGATTTTTTTAGTGTTCAATTCTCTTATCTATTAACAGTAAAATATATACCTAAATATATTATGATTAAAACTTATTAATATTTGGGTGGTTTACTGTTGAGTAATATTTCATAAGTACTGTACATATGCAGTAAAAGTATTTAAATGTATTACATCATAGTAATATGACCTGATTTAAAGGAGAACAAAGCGTTCAATGACGTTATAAGGGTTAGTCGGGTAGGTACCAACAGTCAACACTAGTTAGATTGGCAAAGCAGAGGCGCATGCAAATAAGGAAAACAAGAGTCTTTGCATTTAGATGATATTACCAAATATTTTATTTTAAAAATTAAACATTATTTGGCAATATACAGAAGTTGTGGCTTATGTATTTATATAATAATTAAACAATAGTAAAAAAAAAAATTACCTTATAAAAGTTTAATTAGGTTCAATAAATCATTATTACAACATAACTTTAGATTAATTTGGGTTAGAAACGCGAAGAATCTGATGCAATGGATGATTGTGATTAATTTAAAAGCACAATTCACAATTTATCACTGATTATCATATCAGTTGCTGTGCCAATCTTTCTGGTGCTAACTATATGAAACCATAGACAACGCTAACAAATTGTTGTTCAGTTCAACATAATATTGGGTATGATTTTATTTTCTGTTTCTTTAATAATAAAGAATAAGGCGTTAAGTTGATTGATATACTAAGTATTATAATATTTGTTAGCTTATTACTTACTCAGTCGATAAACGTTAAGTAACAGTTATGTTATAGACGTTACACAAACCAAACGAGAAAACTTTTACAAATTGTATTTGCTTGATAGGTACCTATCACTAATTCAAATACCACAATATATTTTAATTCGTGGTTCCTAGGGTGCTAGACAGACAGCAGACACTACGGAAATTATAATGTACCTATAAACTATAAACTACCTACTATATATAAGGTATGAACTCTATGAACATTAACTTATGCCTGTATCTGTGGTTTTGTCAAATCGCACAATATTACCAATGTGATAAGATTAATATTGTGTAAATAAAACACCACTTACCTTGTAGTGTAATATTAATTTATTGCTTTTATACTTACCTAATAATATGCATGACGAATTAGATTCGTCACGAGTTAGATTAGATATATAAGAGTAAACAAATTATTTTTACTGGCAGTGAATGTTGGGCAATTAAAATTGAATTAATGCATGATCAATGGGTAAATATTTGTTTGTGTTAAATATATAGTGAATACCAATGGACCCCCCAGAAAAAATTCCTAAAACCGGCACAGCTTAAAGGTATGATATCAGTGATTAAAATTAATTCGAATATTTGTCTAACATTAAGCTCAATGATGTTCGTTTATTTTACTTGTTTAAACATTGGTTGATAAATTAAAAATAAACAATCTTATTTTCGTTACTGATAGACCGGTATTAAGGCAATTAAAGGTACGGTTTGTTAGACGCGACAATAGGTCGCTTCGACAAGTCGTCAATATCTGTTTATACGAAAACGGTATACACTGGTTTGCTAGACGAGACAGGTCGCAACGACCAAACTTTAGGTCGTCTCCGAGAGCAGTAGCCTGCGACACGTCACGACGGCCGTATGACGATATGGCAGCAAAATTAATATTTTCTTATTTTTCTATTGAGAGATGAAACTCTCATTCAAGAGGTACAAACAAATTCGGTTTTATATAATGTTGCTGATCAAAACTGATTTTCTTTTATTTGGCACGAAATTAGCAATATATATATATAAATAAATATACATCATCTTCGAATGTTATTAATATTAACAATATCGCTGTTCGTGGTAAAAAGTATAATTTTCTTTCATACGATTAAATAAAAAATAAAAATATGTCCGTTTACGTACAGGTTTGAAACTGAACTGGTCAAAAAGCACTCGTGCTACGACAACCATCGCGACCGCGACATGTCGTGTCTAGGAAACCCACTCGCCACAAAACGGGTCGCGACGATCAGTCGCAGCGACCTGTGCATCACCCGTGCGATTCGACTAATCTGGGTTGCATACAAATCATTCCGTAAATTTTAAACAAATGATTAACTAATAGTTCGTTAAAATTGTAATAGTTTGTTAAATCGCTAGAGTTTCATGAAAATTGTACAATTATTCAAGGAGAATAAACAAATATTATCTATACTCTTATCTTTTAACGGCAGCAGCTGCCATATTATCATGGCGTTCATATCAGAATATTGTTATCATAGACACTTATTGGCGTATGTAGTAAAATTTGAATTTTGAATGTACCTACATTTTAATTTTACTTACCGGAATCTACGACAAAAGTCTAAATCATCAAAATATGGCAGTGGATCGGATCTATTCCAAAGCACCCTTGGAACAGGTAAGCGTCCTAAAAATTCCAATATGAATTAATCATCACTATAACTGGATGATGAATCATAATAAACAGCCAATGTGCATATTTTAATTATTGAATTAACAAGTTGGTCTATCAATTGTTTTTTTGAAAACCATATTATCAATTATGTATGGGAAAATTATTGTAACTGTATTGATAACACATATTTAATGAGTCATTTGAAATTTTGTTAGCCAAAATCGAATGATTAACTAATAGACCGTTAAGACTAAACATTAATAGCCCGTTAAAAGTTAAATAATGTTTATGCAACGAAATATTTTTAAGGAGTCATTAATACCGCTAATGGTCAGTTAAATCCTTAACGATCGTTTATGCAACCCAGCATTAGACTATTACGGAAAGTGCAATATTTTTGTATGGATTTCAATATTATGTTTGAAAATTATTCGGATACATTTTTATTCAAATTGATTATTTTAAAATTATTCCAATAAAAAATAATTCGAATAATTGTAAAAAATCATTCTAATAGTTTCATATTCCAATTTTTTGTACATCATTTATATATGAGTTTTTAAAATTTGTTCGACACTAGTATCCGAGTAATAGTAGTATATGAGATCCTTTTTAACCTTTTGCCCCTAAGACATTTTCACACCAGTTTACATAAGGTACACAGTGGCGCACACCGAGGGGGGGGGGGGGGTTGATGTCAACTAACACCCCTTAAAAAATTGGTGGGTACTTGGTACCAAGTGAGTTTAGAAGTTATTTTTATCTATATTTGTTTAATATTAATAATATTAATTTGTAATTGAGTCTTATTATACCTCATAACTCATATTTGACTGGTGGGGTGGGTGGATGCCTAGATATTTATATTTTCGACACCCTTGTGAAAAATGTACTGTGTGCCATTGTAGGTACATAAATTTATTGCGCATCAAAATTTTTAATTATAAAAGGGTTGAAAGTGATTGGAGTAGGTACCCAATTGTTTCCTAACTTTCAGCTTAATGTCCAGTATAGGTATATCTATTATAGATATAGAAGGTGTATTAATCTTTTAAAATTATAATATACACCTAGGTACCTTCCTCGTCCCTACCTACCTATTACGAGTTATGGTGATAATTGCGGGGTTGTAACAATGAACCAATCCTACCAGATATTGCCAAATGACCTATTTTAAAGTAACTATTACAAATATTAGATAACTAAGGCTGTAATAAATGATACATGCTAAATAACTAGATTTTCAATATTTTATTATTATTATTTTTCACTTATCGTGTAGCACACTCTTAGTGAATTATCATGCTATATTGTGTCTTTCAGGAAAACAATACTGTTTCTGCCTTCATCGACTTTATGATGGTCTATGGCTATAATCCGTAATGAGAGTTCAGCTTAAAAGTTTTAATGCAAACAATAGGTATTTCATTGTCTATAGGAAATGTTGCCTATACCTACAAAATACGAGTATTAGGTTTAGGTATTATAGTTATTAGGTATTAGTATTATTAGTGTAAGTAATTATTATAAAAATAAATATTGCTAAATAAAAATGTTTTACACTGTCACCACAGTTATCTATAACCGTGACCATAGATAATTCTTCTTTATTATCTATGGATATCACACGCTCCAATCACGCTTATAGACCGTGATACTATAGATAAGGTGCCCACGAAATGTCCTTATGCGCTTCCAATATCACCCAGTGCATTCTAGTTTTTAATATAATAACTATTTATCTAAGTAGTTGTCCATTATCATTTGTCTAGATAAATTGTTAAACTTTAAACGTTTTTGCATGATTGTAGTAGACTGGTTAAAAAAGGTCATTATTATTTAATACTTATTTAAATCGATATTCAAATCTACAAATAATATTAAATTGGCGTGCATATACAGCTTGTTGCTGTTCAAAAATTGTTCAATATCTTTAAAATTATTTGTAAAGTTAAGTTCCATTTAAATTAAATTTCTGTTGGGTATACCTCTTTATTATTCAAATGCAATATAATTTTAGATTTTGTTATTTAAAAGGACGCTACACATGCATTTGTTGTTTCCATGTCACAAACAAACGATATAATTAGTAAAAACTAGAATGAAACTAGAAACTAGAATAAAATAATTACATAATATGCATTAAATATTTTCTTTAATAATATTTGTTTAATATTGTACCTATTTTCCCGTTTTTCCTAAGTTTTTTCACTTGTTTTTTCCCGGGGCAAAATATTGCTGGTAGAAAAGTTGTTCACAGAAAAAAGGCCGTAATATTTTTTTACTAATACCTAAATTTCGTACATTTTCCCGTTTTTCCTGGTTTTTCCATTTATTAGGAAAACTATTAGAAAAATGAAAAAATGACCTTCCTAAAGTATCTCCCGAGTCGAATTACTCTGGTATTAATATAAATTTAATACAATATAGGTAAGTACCTATAAGTATTAATATTTAGTATGACTAAAGACAGTACAAACAAAATTTGTTTAACTTTCATTAGATTTGGACTTTCAAATTCCATCAAGTGCCTATAAATAATCTAATGTTTTTAAGAGAGTACGGGAGGAAATAGCACCCACGGGTATTTGTATGTATACTAACAATTTCGTTAGGGATTGATAGCCCTTCTTTCCCACAAAAAATCATCACTCTACGCTTATGTCTATTAACAGTGCAGTTTGTAATGAATTAAAATAAGTATAAAAACAAATTGAATTTTCGGTATACATATGCATTATATAATTTAGCAAATATAATATGCATTCAACATTTAATTTTATTTTAAACTTAAATATTTACCTATTAGAACGAACAAATAAAATGTTTATATTACATCTACAACACGGAATATATAGATAAAATCATGCATATATGATATAGGAAATCCTCTTAAGTTACATTTAAATTTAAATTTGGACATATATCATGTGTATAAAAGCTCACTTAATTACTATGTTTTTTAAATAGTAATACGTATATAATTATTTATTTAATATCTAATTGACAAATAAATCAAAAATAATGTGGATATAATTCACACGCGCGCACACACACACATACATACATACATATATACATACATACACATATTATATTATATATACCAAGGTATAAGTAACTGAGGTCCAAGGGTTTGGACAGCCAAACCTTCAAAATCTTAAAATAAATGTATAAAAACGATAGAAATATTCTAGTAAAATTTAACATGTAAATCAAAATGGATACGCGGGTATACTACATATGATGTTAAACCATTATAAAAGGTAAAATACTAGCATATTACTCATGAGTAGATAACCTTTACAGGTAGAAAGTTAGAATGGTAAAATTATATATAGGTAATAGTTTATAGTATATTACTGTATGCGCCACTTTCATAGTTGGCGAACCTACCAATACGCCCTTATGGAATTCCCAGGTTTATCCGTAAAAAAGTATAGTTGGGTCATAGTTATTATGTTTATAGTACATGCTTACAACAGTGTATGCAATAAATACGAATTTACGAGTAAGAAAATTGAAAATTCTACTCGGGAACATAGATTTCTGAGAGTAGGTCCACTGTTGCCGGTGTTGCTGCTGCCAACAGTGGCTGCCATCGATCTTGCATTGTCGGACGACCAAAACGGATAGTAAAAGTCTTCTGGCAATCGGAACTCGTAGGTGGGTGGTTCTGCAAATGTCCTGACGGGAGGTCGTGTGAGGTCCACGAAAACTACGCTGGCTCTTATCGGTACATTCGTCGTTACTTGTTTAAGATTCACGGCGATCTTCGAAGTAGTGTAATTTACCAACATACCGATCACAGTAGCTTGTGGACTGTCAAATGTACCCACATATGAGTAAAACACTCGTACGTGCATACCGTTTATAATGGATGGGCATGACAAGTCATCGGATAATGGTGTAGTTGGCGAAGAAAGCGATGACGGTTTTACGACCACGACCGGAATCCATCTGGCTACTTCTGGATCGCCTAAACTGGCCACTAAAGTTCCTTCATATTCGCCTAGCGTCGAGATTGTCTGTATTGGCACATAATAATAGTTAATAAAATAAACTAACATTTAGTAAAATAATTGCTACTCAATTTAGCATACACATTATGTACATTGTACATAATGTGTATGCTGTTCTTCTGCCACTTCTGTCGGATTATTGGCTGTTTAATTAAAACTGTTTATTTATAAATATCTGTAGATTTCAGTTTAATACATCTATTCATATTTTATTCGGTCTTCCCAGTGGCCTTTTATTTATTAATTTTCATTCGAATACATTACGCTATACTCAACCTCTATACTGGCTGTCCCACGAAGATACACTCCTTAAATAATCTCCGGAGATAATAAAGTTAATTAAATTCTGGACTACAAATATTTATATTTGTAGTCATCTTCTCTATGAGTAATATATATATATATATATATATATAAAGAATTTGATTATCTTAATCATCTCCTGAGATATTCAAGGGGTGTATCTTCGTGGGACAGCCTGTATAGAGGTTGAGTAACGTAATGTATTCGAATGAAAATTAATAAATAAAAGGCCACTGGGAAGACCGAATAAAATATGAATAGATGTATTAAACTGAAATCTACAGATATTTATAAATAAACAGTTTTAATTAAACAGCCAATAATCCGACAGAAGTGGCAGAAGAACAGAGAAGAATGGAAGAATCTGTGAGTGCTGGTGGCTGGTGGGCCTTAATGTCATCTGAAGCTAAAAATAGATAGAAAATAACGGGAATAAGGAAGCACTTCATGTCTTATTCAGTACCCAACATCCAGATCTGTACACAGATTATTATTAAAAACATTTTCGTTAGAAAAACGTGTTGTGGATGTGTGTTTCTTACTTCATTTTGTATGTTTTGGCAGATTTCCGTCTGGCGGGAGTAGGCGCCAGTACTGGTGGCCCTGGACTCCTCGGTTCCGTTTGACCAACGTCGCACCCCAACCGAAACGCGACACTGAATACTGACATTTTCGAGAAATTTCACTGGTTGCCGCCACGGTTTGGAGGAGTTAACGTTGCACATCCCATGTACACCCGATCTGGGAAAATCAAACGCTTTCGGACGATGGCGACTACGATTCGTAGGATCCATGTCACCGATGGTAGCGGTTACTAGTATCGGGTTTCCGACGGCGTAACCGGGCTTACCGCTCCGTTCGTACTGGTCCGTCATCAATCGATTGACCCAGACGAATCGCACGCTGAACTTCTGATCCAAATAAACGGGTCGTCCGGAGTCCGGTACGTCCCGGTGGTAAAAGTTTATGTCCACCCCACGAACACCACTGGTCCCGTTGTGTGTGATACTGTACTCGACCGTTTCAATGACTCGCCGGCAAACACCAGCCGAGTAAACGGGATGGCGATAAGGGTCGGAACCATTATTACTACCAGTTTTGAGTACACGACAGTCGTACGGAGTACCGTTTACCGAAACACAGCGGTGGTGCACTGTAGCCTGGATGGTTGTCAAACCAATTTTCTGTAATAATTTAGGAATTAACGAATAATCCTTCAAAAAAATACATTTATTATTTTTTTTTTTTGACTATAGCTGGTGTACTAAAATGCCTATTCTACTGGGATAGAAAGGAAAATGTATCTTAATGTGACGATCTTGTTAACATATCATCCTCCATAATATTGTGTTTTGTTCTCAAAGATTTTCATCCTCATTATACGCTTATTGTCGTTTCAAAAACTTTACATTCAAATGAGAGAGTCCATTTAATTATTATTGTATATAATCTTGATTTTGTTTTTTTGGAGAAAATTTTGAATGGAATTTTAATAAAAAAAACTGCAAGATAAATGGATTTAACGTCAGTTACTATTTATTTGAAAAAAAGGCAAACAAATTCATTGGCTGGGACAAATAGTGAAAAGGAAAGGATGTTAAGTCATTAATACCATCTAAAGGGGGTTTGGGGATTCCGCATGCATTGTTAATTATTTTCAAGATAAATTCTAATTATTAAGATTATAATCTTCCCTCTTTCCTTAGAAATGTATCCAGAAACGGCCTCGAAGGTTATCAAAGTAATCTTGAAATAGAAACTGAAAGATAAGAGACCTCGAGGCAAATTACGTGAGAACTGAGAAGACGTAGAAGCTTAATGCTCTATATAATTTGAGTACCAAAATGTGAGGAATAATTTAAGTTATGGAGAGGTGTATTAGTGATGATGGTGACAAAAAGTCTGAGAGAATTATAGATGCCAGCGAAGAAGATGAAGAAGATTAAAAAATAATATTATCATTACCTCAGTTTTATGGATGTTACTGTAGATTGGTTGCACTACTTTGAAAAGTCCATTTTTACCATAATATCTCTTGAAACTCAATGAAGAATTACCGTTGCAAGCGTCCATCAAATTTGATACGAACATCTGACAGCGCGTCTCTTTCGACATTAAATATTCAACAGGTTGTTCGACAGCACAAAGCGAATTGAATGCGCTATTTTTCAAACCTACAAGGGTTAAATAAAAATTTAAAAAAATAATTTTCCTATCTAATAACAATTTATTATTGACAATATAAAGTAACGCGTATAAACACTAACTGAACGTTTTGATTTCCGAAGTGTTGACGTCGGAACCGACGGTATACATCCAACGCAGAGACTTGAAAGTAAGGTCGTAGTTGTTGTATACGAGTTCACCTAGTGGAGAAGCGGGATCAGAAGGAGGTCTGTTCTTTTTTTCGTTATCGTGCCAAGTAAACACGTCTGTGTTCCGCAACAAAATCGCGACTTGCGATTCGGATTGGATAACCTGTGCAAAATCGATTTACCGGAATAAAAAGAAATGAGTAGGTATTATAGGTAGGTATTATACATACGGCTCTTTCTGGATAAAAATAATCGGACGGCACGTTGTCGACTACCACATAAAATAACGACGAATCGAATAAAATAGATTCTGGTCTTATCAGATTAAATTGCACCTGATCAGCACACAAAGTGAACGTCTTCAAATCATGACTCAAACAATCGGTATCGCAACAACAATTGATATCACAGCCGCCGTACTGCGAACAAAATGTAAGTATCATCCCGATAGATAAAAAATGTAACAAAAAAACTGAATCATTATTATTATATTAAACTCACGATTATATCGCAATAACAGTATTTATTGGGAACAAAACGTAACTTTCCACCTTCGCCATTGTTCGTTAATGTCTCGCCAATCGTTTCTGTAGTAGCGCTGGTAGCAACGGTAGTGGTGCTGATGACTGTAGTTTTATTGGTGCTACCTGCAGTAGTTTTGGTAGGGCCACTGGTATTGTTCGTGGTGCTGATTACTGTGATGTTATTGGTGGTACCTGTAGTAGTTTTGGTAGGGCCACTGGTATTGTTCGTGGTAGTAGCGACCGTAGTTCTAGCGGTGACGGTAGTAGTTTTGGGAGTGCTCACTGAAGTTTTAGTGGTAATACCAATAGTAGTTTTAAGGGTGCTTGCGGAAGTTTTGACGGTAACTATGGAAGTACTGGTTGCCATACCGGTCGTGGTCGGATCGTCCGTCACGTTTAGAGGTGTTGTATCAATAACCACTATTTCCTTAAGAGCCAACCCGTTATCATTGCCGGACACGTCATAACGGACAACACCGGCGGTTTTATCGCACGTTTTGCCGTCCTCGCATTTTTTGACAGTATCCACGGCACGCCCGAACTCGACGACGAGTACGGCGACTACGGCCGCTAACGCGACGGCCATCAAGTCTCGGCAGTGCATCCGCATCTCTTCACAGCTCCACTCCGTACCGACGAAAGTTCCGGGCAATCACGTTTAAACGGAAACGGACCGTGCCCAGCGCTTCCGTGTGCAACCGATACCGATCTGTACCGCAATACACGAAATCCGGAGTTTTCAGCTGGGCACCACCCCCGAGGAAGAACCGGCGGAATTCGTCCCTGAGATTGCCTGCGAAAATATATGATATGTTAAGTACCTACCGGCTACCGTCCAAAGCCGTTTGATCGTCCTCACTCCTCACTCATCGCCACGCCGTAACGAATCATCACTTAAAGCCCAAAATCATATTCTATAATTTATACTCTGTTTTACTTTCATAATAACAATAATAATATTCATCGAAAATTTGCAAACCTGTTACTTGTCGATTCAATTTGGAACACTTGATCTTAAATAAACAGATAAGGTCACTGTCTACTTTTTATCCAGGAATTTGTCCCATATGTGAGCCAAGGACGGCTCACGTATGTATTTTGTCTTTATAATGCGAAAATTGCATTATATTTATGGTTATTGATGTTGATTTAGTTAATTGAGTTGTAAATAGGAAAATAAAAATAATTTTCAATGTTCCGATGGATGATGATAGAATACAGTCGTGAGTGATTGAAAATGGTTACGGATTGTAACGGAAATATAGGTTTAACTAGGCCAAGTTGGACAAGTTGCTCAACATAATTAACTGAGTAAGTTGCAGCTACTTTCCTTAATTAAGTAACTTCGTTAAGGTATAAGTTCCTAAATAAACAAAGTAACTATTTAAGTTACTAGTTAGTAATCAAAATTTTACAAGCTAAAGTTACTTTTTAAATTTCTTTTTATTGAAAATATTTATTGAATTATAATAGTAATGTTTTTCATCAGATGGTCGGTTTTTGGAGGAATAAAATAACTTTCATGAATTGATGTTAGAAACAATTTTTCCATAATAACAGCAGTTACAGCCAGTTGCCAAAATGATATCACATTGTATTATGTAGAAATCAAGGTTTATTGATATACCTTGATAAATATATTATTTTTTTTTATGTATTATGATAGGTAAATAATATCAATATCCTTCGGGAACAAAATTCTGATTTGCAAGATATCGGTGACAAAATGATAATAACTAACTTGTAACTTTTTTGATTCAAATAAAAAGTAACTCGTTGAGTTATTCTCATAGGTATACACATGAAAAGTAACTAGTTAAATTAAAAATTACAAGAAAACTAAAATTAACTTAGAAATTATAAAGTTACTGATTTTTTTTAAACTTTGTCACCTTTTTGTAACTTTATAACTCGTTACCACCTAGTAACTAGGTATGTACTACTTTGCTAAGGATTTGATCAGAAGAGTATTTCCTGACATTTTTGAATCTGAAGAATATTAATTATAAAACAAGGAAATTATGGCCTCAAAAATATAGATGTGTATTACATCTATCATTTTTTGTGTAATATGTACAGTATATCCTAAGTAGATTTGTTTTTGGATAACCAAACCCGGATAATGGCAGCTAATGATAGCTACTAGTAATAGTAATCAAATTAAAATGTATTACTCACCGATCGGCCGCCAAGTATGACAATCTACGGTATGTGTTCCCGGCGTGGTCGGCACGTAGCAAAATCCATAACCGTAAATCTCGCTGCGTCCATAACTATCGTAGTGGTACACTTGAACGTGAAACTTGGGCCAACCTGATGCACGCGGAAAAACAATACAAAGTTAATCAAGTTAACGACAAGCCAACAAGGTGACGATGAGACTATTTTGACATTTCATTGACTATCTTTTTGACGTTTTCTGATTATTTTCCAACGTCCTATGTTTTCTTTTAAAATATGTTTATGTATAAAAAAAAAAACTGTTGTAGATGAGAAGTTGGGAAGGTAGAGAGAAAATTGTATAACTGTATAAATAACATTAATAAATATTAACCATTGCTAAAGAAAAATGATTCTGAGCAAAGTTCGATTGTACATGTTTTGAAAAGTCGTAATATTTACGATTTTCTTCTTTCCTATGTTTTTTCCCGATTTTTCCCATTATTACGAAACCCTGGGAAAACCAAAAATGATCTTAAAGTACCACTCCAGTTAAATTTTCTGGTAGAAAAAAAATATAAAATAAACATCACTGTAAAATTAATACATTCCTCACTCTGCTCAAAATCTAAAACCCAGGAAATGGTTTGACCTTCCCAACAATGACTAACGATATAAGGATGACTGACAAATTTGTTCGAATGCCCACGTCAAAAATATTGAGACGTTAAATTGATAAAACGTTAGCAAATTATTAAAAATAATGTGTATGAAATACGTATAACTATTTTATAGAAATGTGTAAATAGGTGTAGACTGTAGTTTGTAAGTATACTGTATAAACTATGTATTTTATAATTACCTTGAATTCCTTTGGACGCAAAATGGATGTCGATAGGATGACACCACCAAGTACGGTTGTCGTAAGATGGTGAATCTACTTGAGTCTGTCCTTCTTTGTGACCAGATATTATTTTCCAGTTAGTGCCTAAATAACGCAAACATACGATACACATCATATTAAAGATATTTTGAAAGTAAAACATGATATAACTAAAGAAAAGAGCTGATATTGCTGATGAGTGTGCCACTTTTGTTTAGGATACATGATGAGATTATTTATTTATATCTGTACGCAACAATGAATCATTGCTAATGAAATAGTTCGGTTGTGAATGTCTTGAAATACCTAATAACTAAAAACTCAAAAATGTCAAATACCTAAATAATTAAAAAATGGACAAAAGTTTCGAAACTTTGATTACATCTAAAAAATGAAAATATAAGTTCAGATAATTAGGTCTTTATGATATTTTTTAACCGAATTCCAAAAAAATTTTAAAATAAAGAATTATTTTATGAATATTCAAACATGATATTTGCATGATATAGCTATATTATATTATACATAGTATAATTTCTTTAATACCTATTATTTAATATATTTGTTGGCCAGTTAGTATCTCGCGATCTCTGTCGCAATATTTTATGATCTTTTATACGTAATAATAGTTCAAATTTTATCTAATTTGAACACTGATAAAGCCAAATAAAATATTTACTATTAGGTAAGTGAATAGTATTTCCTTTTTTTACATAACCTATATTAGTCTTTTATTTATGACTTTTTTCTATAATTTTTGCTATTGTACTTAGAAGTGTAATAGGTTGTATTTTTCAAGTACATTTTACATTTCATTAAGTGTTATGTTTGAGTTTAGGTCGATTTGTTTACTTATATTTAAGTTTATTTTTGCGTTTAATGGTATATTTTCGGTTGAACTTTTTATTTCGTTTATAAATTCTTGTTTATACATTTTATTGTTGAAATTTGCTTAAAAGTATGTATCAATTTTTTCGGAAATTTCATCAGGAATTGAAATTGTTCCCTGAGCATCTGTTATGTGTATTTCTTGATTTCTGTTAAGATCATTTAATGAATGGATTTTATTTCCATATCTTGGGTGATGTAGTTTTAGAGTTAATGCTTGATGTAAGCTCTTTCCATGAGTTTCTTTTACTTTTTTTTTTATTAGGAATTTGACTTGATTGGGAGGTTTTGTTTAGGGCATTATTTTTATTGCGTATAGGTCTATTGTCTCGTTGTTCCATCAGGGAAACTTGGGTTTATTATTGTAGTTTATAAAACTACTGCAGGTTAATATTTCTGATACTGAGGTTATTATGTTTGTTAATGTTTTAACTATGTTTTCGATACTTGATGGTCGTTACGTTGAATTTTGGTGATTTCATCTTCTACAATATCACTGAAAGTTTATAGATTATGTTAGGTTCCCTTCCAATGGGAACTACCTTGACGTAGAGGGGAGGCTTACGACCTAACGGTCGTGCTTAACGATCCCACAAAAAATTATGGTCTAGTTATTGAACCAATTATACTATCTATTTACATGCAACATCGGTCCTTTACCTTGTAATATTTTGCGGTGAATCCGAAAACCACACACTAGTGATAAAATACAGGACAAAATCGCACACTTTTGGCAGGTTAAACCGCACACTTTTTTGAATTGTCATACCTAAAAATCGCACTTTTTATAATAATGCATAGTCTATTATTTATAAATAGTTAATCTAAAATATATAAAATAAAATATCAAATATTATAATTGTATCTTAATTAGTGTTGTTAAAGATTAATATAAAATCGTATAAAAATATTATCAAAATTTTAAGCTAGCGGCAATAGCCGATGTATTTTAGAAATTTTAAACGATCTTCGTCCTACGAAAACTCTTCCAACATTTAAACAAGTGTTCCTAAAATTAAACACAATAGAAAAAAAAAAAATGATATATTACTAATATTAAAATGTGCCCATTAACTAACTCGTTTTTGTTTCAGTCGAAAACTGTGCTGGAAAAATACTTATTGTTGGTTTGACCATTTATCATCAATAAATTGTTAAATTTATTTGAAATACTAATCTAATTTAATCATAGTTCGCCTGGTACCAACCAACAGTAAGATAAGCTTTTGTACGCATAACAAATAAATACAATAATGCGTCCATACACGAGACATTAGCGTACAGTTTTACGCTACTATAAGTGTGCGGTATTTGGCTACACAATGTACCTACCTATCAACAAATGAAGCTTGCGGTTTTGTCTACCGACCTTTTTTTGGATAGAAACCATATGTGTGCGGTTTTCGGATGCAACCGTATTTTGAACTTTCAGTTCGGTTACCTAAAAATAACTGAAAATTTACTCGTATAATTAATAATATATAATACCTACCGGCGTGAATGCTCCACTTGCAAAATAGACTCTTGGCAGGAAACCGTTCGGCACTACACAGTTGTCCGACGATGAAAAGTTCGGCCATAACAACAACAGCATGAATAATAATAATAATAACAATACAATCCAAGTGATGTAGGTATCGCCGATGTCATAATAATAATAATAGGTATCGTTATAAATTGTTTGCACCTGCGAAACCGAGCAGTTACGACTAGCGGCAGTTTTGTTAGGTCGGTTGCACACCAGTCGGTAGGTACCTCCGGTTTGTTGTCGAGGCCTGGTCGCCGAGCAACCGGCACCGCAACACCGTACCCAAAATCACACTGCGAAAACTGCCGTGGTCGGTGGTACACGGATTCCGCTCGAGAGGTCGTATCGACGAATGTACGGCTCAAAGGAGAAATCGAGGAGCTTATGCCCCTCCTTGAACGTGCTATTATCTATAATAGGTTTAAAAGTCTGTGTAGTTTTCAATTCGAAAGCAACGTCAGATGCAATATCGCAACTGGGTATGTGTTGGTGACTCGGGAAGAAGGGGCGGGGGGGTTGCAAGCCAATTGTATTAAAAACCATTCAGCCCATATGTAAACATATTGAACACCGGCATCATTGACGCCTTGAGAAAGGGGAGCGGCGTTTTCCCTATCGCCTTTTCCTGAGAGCTTTATTTTTTTTTAAATAAATGAATAATAAAAATAAATACGTAATAATATTAATAATAATTTAATTTTTAACAACTTTTCAACTAGAAATATTGTTCCAATTATTAACATTATGCGGGTGTGTTTTTTGGTACGTAATTTTGTCTGGTTGGTGCATTATAAGAGTTTATTCTTCGTTTTCTTAAAATAATCGAAAACTGAAAATTTAAAAAACAAAATATTTACAGTACAATGATTTCATAAAATAGTTTAAAAAATCGTTTTGTTTTTATTCAGTCAAAAGTATTCCTAGTTGCTTGAACTTTCCTTCAAAGATTTATTTTAATATTCTTTAGACGTGGTACAATTTCAATAAATCCAATATATCTTGGTACTGTTTCAGTTATTTATAGCTATTTAAATTATCAGAGTAACTATAATTTTGAGTTTTGGACATACAATTTTGAACTTCTCAAAAAATGATAGACTATTTTGATACAAGGTTCGTTAAAAGTTTTACTATGTAATAAAAAAATTACTGGGGACTGGTATGCTACTGTTGAAGGTGTAAAGTTGGAAAGGTAGGATGATACATTAAGTTATTTAATTTATTCTGTTAGCAATGATAAACCAAAGTTACCGAAAAACGATTCGGAGCGAAGTTACAGGTTATACATGTTTTGAAAGGCCGTAATATATACGATTTGAAAATAATAAATTTCGTAAATTTTTACCGTTTTCCCTACGTTTTATTTTTCGGTTTTCCCATTTATCATGAAAACCCCCGATATAATAAAAATAACCTCCTTGAAGTACTACCCTAGTAAGATTTCCTTTCAGTGCTACACTTGAAAATCGGAGCAAAATTTCTGGTAGAAAAGTTATTCACAGAGAAAAAAAAATAAAAATAATCATTGTAAAACCAGTATATTTAACGCTCCATTCAAAATCTAAATAATAATAATTATTGGGAAAAACTAGAAAATACGTAGTAATAGTGGGAAAATTTACGAAAATAGCAGTTTCATTATTTTAAATTTAGTTCTTTTGATGGAATTCTGTTAAAAATATTTATAAAGATCTAAAATTGTTAGCTATTTTTAGGCATTTTATAATTTCTGGTTTTTATTTGGTAGGTACTATGTAGATAAAACTGTTTAGCCAAACAGAAAGTTTGACATTTTAAAATAATGTTCATTATAAGTTATACGTAGTGGTCATAAATAAAAAATTTAAGCGTAATGTAGTAGTTTTTTTTTATAAATGTTTTAAGATCAAATTTGTATGAAATCTAAAAAATCGCGACATTTCAAAACATGTTTTTCTTTTATAATTCTGTGCGAAATATTCACATTTATTTTAAAAGCATATTACATAATATTTTTTCGTAAAAATACGTCCTAAAATAATGGAGATGGGTGCAGCCACTGTTATAAGTAATTTAATGTACATATGTAATCATCGATAAACCATTGGTAACGAAAAAACGATTCTGAGTGGAGTTCAGTTGATAGTGATGCTTTGTCAATAATATACATATCATACTATGGTAACATAATTAAATATAAGCATTATGTATTTTCTTTAATAATATTTGTTTAATGTTGTATTGATTTTCCCGTTTTTCCCAGTTATCCCTTTTTTTTTTTGCGGTTATGACACTTGCTGGGAAAACTCTTGGGTAAAAACCCCAAAAATGATCTCCTAAAGTACCTCTTCAGTCAGATTTTCTTTTAGAAAAAATGCAATCATTGTAAATCGGATCAAAAATGGTGGTAGAAAAGTTGTTGATAGAGAAAATAAATCATAATATTTTTTTACTAATTCCTACATTTCGTACACATTCCGTTTTCCCGACATTTTTCCCAGGTTTTTCCCAAATATTATGAAAGCCGCAAAAAATGTCCTTCCTAAATTACCATGGAGATAAATTTTTCTTTCAGTAAATAAGCTACACTTGATACATTGGAGCAAGATTTCTGGTAGTAAAGTTTGCACAACAAATCAAGGAAGGGTATTTTGCGATAAAAATAGTCCAAGGGAGCGATGGCTTGGGTTTCTAGGTATATCCAAAATTTATTTTTTTTTCATTGTTTAGGGTTTAAAAGGGTTTGAACTCACTGGTTTGAACTCGGAACTCCTAGAATGGGTAGGATATAGGATAGGCATAATAGGATAGGCATACATAACCATTAGATCATGACAAATATGCTTTAAGAAGGACAATATAAATTTATTTAACATAACATATAATATCCATTTACTATCAGAAGTTCAAAAAGATATAATTTCGAAACTTATTCAGTTCATTAAATTCTGAATTCACCGTCTTTCTTAAGTCGGCAGTATACATATGTTCAAAAAAAAAAGTTGAAAAATTACATTTGTTTCACATAATATTTTCGTCAAAATTTGATATTAAAATTCCTTTACAAAAAAAAAAAAAAAAAAATACTACATTAAATTCTCTTTTTTTTTTTAACTATAAAATAAGACTCTTAATGAATCTCCTGTTAAATTTTTAAGCATTTCTCTTCGTCTCACAATTTTACCACCGTAGAGTACCTACTAAATAAATATTACGTACAAAACTCTTATAAAATTAAAATGTCTATAAATACCCCAAACATGGCTTAAATATTTTGTAAATTTTACCACGTCCATAAAAGACAAGTATGATTTTTTAGTCCAAATTGCAAGTTTCTACGAATATTTTTAACTGAAATACAACAAATAACAAAATTGAAAAATTATAAAAGCATTATTTTTGTAAATTTCCCGCTTTTCTTACGTTTTATCCTGGTTTTTCCCAAATATCATAAAAACCGCTTTGAAAATCAAAAAATGACCTCCCAAAAGTACTATCTGGACAATATTCCCTTTCAGAAATGGTGCCGCGCGTATATAGCTGAGCAATATTTCTGGTAGAATTTGTTTACACAGGATAAAAAATAAAAATAAAAATAAACCTCTTGTAAAACTAATACAATCTTCGCTACAATCAGAATCTAAAATACTGTTGCTAAATACAAAATTTGTTATGTATATTATTGTATATTTGTATTATTCAATAGTGATTTTGAATTACTATTATATGCATAGTAATTATTATATGAACTGTAATTACCAATATTTGCGTGCATATAGTATTTTTTCAAAAAAGTTCCACACATTACTATTTGGCCTATTTATTTATCTATTTATTATCTCTGATTATATAATCTATATATATTTTTATAACGAATTTAATGTTCAATTTTTGACACGTGAATAAGTGAAATGGTTTAAAGACTCTGTGGAAACAATTTCAGAATTGGTTAATATTTTATATCTGGGCTGTACAATTATGAACCGATTAAAAACTAATAATTAGAAGACTATTAGTGGTTGTCAAAATTGTACTGCAAAATCTTTTTGGGCGTATGTAACAAATTATTGGTATATTAATATTAGATACTTGATTAATTTAAATATGCATAAACCCAAGTATTTCAACCATAATGTTAAAACATACTGATACGGCATTCAACGCGAAATCTGTAATGTAAATGCCAATAAAACTGATACTATTACTAAATTGTCAAAAAACATATATACCTACGACATGTTCGTGTATAATATTGGAAAACCACTTCTATATATTTAGTTAAACACTAAATTTCGTCTAATTTGACTGGACTAAGAAGGGGAATTCATTTATTCAGATAGTATAAATTTTCTTTTTATATTCATGAACACAAAAAATTTAAAATTAATAATTTACGAGAATATTCTTTTCGAACGGCTGCACTGGAAGCCATGTTGATTACTTATCTTAACGTTAACATCACATTCATAAAAAACTATGAGGTGTATTCATACACTTTGGAAAAAAACAAATAAATTGTTGATAAACAAATGTTTTCTATGATAACAGATAATAAAAAATAATACAAATCATATCATATTCATATCAACACTTAATCAAGTGATAGGTATTCGTGTTACTGGAATTTGTATTTGTTTTACGTATAATTGTAGACGTTAGTTTAATTTAAATTATTTAAATTATTTTAAAATAGTCAAAATCATAATGTCGTCGACTGGCGTAAGTATATTAATTAAGTAGTATCCATTTTCTTTTTTATAATTTAAGTGTTATTAATAAAATAGTGTAATAAACTAACTTTGAACATTCCATTTTTAGAGACCGGACGATCATCGACGAAAATGGAACAAAGACGAGTACGAAAAATTGGCCAGAAAAAGGCTAATGGACGATTTAGAAGACGACCGTTCAAAAGACTTATCACCAGTTAAAAGGGAAATGCTCAAACAACGAGACTACCGAGTAGATTTGGATTCCAAACTTGGAAAGAGTGTTGTTATTACCAAAGCTACTCCTTCTTCGCAAAGTGGAGGGTAATAATATAAACTTGGTCATAGTTATTTAGTTTCATATTTAAAAATGTATACATTTTCAATATGTTTGTTTTTCAGTTATTACTGTAATGTTTGTGACTGTGTTGTTAAGGATTCAATTAACTTTTTGGATCATATAAATGGAAAAAAACGTGAGTATTTAGTAAAACAAACAATGCAAATAAACACAGCTAATCATTAATAGAAGAAAATTTTGATTCAATATCAAATGTTTCATAATACATATAGAGGGGGCTAAAAGTATTTTAGGTAATATATTTTTTTTTTCAATAGTCTTTGAAAATTCTTAGATTATTTGGAAAAAATATACTGTAATATAATATTTCATAACATTTTTTGAAATGTAATTTTATATAAAATAAATTTCTTAAAAAAAATTTGAATTATTTTCAATTAAGTTCAATAAAAAGTATAAATCAAGGTTTTCATTTGAGTTTTTGTCTAAATATTCAAACAAGTATATATTAAATTACAAGTTTAATTGTATAATTTAAAATTTAAAACATCAACATTTAACCGTCAAACAAAATTATACCTATTATAATGATAAAGATAAATAAGGTTGCTAATTGTTTTTTGTTTGAATTCAATTTTCCCTGTACTTTTAGATCAAAGAAATTTAGGTATGTCTATGAAAATAGAAAGATCATCATTAGACCAAGTAAAAAAACGATTTGAAACAAATAAAAAAAAAATGGAAGAAAAGAAAAAAGATTATGATTTGGAACAACGTTTAAGAGAGTTAAAAGAAGAAGTAATTAAATAATATAATATATTATCCATTTTTTTAATTATTATTATTCAAATTATACATTGCTCTTTTTCAGGAAGAAAAATTAAAAGAATACAGAAAAGAAAAGAAAAAGGATAAAAAAAGAAAACATGATGATTTAGAAGATGAACCCCAAAATGATGAGATGGCAGCATTGATGGGTTTTTCAGGGTTTGGATCATCAAAAAAATAATAATTATTATTTTTAAGTGATAGCATAAAATTAAATAAAAGATAAGTCAATAATAATAAATAACTAAAACACATTTGACATTTTAATGGAATCGTAATATCTTCCTAGAATTTAGAAATGCTTGAATATTTACACCAAACAGCAAATTCTAGCATAATCGTAAATGAAAAATTTATTTTGATTAATTATTAATCGGGAAGTTTTAAAATTACTATACAATTTATGTATAAAATTATACATAATATTTCAAAACAATAAAGGGTGTTGTTATAATATTCTGTTTCAGCTTGGTAAAAACAAATTAGGTAACGACGAGATTTTAAAAATATGTAACAATATGTTAAATGTGGCCTTTAACAATTAGCGATAGTTTTTTGATCACTTATTATTAACATGTTATTCTGCATTTTTTATTAGTCACTAATATAAAATTCAGAATATGAAAATATACTTTATTCCAATATCATTTTGCTGCATTTTTTACTAAGAAGGCAGTATACAGTACATTGCCTTGTAATGTATACTGTAATAATGATTTGTTTTCAACTTTCTTCTAAAGTCTCTATTATGTTAAACTTGTACATTAGCATAACTGACAGCTAAAAATTAGCTGGATATTGTAACAACAGCCCTAAAACAGCTCTTATACATGGTGGGAGTACCTATTAGTTATGAAACAGGTGATTTTAAAATTAAAATATACGTCACATGTGATATTTTTTAAATTTATATTTTATGTTGACAAAAGACCAGCAAAAATAATTATGTAGCATCATAAATCCTTAATGTGTAGAATTTTACTGTGACTTCACATTTATCGCCAGTGACATGTGCAGGGGGGGGGAAGAAATAAGATGTTATACCCTCCTCATCAAGTTAAAAATACAATTATGATTTATTTATTTAAATGTTCTATCTTAAAATCATATATTTCAGCCGATTTACACGGAAAATAGTTTTTATTTATTAAATACTTACAAATTTGCTTTTTTGGATCCGGTTTTAAAGTCAGATTATTGGGTTAGAAGTAATTGAAGATTATTCTATGATTTATTCATTAATCATGATTATTATTTATTACATCCAGTCCTATTGAAAATTTCTATATGAACCACCGATTAGTGTCCCTTCAGTAATCCCACACTATTTTAAAATCGCCTAATTTAATGATCCCTCTTATACATTTATTACTATAAATTATTTTTAAACTGATAATAAAAATCACTCATTAATTGAATTGTTTTTGTCTCATAATTTTTAATCGTGGATACAAAACAAAACAAATATTTAATAATATTATGTTTATTGTATTTTGACATTTATCTTGGTGAATTAGTATATAATCTGTACCTTTTTTTTTTTTTTTTAATCTACATTTTTTTTTGTACCATGAGTAGCTTTGATAAGTGTAAATAAAAGTAGTTAACATGAATAATAAAATTAGGGAAAATACCCAATGATAACACCCTATGAACCTATGTACCTTTTAAAACTTTTTTTTACTGTTACAATTAAACTCTGTTTATAAAATTGCATTTAATTTTGCCGAATACTAACTATTATCTCTTAAGCCTGATTCACATTTGTACGGCACAGACAAAAATTTTGTCCATTTTACATATGAGTGACTGGTAACAAAAAACATGCACATAGTTAAATTATTTTAAACTAATATTAGTTTAATTTTAAATTTGGTTTCGATCAATATACATTATATTAGTTTATTTATTAAGTTTACTATATATATACATATTATAAAAATATGTATATTTCAATTAAATTGATTTTGATAGACATTGTGTTGTGCCTATCTGGATAAGTGTGTATTACCATAAACATAATACAACTATATTGATAATATCATTCCGTGCTGTACAAATGTGATTCAGGTTTTATTGTCGAAATCAACTTAAAAATTTAATGCTTATTGTTTTTTGGGACCATATATGTGAACAATGAATTGTGCATTTTTTTATTTTATTTCTATTTTGGTTTAAAACAAACAAAGAAAGATTGGTTTTTTAAATAAGTATAAAATAAAACTATACAACTTTATTGTTATAATAATAGTATCCTAATACCTACATGGAAATATTGCACATAATTTTGTACTCAATCATATTATGGTTATTTGTTTTAAATTACTATCTGGGGGGACTCAAAATGTAATATTTTGTTGTTTGAAGGAAGCTCTGGCAAAATTAACAAATGGCTTATGGCCAACTAGGTACGATTTTAATACAGTTATCATTAAACCAAGAAAAAAGATTATGATTTAGAACAATATTTATGAGATTTCAAAGAAGAAGTAACTAAATATAATAATATATGTTATAATTTATTAATAATATAATATCATACATTTATTTTTTTTAATATTATTTAAATTATAAGTTCCTTATTTTTAGGAAGAAAAATTAAAAGATGAACCTCAAAATAATAATATGGCAACGTAGAAGGGGTTTTCAGGTTTTGGGTCAACAAAAAATAATTTGGATAATAATAATTATATTTAAAGGATAATACAAAGGTACATAAAAGACAAGTCAATAATCAATAATAATAAAAAAACTAAAACACAATTAACATTTTAAAAATTTCGTATCTTCCTAGAAGTGCATGAATATTTACACCAAACAGCAAATTCCAGCATAACTGTAATTAAAAAAAAAATAATTGTAATTAATAATTAATCTTGAAGTTTTTTTAAGTATTATACAATTATTTATATCATTAAAAATTTAAATTATAAAACACTAAAACAGCCATTATAATAAACAGAGTGAGGAATGAGGTTAGTGAAATAGATGATGAAAATTAAAATAAAGACATCATGCGAAATTATTTCTAAAATATTAGTACCAACAAAAGTACATTATAAAAATGATTACTTAATAAAATGAATTAATCAATTATATGTGTAGAATTTAACATTACCTTCATAGTCAGTACCAGTGTGGTGGATAGAATGGGGGGGTTAAAGGTTTATAACCCACTTATTGGTATAAAATACAAACATTAGTGTTTATTTAGTTTTTTTATTTTGAAATTATATATTTCAGCTTATAACCTATATTACACTATATTGTTTATGTAAAGTACTAAATATCATTTAGTTAATTTTGAACTCAAGTTTTATGTAATATTAATACTATGTTAAAACACCTTTAATTACAAATTGTATTATTATGTTGACCTACATTCAGACCCAATATTTGTGCAATAACTACTTTAATAATCCTTTACTTACATATTTTCTATTGGACAAAACAGAGGGATGTACAAATCTAATGAATGCAGGATTGAAACCACAACACAGTCTTTTAAATGTTTACAGTTACCCTGCATCTGATCCGGTGTAGTACAATTTTGATATGTTCCACCATTCTAAAGTGTATATAAGCAAATATTAACAAAATTGAAAATTGACTACACGTATACTAAATAGTTTGTTATCATTGTAATAGGTATTTCATTACTTACAGTATTCAATAATACTTGATAAACTGTATTAGTTGTGTTCAATGTAATAGACGGTTGAGAATTATTAGTTATATTTAACCATGATATTTCAGTAATATTGTATAATATTGTAGAATTTAAATTTTCTGATGAATTGTAAAAATCTGAAATAGTTGGCACAGTCGTCGATGAATCAACAAATTCAGATGCTGATATGGCAGAATCTATAGATTCTTTGGACACATAGATAGAGGGCGCAAAATTATATGGCTGGGGAACTTGGCTAGCTAGTTAAATAAGAATTATAATCACATTAAATACAATATTTTAAGATGTTATTAGTTATTATTTTTTTATCTATTCGGTAATTAATATTTACTTTTTAATGATATAGCCGACAAAACCATATTTCCTTGTTGCATTTGCATTCCAAAGTTATTTGACATTGATGGAGGTACTAAAACAATTTAATATGTTTGAAATTTGAATTGCATTACATATATTTTTACATATGTTTTTATGTTTAAATATTTTATATCATAGACTCACTTGACTGAAATGCTGAACTGCTGGCCATTAAAGAACCTGAAAAAGAAAAAAAAATATGATAATAAATTAATTTTAAGTCATAGTAAAAAAAAAAAATGATTGTATTATGTATATAGTAGAAATAAATAAAATATGAGAATGTAATTCAACAACAGGTACCAAAATTATATCTATTGTCAATCGGTTTGATTTTTTCTGGGTCGGCAGACATTGTTGTATCATTTGGTTTGACAACGACTAATGACGTAAGCGGGGTAACAAATGAATACTAAAAATAAAATTACAAACATAATACATTAACAACACATTTTGAATCAAATAAAACCATAGAACTCCTTACTCTTAATGCTAATTCAAGTGCTTTAGCTTTTGCAGTGGAATTTTCATTTTTATTCACTTCATAGTCATCCATAAGTTGTTGTATGTGCAAATAAGCCCATAACTTTTCTAAATGGCCTGTTTTAATAACAATTAAAACATCATACAAATAAAAAATAATTAAATAATGTTGAATATTTCATTGATATCCTATAGAGAAATAATTAGATAGGTAGGTATAAAATTAAATAATTACCTATTGGTCTTTTTTCTTCTTTAGAAACAGGAATTATAGGAGTAATATCGAAGCATGTTACAAAGGAAGAATTTTGGAAAATGCCCTCAGTTGAGTCTGCATATAGGGTACTATTAAAATCAGACTTTGGATTTATTAACTTTCCGGCCACAACTAATTCAGTACCTCTGAACAGTAGATTAAATGATTTTTTTGTGACTGTAATATTGTCAACCTATAAAATAATTATAATAATTTTAAGAACATATTTTTAATTTACAAAAAAGTAGTATAATAAAACACACATATTTTTACCTGAGTATCGAGGTATTTGAATGTAACGTTAGACAATACTGGAGACGATATTTCTTTGTAAAAATTACGGAGTTGTAATGACGCATCTGAAGCTTCATAAATTATTCGTGCAAAACCGGTATTGTTCAATGATAGTTTTTTAAGAAAATCAATGTCTGCCCCTTCCCCAAAACCCAAACTAAAGATTGGGTACCTATAATAATGATCATCAAATAATAATCTACAAATCCTTTTGGAGTAAATAATTAAGGCAATAACATTTTTTTTTTTTATTTCTATATGTGCGTTGAATATTTTTATTAAATTTAAAAATTTATAATATCTTACTTTTCTTCATTCATGTTTGAAACATATTTAATGAGTTCTTGTGGATCAGTGATTCCTGTAGTTGGTTCGCCGTCAGTTAAAAATACAATAATTGGTTTTGGCGTATTCAAACCTTTTGTAAAATGTTTTTCCCCTAATTTAGCTATGTTATGCGCTTTGGTTAAGGCATCTTCCATGTTCGTACCTTGGAATAATAATTTTTTCAGAATTTGAATAACTAATGTCAAGATTCTTATAATTTTTTTTTATAGAATTTTAAAATTATATATAAATAATTTTTATTACATTTCCAATCCAAAACGCTTTTTTTTAACTATTATTTATTTATTTATTTTTTTGATGAATTTTTTGGTATAGTCTCAATCTAAAGACATTCTTTTTAAATATGACCTTAGTCATATACATGATATTATCTAAAAGTAGTTTATACTTACTGCTTTCTGATGTCAAATCTTGTATAAATTTCTTGGCATATTGAATGTTCTGTTCAGTTGCCGGAAATACAAATCGATTCTCTTCTAGAACATTCAAACTAAGATTATTGGCTTTGGAACTGATGCCAATTTGATCCCAACGAGATGACGTCTCTTGTGTGGCATTTATTGTCCAAATCTATTGGTAAGTAATAAAGATAAGCTTTTTATTATTAATAATAATTATTGTACCACTATTGCAGTTCAAATTAGTATATTTACTTGAGCGAAATCTGAAAAAAGTATTAATGTAAAAAAATCTTCACTATGAATTTCAGACAAAATCTGCCCCATAGCTTCTTTCAATTGTGGTAATTTCTGTCCAACCATGGAACCACTAACGTCGAGTACAAAAATTACATGTGTTCTCAGAGGTTTTAAATCGGTTGGTGCAAAAAAGTTAACAAAATATCCATCATCAATCTATAAATAAATAAGTAAACAAAAATGATGTGTATTGTGATTTTAATTCAATTGAAAATCAATGACATTTTAATATTAGGGAAAATATTTATGATGGTGGTATAATAACCACCATCATAAATATTGTTAAATCATTACTAAAATTAATATTCACCCCCTCAACAGTTGGATGACTTTCATACACGGGGTTTTGTTTTACCCCAGACCATTAAAAAAAAATATGTATTATTTATGTTTGAATAAATAGGTATATAAGTAATTATTTGGTTAATACCTTTTTTCATATAATATACTATAAATGACATATAGGTAATATGAAAATACATATTATAAAAAGAAAAAATAATAATTAGATACTGGGTATTGGAAAAAAGGTAAATAAGAAGATAAAAAAATAATTTTTAAATAGATAGTTAATTTTAAATAAACTTCCCGATCAGATAGACTTGAAACTTTAAATATAGCTCAAAACTGAATGATAATGCAATAATTTGTAAAAATATATCTACACACAGAAATATAGATGTGCAGATGACTATAACTAAACATGAGTTAATATAACACTAATCATAATGTTAATTACATATCTATTTCTAATCTATATTTACAATTAGGAGTGACTTACAAGAATTTCATTAGGTTTTGATTTATGGTCTATGTCATATAAAACTATGAATTGGCCTTTGACACCAAATTCTGTAAAGGTTAATTGCTCTTTTACAGATGGACTCCATGTTATGGTCGCTTTATTACCGGATTCATAAGATATTTGTGCTAATTTATTTTCTGAAAAATATAATTTTTATTATATTTGATTTTACCTATTAAAAATCATAAAATTAAATAATATAAATATAATCGTACTACTAGATGCTGTTTCAATTTCATTTACAGTTTTTATGTCCGGTACTTCCAAAGTTGTTATGTTGGAAGACTCTTCGATGTCAACTATGACTTGTAAATTTTTAACAACCTACATAATATGACAATAATATTCATTTTTAAAAAATCATATGAATAAATATTAGTTGATGTTATTATTTTAATTATATTTACTTGTCCAGGTTGTATGTTAATTATATTTTCGTAAACACCTAATTTCCTTGGTAATAATTGTTCATATGTGAGATTAAATGTTACTTTACTTTCTGCTTCCACATTTACAGAAACTGTAAATTTATTTGAATCTCTTGTGCTAAAGAAAACAGTTACGATGTTTATCAATATTGAAGATCATAAATACCTAACAATATTTTAAGATAATTTTACAACACTTACTGTTGTTCAACATGAGCAGCCGTCTGACCAGAATTAACAGCTGCAATATATTCTTCTTTGGCCTCCTTCTTTTCTTTTACATACGCTTGATAAGTTTTTTCATTAATTTCCCTAAACCCAAAAAACAACATATTTGATTCATTTGTTAAAAAAATGTTAAAGAATTACATTAAAAACTTAGAAACGAATGCAGATTCAGGTAGAGTCACATAGAATTGTACTTCTTTGGAAGTGTTACCCTTGTTAGCAACACGACTTGATACAACTGTTTGAGCATATCTGTACTTGATTTTGGAATGTATGATAAAGCTATAGATGTCTCCATTTTTAGCCTGCACCTAAAATAAACAATGATAACTAATAATAATTATTAAATTCATACAAAATTACACAAATACATTATAATACAAAATACCTATTACCACAAAAATATATTGAATAATTATTTAAATTTACTTTTTGTAAATACTTAGTTTATATTTGATCCAGATATGTCATGAAATGTACAAATTTGTATAAGCGATTCTACTAAGAAATTTTCTACCTACCTAGGTATACCTACACGATTGAAAGCAAATTTTGGAGGAAAAAAACTCTGCAGAAAATAAAATCAATACCTAGTATTCTTGAATCAAACTGGAAAAAAAAAAGGCCGAAAGGAATATGTAGATACCTATACTTTCCTACGTAATATATAAATAAATAATAACCATCATCAGATATTAATATATAGGCCATGGTGCACGTTCCACTTCAATATTTCATTACACTGTGGGTATATACTATGAGTAAACGGCAATTTTGTTATAAAATGTGAATGATTTCGTTCTCGCGACTGCTATACAGAAAACTATCAAAGTTGGATACCTACAAGAAGTACTACCGCAGATAGGGTTGATTGGTAGATACCTACTACCTATATACCTAAGCAGTGACGTGCTCAATAGTTTTATTTTTCATGCTCGAAAGACAAAACAGAAGACTTAGGACTCATCCACCAAAAAACTGGATTTGTATATTATGTCCTATAAAAAATTTTGTAACAACAAAAATTGTATTTAACTAAATCAACTGCATAGGCAATCATATTCTAATATATTAATAATATAATACACGAAACAAACAGGGCATCTTTGATCATTGAACTACTTAACTAGTTAAGTAATTAACATTCAACATATTTGGTGACTAATCCATCCATTTTAGTCATGAGGAAGGTCCGGATTTCAATGTATTTAAAATTCACAAAAAAAAGCGCTCATTAAAATGGCAAAAAATCACCATAGAAATATTTAAAAAAAAAAAAATGGTAGAGGGGTTTATCTAACAACTGTAATTTATTAAATTACATTTTCTAACACTTCAAAAAGTAATTTATATAAAGTAACTTTTTTTAAATAAAATTGTACGTATTATAAAAAAAAAAAAAATGTGTCATCACATTTGACTAGTGTTAAGAAATTGAATTTAATAAAATAAAATCCGTTAGTTTTAAACCCTACTGCTATTTTTGATTTTTACATATTTGTAAGATCTTTTTTGCCACTTTTAAGCAGTTTTTGTGGATTTAAATCTGGGCTCTACTTTTGAGAAAATTGCTTAAAAATACCTACTTTGGCACGCCACTGCCTATAATAGACGAGTAATAGATAAGAGACAAAAACAATATCCCGCGATTGACATATGTTAGGTACTTACTACAACACATTATGCTAGTTGTACAAGGGCAAGACTACACACCTAAAATATCGTACATTTATTATAGATAATACTAATTTTTGTTAGCAGAACATAATAATATTCGTATCAACTTTCGTCTCATTAAAATTATTAAAATATACATACCTACACATTCATATGATACATACGTATGGTCAGTGGTGTATTGATAAATTTATTTTTGGTTATATGCACTTTTAAATGATATGACAAAACAAATGTTCTCGCTACGCCCAAACTATGAAAATAGATATTTTTACACTACATTATTAAATCATCATTTTTTTTTACTTTCACATTCTTTACTTTCTCACTTTACTACATTCTTTTAGTTGTTTCCAGGGACATAATTGGAGGAGGGATCAAAAGGGGTCGCAAAAGTGTTAATTCACAACCCCTAAAATGTATGTATTTAATGGTTTTTCGTTAGTAGAAACATTAAATTAGGCAAGAAATTATTTAATTATGGAAAAAAAAACATATTCGAAAATGATAAAATTAAAATTATATATTATCAATACTCCACAAATGAAAATATAATTGCAGATTACGATTTACTATTTCACTATTATAAATTAAATAAAAACGAATCTATATTTAGATTTAAACTTTTTTGCCGTCGTATTTTTACTAATAATATTTGATTTACTACCTATTATTATATTTTTTGACATAATAGTTATTGAATGTTTTAGTTTTTAAGTGTTAAAAAGTAAAAAAAAAAAAACTTAACTTCAAATAACCAATAAATGTATAAATCATTACTAAAAATACTTTAAAATAGAGTCAGCGAAACAATTACAATTTGAAAATTTTTTATTTTTTATTCTAAATTGAAAAGATTATATGATTTTATTCAATGTTTTTAATAATATGTACCTATATAAGAAAAATTGTATAGATTTATAATGTATTTTATATTAATATAATATGATAATAAGAGTATATTAAAACATTATTTGTTTTTATAATGTAGGGAGTGTGGGGGCGAAGACCTCACGGGTCTTTGTATTCTGAGTAATTTTACTATTCCAAACATTATGCCCAAACTACACCACTAGTTGTTTCTAAATATCATATAAATTATTCTTCAAATACTCACCCAATAAATACAAATTATATAACTACATATTTATACAAGTTGCACATATGTGATTTTTTTTTTGGTTGTCCCAGGGTGAAAAATTCTTAAAAAACAGCCCTGTTTGAGAGTATGTTGAAAATATTCTCATGCTCAATAATGCTCAAAGCATAATCTTTTGGGGAAAATTCTCAACAAATTCTCGATATTTCTCCACTCAATACACAATCATAAGCCGGATTTACCTACAAGCAAATTAAGCATAATTTACGGCCCATATTTCATATGATTATTGATGGTTGATATTATTGTTATAAACTGATAGTAAAACTTATGAATCATAATATTTTTTCATTTGTGTCCTATATCCTTAGAATACATTTCTAGAGTAACGTTATGTACATTGACAGAAGACGGTAATTTTATATACAAAATATTATTGACTTAATATTTTGAATATTTATTTAAATTAAGCCCATCTGACTTATTTATTTACTGTCCACACAACTCTTAATACGGCTATGATTGCAGCATCATCAAAAAAACAAACGAATTTAATAACAGTTAATAATATTTTTTTCAACACGAAGTGAAGCAATGATTGCAAAGACGTTCTCTATTGCAAAACATACACCTTCCAGCTCCCAAGGGAAATAGGGGTTATATTCCGTCTCCGTTGACTTAAAGATATAAAAATATTTTATTTAGTAATTGCATATTGAGATTATATATATTTCAGCCAAGTTACAATAGTTAAAAAGCTTCATTTATTGAATAAAAATTGACATTTTTGAATCAGGCTTTTAAATTTATATTGTCGGGTTAGTTAACATTTTCTACGATTTATTTATGAATCATGATTATTATTTGCTACATCCCCTCTCATTGAACATTATTGAGCACGCCATTGTCCCTACAATAATAAAATTGCGTCGAGCAATTATTATAATAATAGATATTCACAATCACAATCATTACCTACCTATAATCTAGGCACCGATAAATTATTAAAATGCGTTCGTGATTTCGTAAATTGTTATTTTTTCATTTTCTTCTCGAGCGTTTTAGCGTACACATACAATACGCATTATGCAATTATTTGAAATTAACCTACCTATGTATTATATGTGAATGATAAAAAAAAACAATCACTGCAGTATGCGGATTCGATGATAGGCCCCGTTTATCTGTTTGAACGAAGTGCGTTTTCGTCTTAAATAGCTCATACTTTTACGTCATTATTACTATTATTATTTGTATTATTACAATACGTTTCACGTATACCTTATCCACATGATAATATTACATGAGTATTAAAATCGAGAATAATAAAGGTAGAACGACGAAGACCGAATTCTGATGATCAGCACAATATAATTGTTATATATTTTACTAGTAAAGGGGCATCTTGAATATGTCCAGGGATAGCAGGTGAGAGGAGGTATCATGATGTATAGTGTTTTTTAGATGATATAGCTTTGATAGGACAAAATCAGGAATAAGTTAACAATAGGCTTGAAAACTAGAGAATATCACTTGAAAGAAAAAGACTAAGGATAAGAAGAAATCATAACAGAGTATGCGTTTGAAGGAACAGGACAAGACAGCTAACGACAATAAGCAGTTATATACGAGGTTGAAAGTTTTAAGTATCTAGAATCTTTTGTACAAAAAATCGGTGGTTTTCATGAGCATGTGAATCATACAATTGTGTATAACTGGATGAAGCAGAGAAAAGTGTCAGGTATTTTGTATTTTATGTGACAAGAGAATTCCAATAAGACTTGAGAAAAAAATTAAGTTATACAGAAATGTGGTGAGACTGTCTATGGTGTATTGTTTGAACTGTTGAGTGGTAGACAAAAAAATAAAACAGAGAATGTATGTAGCAGAGATTATAATGCTTGGTCGACAAAATAAGATACGGTAAGGGATGAGTTTATAATAGGTAGCTTCGATAGTAGACAAAATAAGAGAAAATAGACTGCGATGGTTTAAGCATGTTGATTTCATGAGGAGACTAGGAAAGAGGAATCTTAACTAGTGAGCATTATATAGAAATAAATGCAGAAGAAAATATAGGAGGAGAAAAAGACTGAAAAGGATATAGTTGGATTGCGATTGAGAATAATATGAGGACAGCTGATGTATGTAAGGTGGGAAATCTGGTTAAGTAAAAGTTTTGAACGAGGGTGGCCAACTCAACGAAGAAAATATTTATATTATAATATACTTATTTTCTTTTAAAATTTCTCTTTGAAATTAAAGATTTAGAATTTATAAATTTCATATATATTCACCATATTTATCTTTTAGATCTCATATTAAACACATTTCTTGTAAGACCTAACAAATTCTAGGGTTCATAAGACGTCACATTACTAATTTCAACAAAGCGCCTTGTTTAGGTATGCACTTTATCTCATCTTTGTACGATCTATCTTGAATTATGAATCGATAGTTTTAAAATCAATATCTTTAGGTCGAGAGCAAACTAGTATAACTAATTGAGACCAGAATCGCTTCCTTAATTTTGCAAGCTTTTTTACTGACAATTGATCACTCTCAGCATTATTATAAGATAGTCATGGATGTTTTAAAACTAAGTTCACTACAAAATAGGAGGCTTGTGATTGATCAATTATTTTTACTCAATATACTTCATGGTAAAGTTGACTTATCCCGACGTATAAATTTACGTGTTCCGAGTATCTATATCAGATCCCATGAATCGTTTTACCTTACCACCTCCCAATTCAATTTTTTAATAAATGATCTCTGTTTGATCGGAACTATGAGTTCCTTAAATAAGAATAATGGTTAATATTTGGCCTTAATCATTTTTGTTTTTTATAATAATTGTTATAGTTATTATAAGTTATTGTTTATGCTAATAGTTTTGTACTATTTTCAAAAGCCGATTGTCGTTTATATATATATAAAATTAAATAAAAATAAAAATGTAATATAATCTTTGTTTCACGAATATCATTCATGCAGAGCCATGGTTTGAATATGGTTTTCGTGGTTCACCAAACCACCGAAAATTTGGGGTAATCGAGTTGTTAAAATGTTCAAAAAATCCCATCCTGTGAACTGCAATAAGTTCATTCAACAATATTCAATTCTATAACCATAGGCCTTTATGGCTTTGTCCTATAATTATTAAAAACACACAACCTTATAATCATAGTAAAATAGTTGCTTCTAATCTTCAGACCATGTATTTTATTTGTACTTTTAAGCACCTATGCTTATTGTTTTTCTTTTCATAGGTGACGAACACACGAGGGTTCTGGGATCGTAAACTACATTGACAATATTGAACCAAGGCTCAGCCCTAAAAGGTTTTACTGATGAAAAATATATTTTATGCTAACATTTATGTAAAATATTCATTTTTATTATGTAGTTACACATATTCGAGATTTTACGTGGTTCATGCCATGCCAGTGATACACATAATGCATATTGGTGTTAAGCATAATATTTTCTTGACTATTATAGTCACGGGCTAAGATATTATACTGAACTGCCATCGACGCGGTCGGGGAGTAGTGGAGGAACGGTGCTCAAATGTTTCGACACCGCCACTCCCCTTATCCAAAAGAAACACAAACACAAATAGGCATAAAAGCGCTCCTAGTAACAAATAATGTTAACTAATTTTTTTCACGAACACTATGAGTTTTAAATTTTGATATTATGCAAAGTTCTTTTTATACATTTTGGAACAGTTTTTAAAATGCCCCGACGTTATTCTGTTGTTAACTGTTTGGGTTTTAACAAAAACCTTATGTTCCATTATTTAAAGTATATGATTCTGACCTTGATGTTTGGAATAAAATTGTATCGAAAGTGAAAGTAGAAATTATTTGTGTAAAGTTACTTATATAATATGTACCGAATATTTTTGTTCAGATCTATCTTTATAAGTAAGTTTGTTATACTTAGTTAATGCAATTTTACTTTTATGGGCCTTAAGTGATATTCTAAATTATTATTATCATTTTGTTTGTATAATGCATGTATAAATGGCTCTTTTACCCCTACTTGTAACTCATAGTGCCTTTGGAAACATTTAAGAGCCAGTATATCTTAACCCGTGACTATAGTAAACTTTACTTGTGTTACCTACAATTGTTATCGAATAAAAAAACAGATTAAAAATAGGAACCTATTTTAGTATATTTATAGTTTTTCATTTTATGTTTTTGGAAAAATGTTTAAAATAGAAACCGCTCAAAAAGTTAAAAAAAAAAATAGATATAGTATTAGGTACCTATACTGCGCCACAAGAAAGAATACGGGAGGCTGAAGCAAGGGCCAACCAGTTATCATAGGAACAGCTCACTCATCAGTCCCAGACATCAAAGACAACACTCAGGAAGATTCAGCCACTAGCTCAAGGCCATGTACAGGTTAGGTTAAGTTAGCATTCTGTTAGGAGGTGACGCAGTCCCACCACTCACCTCTCACCGTAGTTCAATTAGCTTAGTTAACAATGTGAGCCTGCCCCGCGAAGGGGAAAACATAATTCTATAAAACGTTTAATTATACTCATTAATTAACGATGGCAGTAGTGGGGTAGTAATGTGAAAAACTGATCCCCGCTGCTGTCGGTTAATTGGAGGAACAAAAAGGTGCCTGTACAATTAAACGACATATAATCAGAATTGTTACACGGTAAAGAAATATATATACATATAGATTATAATTTATAATATGTTATATAATAGGACTCGTCTACATAAAGTCAAAAACTTTTAGATTTTAAGTAGGTAGGGAAATTTTTGTAATTATTCTAAGTCTAATTGTTTATATTATAGTATTATCACCTACATTACCTGTATAAATATGAAAAATGCAATGGTTTTTAATTGCAATATCCATCAAAATTAAACCACTTCCCTATCAGTCTATCGATACAACACAATTAAAAAAAGACGTGTAATTTTCAAATAATAACCCGTAATAATTGTACATTTTTAATTCTCAAAGAAATATTTATTATTATTATTATTATTTTTTTTTTTTATTGAAATTTTAATATAAATTATTGCATTTCGACAATTAAACTTGACACAAATGATATAAAAGAAAAAAAAGAGTTGATACTGGGCCACTGCCTGGATGCGGCCACTGTTGTAGGTGAATAGATGGGAAAGTGGAAAACTTAAAATTATTTTATTTATTCCTGTAACCAATGATAAACCATTGCTAACGAAAAACGATTCGGAGCGAAGTTCAGTTATATATGTTCTGAAAGGCAGTAGTAATAATTAATTTCGTCAAATTTTTACTTTAAAACTCTTATAAAAAAAACTATATTATATTATATTTTTTTTTTTTTTTTGACCAATAAATACGACTTATAAATAATAAATCTTCTGTCAAATTTTTAAGTATTTCTGTTAAGTCTAACAATTTAGTTCACAGAGTACCTACCCTTAAATAGGTAAAATCTCGCAAAATTAATTGTCTATAAACAGCTCAAAATTTCACCACTTCTAGAAAAGGTAAATATAAATTTTCTGTTAAAAATTCAAGTCCACGAATATATTTAACTGAATCATATTAAAAAAAAAAACAAAATTTAAAATTAAAAGATATAATTAAATAATAAAAGAATTATTATTTTCGAAATTTTTCCGCTTTTAAACGTACTTTTCGGTTTTGTTCAATTTAAAAAAAAAATACAAATAAAATCAAAAAACGACTTTTAAGGTCATAAACTAAATTAAGAAAAAAAACATCTTGTATTTTCCTATTGGAAAGATTTCTTTCAATTGGAGCAAGATTTCTGGCATAAATCATCATGAACAAAAATTGAATATAATGAAAACGGTTACGCCGGAACTTAACCCTTCCGTTTACCTATAATTTTCTTTCAGGTTTTCGCAATTATTTTGAAAAACCTTTGTAAAATCAAAAAACAACCTGTCTAATGCACCGACTAAACACAGTTTCTTTTTAGAAAAGGTACTATAATACACTATACTTTGGGACAAAATGTCTGGTAGAGAAGTCGTTTACAGATACAAAAAGTAAAACATTTAAAAAAATACACATCATAGTAAAACCAATAGATCCCTCGCTTCACTCCGAATCTTAAACACAATGGTGGTTATAAAATACAAAAAACAAAACAAATAAAACATGTACAATAAAGTGTCTAAAAAACGATAGTCATCAAATTCTTAACGAAATCATTTTCCTAACAATATTATTCATCGTGTTATAAATTATAATACCATTATTAATACTTAATAGTTATTCCTGGTTTCGATCGAAAATGCAAAAGGGTATTTGAATAAAATCAGTTTAGCTAAATAAAAATTACCTCTATACTACTATTAAGGAAGTGATAATAATTATTATAACTATGAATGATATAATATATGCCTTTCAAATTTACTTTCAATTTCTAAAACTAAAAAAAAATCAAAAAAAAATCTTCGTGTCATTGTATAATAGATGATTATAATAGTGAATCACCTTGTGTGTGGATAGGTATGCTAAAATAAAAAGAGTTCATTTATCGTCGAATTGCGTTTTTTCCCAAACCTGATGAAAACAATATTTGTTCAAAGTTCTTTGCTTAGGATATTAATTTAGTATCTAAATAATTCACTATACATCCAAAACCATATAGGTATAATCTCTTATCAAGAAGTTAATGTTTTTGTTTGACTAATTCATAAAATTTGCCTACGAAGAATCCTATGGATTATTCATGATTATAATTATTAAATAACACTGTATAGATATTTAAAAGGTTACTGTAATCGTTAATTTGTTGTATGGACATTCTTCAAATAATTTGGCGGTCAAACCACAATTTCGTATAAATTACAGAAAAAAAAAAAGTAAGTTTAGATCAGGTGACATAAATATTTAAACAATAATATTGTATTAAATAATTATTCGAGTATACACCCAACAATCCTACAATAGTTATATAATTTACCTTAAACGTATACAAAATTTGAGTTTTAAATTAAATTTATTTTGAAAAATATTTATAGTATTTCGTTTTTGAACAATAACAATTTTAATTTTATTTTTGTAATATGTTTAATAATTATAAGAACCGGATATATATTATGTAATTAAAATCTACAAAAAGCTGTTGAAAAAAGTATAAAAAAAGCACTAAAAATATATTTTAAGAATCAATAATGGTAGAAGAGACACTGCAGTCCCCCCTCCACCCGTAACGGCTTCAACTTATTAAATAACATTGCCTAACACTAAGTAAAAAAATATAGTTTTATATCAAACCATTACTTTGGGTTAATCATTTTCCTAGTGTTATATAGATGTTAGTACCGTTAGACTTTTAAAACCCTCTATCATTATTGCTTTTTTTAAATGTTTTTTAAGTTCTTTACAGGGATTTTTGACGACTGTAGGAAATATTTACGGATGTTAAGTACATATAAATACGGTACCTAATAATAATTATGCATCCCATGTTTATTAAAATAGTAAAACTTTTAGTTTGTAAATAAAAAACTAATTTTAAAATAGAATGGGTACTTTTAAAACATTTTAAATAGGTACCCACCTAAATAATAAATGTAGTAGTGGACAAATATTATTTGATCGATTGGTATCAAAATAGGTCAAATATATTTTTTAAAAAAAATAAAATAAAATTATAGGTTACCATTTACAAATTCAAGTCATCACACAGTTTTTATCTTGGATTGTCTTATAATATTAGTAAATAATATACTGCTTAAATATTTTAATTTAATATTAATAAAATGTAATTTATTGGGAAATTGGTAACATTTCACCTGGGGAACATACTTATTTGAAAAACGAATAAGAATATTTTTTACAATTACCCATATACGAGTATAAAACGCATTTTATTGTGAAACAAAAAAAAAATCACTCTGTAGTCTGTACCTATATAATAATGATTCACCGTTTACAAGACAACAATTAATTTTGATTTAAAATAAATTTGTCGACGTTTCTTTTTGCGTTGTATCCGTTCCCCTTCTCGTAATCCTTTTATTGTGTTTTTAAATGATTTTAAATTACAAATAAGTACCTATTGGTATTTCAATGAAAAAAAAAAAAGAATCCATATCATACATAGGTACACAAAGTAATAGCGTGGTTTCTTTAAAATTGTATTGGAGGCATATACGTTTGACAATCTGATAATAGATAACGAGTGGACATTAGTGGTTTTCTACCCGTTTCTCCAGTCCACGACTAATACTATTTAAATAACCGTGTACGTTTGGTTAGGTATTCTTTAGTTTGACGTTATATTATTAAGAGTGGAATAATAATTGAGTTCGCAACACTGATATAATTGCTCCTCGAACTTGGGGAAATTTGTTCAACACTAGTTTGTCATATTTCGTAGCATGTCAGAAAATAAACGTACCGCATGGCCATTTCAAAATCGCATTATTTTGATATTGGTAACGTCGTTATTGGTTAGGGGGAGGGGGGGGCGATTGTCGACGAAAAATAAACGAAAAACGCGAAAATAAGATCGATCGTTAGATTTTACTAAGTACTACGGACCTGAATAATAATCACTGTATAAGAAAATGTCTAAAAAGTGTATTTAGACGATTATAATAATATTATGGCGAATCACACTGTAGGTACATACCATATAAATATGTGAAATTATTCATATACCTACGACGAATTTGTTAGGAATTGCGTTGGGTTTTTTTTTTTTTTTTCTTCAATAATGATATGTTGATTATTTACATTTACGATTCAATGTCTATATTGATAATTAGTTTCTGATCGAAATACCTATTAGCTGTAGTTATATTATAGTGTTTTAGTTTGAATAAAACGTAGAATATTTACAGGTGCGGGGTAATCGATGTTTGTAACGAATGATTACACCCATATCGAACACGAATAGAATTGGGAAAACGTAATATAATTTTCGATTCCATCTGTCCATGTTAACCACATAAAAAATAAAATAGATTACAACATATAAAATTGCCACCTAAAATGTTGCCTGTCTGTTTAATCGACACTATAATATTCTCGAACAGTCGTCAGCGTTCGTGTAAAATAAAAAGTAAAACCGCAACAACGCGGGCACTTGTAAATCGAAATACAAAATACTTTTTGGGTATAATATTATTTATATTTTGTCCCGTTTGTACCCGTCGTGACTGGAGATAATAATAATGATAAAAACGTGTATTCTAAAGATAATGGTTCGTTTCGACCACACGACAGATTTAATTAGCGAACTGCGTGCGGTTTTGACGAAAATATATCGGGTATTACACCGCCAACGTTACAGACGATGTTTTCCGGTACGCGTTTCACATTTCGTTAGTTTGTTGTTTTAACGAATCGCTTTCAATCCTATAGATACGAATTTGATTAATTTATTGTGGTTGGTGCCTTCATATATTACAGCCGCTGCTGGTGAGCGCTGTAGACATTTCAAAAAGAGTTTATCATATTTGCCTTGAACCGTCTTCGTTTCCGGGCGAGCAAATAATATGCACCTAATTATTTATATAGAAAAAAAAAAAAAAAAAAAAAACGAAACTATAAATACGCAGTTTCACGATGATTTTTTATAAAGCTCGGAGCTTATTATTTATAAAACCAACGATTAAAATGCGCGATTAGGCGTTTCGGTTATTACTATAATATTACAATAATATCGATCGTCGTCAGGGGTTATCGGATTTGACAAATTTACGGGATCGGGTCCGTCAACGTTATAAAATAACGCGTAGATATTACAATATAAATTATAACCGTGGGCCGCTGTCCGTAGGTACAACATCGAATATCGGGAAATTTCGAATATGCCGAAACTGCGCAATAGGTCGCCCGCATTCTAATTGGAGGAAGTCGGAGACGAGAAAAAAAAAAATTAAATAATAATTACAAAAATGTCATATACGAACCGGCAGCGGTAGAGGATGCGATTTTTCCGGGGGCGGTAAAGTGTTGAACCCCAGCATTCCGTTGTCCGCGATTTCGATGGTGTCGGCGGTAGAAACCGCTTCGGCGGGAGCCGCGTCGGTGGACGGCGCTCCGGTGGTGGGTGCCTCGTCGGCGCCGGTCCGGCCGACGGAGACGGCGAACACCGTTGTTAACAGCAGCAGCAGAGCGGCGGCGGAGCACGCGCGCGACGACGACATGTTGCTGCGACGGGCGTTAAACTTCGAATGCACCGGACGGACACCGGCCGAGAAGTCGCCGAGGTTTCGTAGCGGCGGCGGCGGCGGCGGCGGCGATGGTAGCGGCGGCGGTTGCGGCGGCGGCGGCTGTAGCAGAGGGCCGCAAACGAAACGATTCGGACTTGCACTGTTGTGTACAGCAGTGTTTGTAGGTACGTTATATATTATACGCTGTCGCTATAATAATAATAATAATAATAATAATAATTAATATTAATATTATATAGAGACGACGATGATGATGACGACGTCGTATTTTCCATAATATAATTTTATACAGGGTGTGATCGCGCGCACAAGTATATTGTAACATTATTATAATCTTCCGCGGTATAGACGGCCCGTATGAATATTTATTATTGCCATTTCCATTAACATAGCGTTCAACTTTAGTTCAGTGCAATCTACGTGTAAATATAAATGTACCTAATGAAAAATAACTTCGATGGTTATTTATTTATTTACTTTGGGCTTCGGCCAAAACAAATAAATAGGTATTACCGGCACGACTATGGGGTTTACTCGGCTCGAACCTATTAAATAAAATTGTCCAACACTGCAAAATTGACCGACACAAAATTAATTTTTTTTATAATAATTCGTAAAGTTTTATTTTTAAAAAATTGCTTTGTATAGCAGTGTTGGAAAATTATATTTAATAAGTTAGAGGAGGGACTTTTAAACCACTCTACCATTTTGGCATTTTAAAAATATATCTGTTACCTAACTTTAGACTTTTTTTGACGTTTTCAAGCGGTTTTTGTGCATTTTAAGTGCATAGAACTCCATTCCCTATAATTATCACCACAATAAAATACTTTACGCACAGTTGTTAAAATATTATTCATTGTTACCCACCAAGCTATAAAAATTACTTTTTTTTTCTCTCACTTTCTTACTTTTCACCCTAGTGTTTAATGAATACGGTTGTATTGGGTCATTTTTAAAATTGTACAGTTGGATAATTCGATTAGGATTTATCATAATAGTCTGAGATATTCAAAAATCTTTTGGAACTCTACGCGGTTGACGTGGAAAACGTATTCAAAAGAAGTTCGATCAGGTATATTGAGAAAAATCGTGATTTTTCGGCTGAAAAAAAATTTGAAAATCTAGATGGCCTTTCTGAAAATTTAAGAGAAGCGATGACTTGTTATTTTTTTTAAGTATTCACCTGTGACTTCTGTCGATGTTAAAAGAACATTGTCAGCTTACAAAACTTTACTCTCAATTAATAACCGTAGGTCATTCAAATTCAAACATTTAAGAAAACATCTTATAACTTAGTGTAATTCTCAAAGTAAATAAATATATTTAAAATGTACACATCATATTTTTGTACTTAAATCTACTTATATTGTTTCCCATATTTATATTAACAGGAAATAACGATTATTTCCTTCCAGAGCCGCACAAAGTACAATAATTTATACATTATTATTTCATGAAATCCTATCGAATATCACTGTATTGTATGTACTTTCACATTCTAATAAATTAATGAAACATTTAAAATTTTAAAAATTTTAAAAAAAATCATAAAATTACTTCAAAAATAATTTTTTTTTCATTACTTTAACTTAATATTTTCTAATTTGTAGTGTTGTTTATAGCGCTTATTTCGGTGGTTTTAAATGCATATTACATCGTTAAAAACTAACTTTTTCCAGTGCTACAACTTCCGAGCACTGATTATTATAATTAATACCGTTATAAATAATCCCACTATTTTGGAGGAATATTTTCGGCGTGATGATTTCTCCGCCAAACGTAAGGTTAGGTTAGGTTAGGTTAGATAATGAATCTAAACACTATATAATATTATTATAAAGCGAAAAGATTTGTTTGTATGTTTGTAACGGATAAGCTCAAAAACTACTTCACTGATTTTAAAAATTTGTTCGCCTATAAAAAGCTACATTATCAACGAGTAACATAGCAGGGTGTATTTTATTTTCAGCAAAATTAGAAATCCCTATGAAAATTTTAGTGATTAGATTTTTATGTATTTTATATATTTTGTTAATTACTTAACTATATGACGGTAACTTAACTGTATGATCCAAGCCTGAATAATATTTCTGTAGTTAAATTTAAAGGTACTAAAAATATTGTAGATTATTAATTGTAAATAGATAATACAGACTTTTTTAAATTATACAAATATTTAATTAGGGAACTAACCTTCCCTCTATTTAAAGGGATTTCTTTTGGTTCATCATGTGGCGCCGGTCATTGGCTAGGCTGTCGCTGTGGATGAAGTTTAATTACGCCTATGTCAGTTAATATTAAATAAGGGTACAATACAAAATTGTAAGTATTATTCAACGTATTATAAATGTTCAAAAAAAAAAAAAAGGCCTAAGATTGTCTTACAAATACAGTATATACCCATTGCCATATCTTCTGAGATAATAAAGATGATCAAATTCTGTTTTTTTTTTTTCATATCATATTACTCGCAGGCATAAAGATTATAAATATTTATAATTGAATTACATTTGTAATTAGGTAAAAAAAAACAAACAAAATAAATTTTTATTTTATTATTTTGAAAAATGTTAGTTATTATATTTCTGAAAATGAATGATGTTTTAGCTTTTTATTTTTATTAAATTCGTGATTTTTTAAAGTTCAGAGAATATTACCTATTGTACAACAGGTTGTAATTGCATTCACTAACTGATTATTATTATTTAGCTAATTGACTGTACATTTTTTTTCTCTGAAATTTAAAAAATTTATTAAAAATCACTAATTTAATGAAAATAAAAAGTTGGTACTTGGTACGTACGTCAACATTTCCAGAAGAATAATAACTCTATAAAATGACTTCTTCAAATTTTTCAAAAATAATAAAATAAAATTATTTTTAGTTCTTATCCGTGTGAATAATATAGAATTTAATTATCTTTATTATCTCCGGAGGTATCAAAATGTATCCATCTTCTTGGGACACTCTGTATACTATACACATAATGAGCATCTTACTCGAGGGGGATTGATCACGCTGTATAACACAATAATATTATTGTCGTTTTCGTCGTGATTTTAATAATTCGTCGTCGACTCACAACAACAACCCGAGAGTCAGTACCGACAGGATACGTCGTTAATAGAAACAGCTGGTAAACATAGCAATGAATAATTATTACGATGTTGATCAGTGGCGTATCCAGCGTGGAGGGCACCGGGGGACAGTGGCCCCTTCCATTTGCAGTAGTTTTTTTTAAAAATGTTTTTCTTATAATCGTTTCATGTTACTTTATTACGGTGCGTGAGGGGTTTATTTCCATGTTTTATTGACTGAGTAAGCGCAGTTTATTTGTAAATACGATTAGATGAATAAACGTGTAATTTTATTTGTGTTTTTTTTTTTTTAGCCCCCTCAATTGAAAAATCCTGGTTGCGCCACTGATGTTCGTTATTATCTAACAATTGAACGAGTAAATCGTAAATGCATTACTTGGGCGTCAAACAATATTATAAAAATTAAAAAAAAAAAAAAACAATACTTGGCGGACTTGGGCGCTCGAACGCTTTGGATTACAGCGCCGACATACGCGTTTACACGCGGCTATTCCCTGCAGTGTTGCACCAGCGTAACATGAACATAATATTAAAAACGTTTAAAAGAGGGGACGCGTAATAAATTATGCGTTATTAATGATAATTATTATTACTTCGTCATAACCCATGAGCCAGTGGAAAACCGGTTTTCAGAGGTTTTCCGTTTACGTCATTATAACGCGCTACGGGGTCGCCTTGGTTTTTTTTTCGATATCTATACCTCGAAACTTACAGCACACAAATCCCGAGAAAATCGTCCAATATAATTATACGAATAATACAGCCGGATGATAATAATAATACAATTTCTAAAGACAAATTACAAATTTATTTCCATCCCCTAGTCGATAGAAACAAAATAAAAAGGATATTATTCTGAAAAATTTAATGTAACAAACATTTATATCAGATCAATCGTTTTTTTTTGGGAACGGCCCTATTTTCTTTTAGAAATTAGAAATTAATTTTTCTGTAAAAAGTTTTTTTTGAGTCTGTAAACAACTTTTCTTTCAAAAATGACGAGAAGAATTTTTTTTTGGTATTTTAGATCAAATACATTGACGCATTTAATTTTCGTTTCAGTTTTTCAAATAATTGGGAAACCCGAAAAAAAACGTACTGACGACCGTAAAATTTACGAAATTAACGGTTTCATTTGTTTGGATTTTATTTATTTTTTGTAATTCGGTTAAAAATAACCAATGAGATATTAACCATTTTTATAGACGTGATAATATTTTCGAAATATTTTAGTGATTGAACTAATTATAAACACATTTTCGAGTTTTTTTAGTTTTTGTTTGGTTTTATGTAGATAAAATTGTTTAGCCGAACAAAACATGTTTGACATTTTAAGATCAAGTTCACTATACGTTTTATTCAGTGGTAAAAAAAAAATCGAGTGTAATTTAGTTAGGGTAATGTTAAGGGGAGGGAAATGGGGATATTTTCCTCTGGCACCAAAGATTTTTAAAATTATGGGGAGCCAGGATCAATGTTAAATTCAAAATAAATTTAACAATATATAGGTTGGTATTATCACACACGTGCCTCATTTATCGTTTACCGATAATTGTATTTTTTCGTTTATCCCATCCTCGTCATCACAGGCACAACGCAAATCAATATGGAAGTATAATATTACGATTTGATTAAGTAGAATGATGAATAAACAAATAACATTCAAAGGACGTCACACACGCATGCGTTTTTTCGTCCTACAAACGCATCACAGCATCGTAACAAATTTACGTTCAGCAGAACTTATTTCCCGCTGTTATTGTTTTAATAGAGTGAATTGACCTATATTATCAAAATTAAAAAAGGTATGAACATTATCTGTGTTTATACATTGGTTTTGTTCAATATTTTAATTTTTAAATGAGATAAATAGTTATGTAAAATATCACAATTTAAAAATCTCTATATCTCTCTCAGAAATTAAAAAATACAAACATAGATAATGTTTTTACATTTTAGTTTGATAAAATAGGTCATCAGTTCACTATATAATCTAATACTAAAAGTTAACACTTATAACACGAAA